TCTTTACTCCAAGTCTAATTTATTAAATTTATTAAACAAAGACTGATAAAATGCTTATTAATCTATTTTTCCTTCACTGTTTGAAATCATTAAATTTCATGGACACTAATATCATTAGCATTTTTACAGCAACAATGACCAAATGTCATGAAGAAGGAAAATAAACTACAAAACTCTTTTCAATAAGGAATTCGTTGGAAACTTTTTGAGGGTGTGTGCGTGTAAACTCATGTACAATAAAGCCAGAGAAAGCAGCGGGAAAGAAGATAGAAGATGAAAGAAAAGGTTTGCCCATTAAACAAAAAAAGAAAGAGAGGGGAGAGAGAATATAATAAAATAATGAATAGTCTTAAAAGTTGGGCTACTATGTTGTCCCCAATGTTTAATTATTTTTAAATTTGAACGATGTGTGAAAGAAAAGGATTGCCCATTAAACAAATACAATTCTAAAGTTTGAAACTTACTTAATTCGATAATTTAAATGGTGTGTTAAAAAGTGTGGTTCTACGTGTGTCCCCTAATATATTTCAACATTTACAATATATCAGTCTAAAAAAATAGATGGTTTAAATGATCTTTGAATGATTCTACAAAATAGATGGTTTGAATTAGTGAAATACAATGCGGAGTGGGCCCTACAGGGGTGTTGGATCCCTCAATAGAAGCTCTTTGTAAACTTATTTAAGGGATCCCTCTATGAGCCCCTGGAAAATTTATATTCTTAGTTGGAGCGATCTGCGTGAAAAAGAAAATTTTTGGACTCAAATTGGTGAAGATTGGAATTTATGGAAATTAAATTGGAATTTTTGGACTTTATTTGAATTTATATTGAGTGTTGGACAATTTTCCAGAAAATATTTTGAAGGATGTTGGAGAAGTGAAGGTACAAAAAATAGTAGAGGTGGAGACGAGGCCGTTGGAATTTTCAAGGAATTGGTCGGAGCTCGAAGTTATTTATGATGGATTTTGGAAGTTTTGAAAAATAAGAAAATTGGAAAAGAAAAATTAGTTCAGCTGGACAGGTGGCGTGATCTGGAGTGTCGATGGCATGCTGATATAGCTGATCAGACGGACAAGAGATGCTAACAGGATACTGACGTGTTCTGATAGGTGCTGACATTTCGTTACGCTGTTGGAGGTAGACCCTGATTGTGCGTTGACGTGGCACAATGTTAATTACCCATATAAGAAGCCGACTAGTTTGAGGATCCGCGTGTTTGTCAAACGGGTCGGGCTGGCTTAGTTTGTTTTCAGTTGTTTATTTGACATCGTCAAACGATCTGGACCGTCCCTCCCGTACGACATGTCGTGTGCCTCTGCAGCCAATTCTTCATCGTTTTTCTCCAGTTTTTTACGCAATACGGACCCTCAAATCATATTTTTGGTTGAGATCCAACGGCCCTGGTTGCACCCTCCCATCTCCTCAAATTTCCTTTGGGAGTCGATTTCCTCCCTTGGAGCTTCTCATTCCATCCTTGGTAAGTTTCTCCTTTTGAGTTGTTTATTTTTTAGCTTTCCTAAATTTCCTGAAATGCGATTAGTATTTGCCACATAACCAGACCTAGGGTTTTCACATTAAGTTTCTAACAACGACGTAGGGTTCCAAACTAGGGTTTGTACTTCGACTTAGGGTTCGTAAAATGTGACTCGACCTAACCCTAGCACGTTAAGAGCTTATTTTCGACTCGGCAAGTAAGGTCTGTGGGACCAGGCATTAGCATTGGACTCCAGGTAGGGAGATCACTAAACCAGGCTTGTATTTTACTATATGTATGAAGTAATAAATATGATTGCATGAGAACTCAACATTGCTTTTGGTTCGCATATCTATTGTATGGATTTAATCGTACTTTAGGCATCAGCTTCATCGACAGTGTTCCGAGTTGATCTGAGAGTGAAGGGGGCATAGTGACCATCTTGGGATTCGATACCCTAAACTTGGCTGGGGGTTATATGGACCGACTAGTCCTACAGTATGTGCGGCTGTGAGGATAGTTCAATGAGGTATAGCCATGGAATGGACACTCTCGCTACCATGCAACCTGAGCTGAATAAATTTGTGGTATGGGTAGTTGGCATACGAGAATCGATTATCAAAAGAATGTTACTGAATATCCGAAAACTTGGTTTTAAAAAGCTGTATGAGCATCCATGTTTTATCTTGACATCCCGGTTTAATGGTAAGTAAGTGAAATATTTCTTTTATGTTGTTGTGCATTATGATTTTGGTTTTAATATAACCATGCCTGGGCTATATTTAATAAATATATTTTGCTACCTACTTTTAAACTTGGCTGGGGGTCTCCCTACTGGTTGGCATATACGTCCCTCTCCTTCACCACTGACTATTCGTGCCTACTCTAATGCTGACTAGGCTGGCTGCCTAGACACCCATTGCTCTACCTCCGGTTATCTCATCTTTTTGGTTACCACTCTCACCTCTTGGTGTTCCAAGAAGCAACCAACCGTTGCTCGCACTAGTGTAAAATCCGAGTACTGTTCTTTAGCTCATGCCTGCACCGAAACCGTCTGGGTTAGTTGTCTTCTCCATGAGCTTGGCTGCCCAATTACATTTCCTACTCTCATCTACTGTGATAAAATCAATACCACCTATCTAACTACGAATCCAGTTCGTCAGACTCACACACAGCATATTTAATTGGATTACCATTTTGTTCCTCAGAAAGTTTCCCTTGGCAGTCATCATGCTCAATTTGTTCCTTCCACTGATCAGTTGCTGACCTTCTGGCAAAAAGTCTTCAAAAAAGTCGCCATCTCCAACTCTCTGAAAAACTCGTCTATCAAGGTCCGCCGTCTAGTTTCAGGGGAAACGCAATCAACTCATGGCCGTTAGGCCCTTCTTCCATTATAGGAATCCTCTGCATTGCAGGAATCCTCCTTCCATATTTGTATACGTGTTAATATTGATTTACCTTCCTTGTATTGTTGATTCAGTTTCCTTGTATATCTCTACTAGGGTTTTCAACTATGTATAAATCTCTCATGTATCACACTTATCAAATCAATCCAAAATACAAAATTTACATATCTCTCTCTCTCTCTCTCTCTCTCTCTCTCTCTTCCCCCCCTCTCCCCCACCCTCTCAAATCATCTTATGCGCCGCAACCCACTAACCCTCCACTACACCCTAATCTCTCCACCGTTAGATCGATCTCAACCTTTATAACGAAGAGGACATGGATGTAAATTTCAACCCACCACCAAAACCCAAAACCCAGAAGAGGAAGGAGAAGAAATTTGAGCTCTTTGAAGAAGCAAAGAAAAAAATCAATTTTTAATTTATCAGTGAAGCATGTGCCTAACAAGTGATTTTTTAAACAGAGATTTGGATGAAAATTGCCAAAAACTAATGGTGGGGAGAAAATTGGCCAGAAAATTTAGTATGACGGCTAACCCTCCACTACACCCTAAACTGGCAGGAAAACAAGTTCAAGGTGGAGATTTCGACAAGCGTGATAGTTTATAGTGTTTTACAGCAGATAACCCTTTTTTAGTACAAGTGATTGTCGAAACTTAAATGAGAAGGGGGTTTCTCACACACACACCACCAAGATGTTAGGAAAGTTTGAACCCAGACTATATTAGTCAACAAATTAAAGTCATTTTCCATTGGGATAGGCTTTTTTATTTTTTTATTTTTTGGCAATTCACTTGGCTAGACCTGTTTGGCAATAATGTGTAAGATTTGAGATGGTATTCAACCAAGGGTATATTACGATTTGGATAAGAGTGTTTTGGCTGTTCATGGAGTGTTGAAACTTGAAAAGGTGCTTGTGTAATTATCGTGATATGAAGGAGTTATATAAAAACCCTAAAAACCTCAAGGGTAAATTACTCTTCGTTGAATTTGTTTAATTACGTCAACGAATGGAAATAGTAAATCACAAATCCTCACCCTTCACGGACCCCATTGCTTTAACAAGTGAGTACTCAATTGGGTATAGTAAATAAAACAGAAATTGCAAAGCCTCTCCCGAGTAAGCCCCTGTAAATTGAATTGAATTTATAATTATAATGGTTTGGTTTAATTTGTTAATTGCAATGCAAGTTAATAGTGATAAGGAATTGCACCAGAATTTTTTTTTTGCCAGCATAATAAAAGTGAAAAAAAAACTGACAATTAAAAGAAAAAGGCATATCGAAGAGACGGAAAGAAGAGGGAGGAGGAAAGATAAAGAAAAGAATAGAGAGAAAAAATGTCCTAAGAGCATCCATAATGGGCTCCATAAATCACATCCTTAAACAAATTTTAGGGAGGAATTGTAAAAGTACAACTCCAACCATACTCTCTATCCACCTCCTAAAATAAGGAAACCTCTAGGAGCTCCTAAATTTGAGGAGAGAGAAAGGACTCCTAGTGGCTTCCTATAATTTAATGCTGCTTTATTTAATGTGTATTTCAAACCTTTATTTAATGCTAAACATTTTTTATTTTATTTTTTAATAGAGATAGACCAATCAAAAAAGAATTATAGCATTTATGACTCATAAACTAAAGAGCACGATTGAAGTTTAAATTTTATAGAGAGCTCCTAAAATAACTTTGATATATTTTTAGCTAAAATTAACTAAAAAAATAGAGAGCATAATAGTGGAGTTAGCTTCAGAGGGTCTAAGTGAAATTCTCCGTTCCTATTGGTCAACGATATCACCGGAGTTCATCAAACTTTATTGGTCAATTCATAATGTGGTCGGACAAAAGTAAGTATGAATGAGTTGAAAAAAGACCCTGTCACTGGTCCCATTAGACGCGTTTTTGGGTTTACCATCAGTGTGCTGGTGGCAGTAGCCAGTAGGGGCCTATACCAATTAAAATACCATCAGTGTGCTGGTGTATATATATATATATATATATATATATATATATATATATATATATATTGCTTTAACAAGTGGTTCTTCACTCAATTGGGTATAGTAATTAAAACAGAAATTGCAAAGCCTCTCCTAAGTAAGCCCTTTGTCAGATCCATCTAAGAATGGCCATCTCCGCAGATGCAGCTGTTGTGGAACTTCTTGATAGCAGTAACTATGTGGATTGGAGTGTATTGGTTAAAAATTACTTGTTGGCTCAAGACCTTTGGGATGCAGTGGAAGAAGAATATGAAGACGACGATGAAGAAGAAGAAGAAGAAGAAGCTGATGATAAGTTCAAAGCTTGGAGGAAGAAGAATGCCACGGCTTTACATAAAATCCAAGTTTCGTGCGGGCGGAAAGCTTTTTCCCTCATTAGAAACGCCACTTCAGCCAAACACGCTTGGGATACTTTGGCAGAAAAGTTCAAGCCAAAAAAACCACCAAGTAAGTCACCAGTTCAAATCTTGAACCTCAACAAATCTATGAGAACTAAATATTCGACTTAAACCAGAAATATATATATACATATTATATAACCAAATTATACTCTAAAGCATTTAATTGATTAACCACAAGACCACTATTTCTGTTTCTTATTACACTAGCACAGATGTAAAGGACTGATCAGTTTACGTTTTGTTCTTTTACATTTTGGTAAATATACATTCTTATACAAATTACATGTGTAACAATGTGGAAATTAAATCTAACGGTGTCAATTTACTCTTTTGGCTTTATTTATTTATTTATTTATTTTAAAATTGCTAATTTCCCATAAATCACGAAACTACCCAATTTATACCCCATGCTCATATTCCAAGCAATTCCATTCAAAGATGTCCGCAAAACAAATGCTCATCTCACTCCATATTCTTTACAACAAAAAGTTGCCTTGAAAGTCTTAAGTTAATCAATTGCTAAGCACCTAACTTTGCAAAATGACACTTACTCTTCTAGCTGAGTTGTAAAATTTTATCTGAGACCTAAATATAAAACAACAAAAATAGCAAGCCTGGTCAGCTTTCGGCCGCTCATATCTGGTTGTGATGAATAGCAGTAAGAATGGTGAAAACTGTGGTTCCTGCTGATGCAATTGTTGTCGAAGTTCTTAACAAAGATAACTATGAGCATTGGAGTGCATTGGTTAAAAATTATTTGGTGGCTCAAGACCTTTGGGAAGTAGTAGAGGCTACAGCTGAACCTCCTACACCAGAACAAGAAGCAGAAGCTGATGATCAGTTCAAGACCTGGAGGAAGAAGAATGCAACAGCTTTACATACGATCCAAGTTTCGTGCGGGCCTGATGCTTTTTCAATGATTAAAGAGATCAGTTCAGCCAAAATTGCTTGGGAAACTTTGGCCGAAAAGCATATGCCGCAACCATCACTCCTAATTAATTCATTTGTTCAGTCTGCAAACTCATCATCCAACCCAGGTATATTGTTAAAAATACTATTAGTAGTTTATTAGACAATATTAAGGGCCAACTTTATTCAACATATAGTAAAACAAAAATGGTATGATTTTAAGGGTGATAGAACAAGGATGGTATGGTATGATTTTAAGGGTGATAGAACAAGGATGGTATGATTTCCAGTTTACTTTTAGCAACTTCTTAAACTGTTCTCCATCCTTGCAAAGACTAAATTAGAAAACATATAAACCTGTTTTCCAAATTAGAAAAGCTTTGTATCAACTTTATTCAGCCTACTAAAACGAAGGATGATATGATTTTAGTTTAGAGTTGTTATTTTGATATAACATTATGGTAAACAGAGAAGCATTAATGTCCAAACATATATATATACAAGACAGATGCTGCAATTGCTGCCGAGCATGATCCGTATCAACCTTTCTTCGCTGCTGTTAAGCTCGGTGATTGGCGTAAAGCGAAGGAATTTCTTACCCGAGATCCCAATGCAATAAGAGCAAGATCTTCAACAGGAGGGACAGCTCTTCACATTGCAACCAAGTTCGGACATGAGCATATTGTGGAAGAGTTGGTTCAGTTGATGACACCGGAAGACTTGGAAATTCAAAAGCATACTTCTTGGACAGCTCTTCATTTTGCTGCAAGATTAAATTTCAAAATGGTTGAATGCATGGTTAGAAAGAACAAGAAACTACTTGGCATTGCTGAAGAGTCCAACGGTCTGACGCCAATTCTCTTAGCTGCTCAGTTTGACTTATGGGATATCGTTCGTTATCTCTACTCCCTCACTCCGATCCAAGACTTAATGCCAGAGAATGGCCCTTATGGAGCTGCGCTTGTTTGCTTTTGTTTACTAGCCAAACAATTTGGTAAAATTCTCAACCAACCCAGACCCACATAATTTATTTATTTATTTTATACAAACAATATTGGGATAGGGGGACTCGAGACATTGGGCGCGGGGGTAACTATTCTTAAACACTTGAGCTACAAGCCCCTTGCATTATTTACTCATTTATTACCCAAGCTTTTAACTTTCACAGTTCCTATTTCTCTAATATAGATATTGCCTGGGAATTACTTCAGCGTTGCCCACGATTGGTAATTACTAAAGATGTTTGGGGAGTGTCCCCTATACGTGCATTGGCTGATATACCTTCTGCATTTCCGAGTGGGACGCCACTCAAATTCTGGGAAAAGTGGATCTATGATGGTTAGTAATACACTCTTTTATCTCTTGCTACAATCAAATTCAATATATCCCATATATATTTTGCTAACAGTTCATCTACACCATTAATATATTTTGCTAGCAGTTGATCTACACCATTAATAAAGATTTCAATTATTCGATCACATTACACGGAGGGCCCTACCATAATGGTCCATTTATTTGTTTAACATCTATTGTCACAAAAGATAATAGTTATTGAAATTGATCTTACATGTCCAAAAAAAAATATTTATTTATTATATTGACTGAGCTTTGTTCTCTTTTCTTAATAGGCATACACATACAACATCCTCCTGCAATCCATGATGTTCACGTAAATGTTGAAAATCTAGAAGAGAAACTGGGCAACCAAAATATCAGTTCTTCAGGTTTGATAGATCTCGAAACCCTAGCTATATGGTATAATCAAATGAAATCATTTTCTCAGGTTTTCAATGATACATCTATTTGATGAGAAGTTGATCATATATTTGACATGGTTTGCCACAAAAAGAAATTGGTTCTAGTATGCTCATAAACAATAACTAAAATCTTAATAAGAATCTGTGAATCATATAGCAAAGCACATTCATACTTCGTATAAACAAGGCATATTTATCTTATGGTAAAGGCTGTGGATTTTGAATTTGCATTGCAGTCTTCGGTTTAACGCAAGGGCCTTCTTCAAGCCTCCGCAAGCTTTTAGGTATATATGAAAACATTCTTTTCCATCTTTATTTATTGTTGTCTTTGTACATTGGTTTTGTCAACGTATTTTATTTCTACAAAAACTCGTTGTAACATTTTTTCCAACATCAACCTAGGAATCAACCGCATATGTGAAATGAAATTGATCCATGCTCGATCCCTATATATTTTGGATTACATGTGTGAAGTGGTAAAACATCTAGACACTCAAGACATGCAAGATGGCCTTGTCTATGAAGCAATATTCCAAGCTGTACGAAGTGGGACTATTGAGTTCGTTATTCGTTTATGTAAAGTAGATCCTGATATATTGTGGCGGACCAATTCAATGAGAAGGAACATATTTCAATATTCAATTGAGCGTCGCCAGGAAAAAGTATATAGCCTCATATATGGGGTTGGTCAAAGAAATCTTATTGCAACATTTGCAGATGCTTCTGGAAATGATATGCTACATCTTGCAGGGATGCTATCTCCAACTGAAAAACTTGATCGTATTTCAGGTGCAGCCTTGCAAATGCAGAGAGAAAGACAATGGTTCAAGGTTAGATATCTTCATTCTATATCTTTCTTGTAAATTAATTGTATTTAGAGCTAGTTGTGTTGTGGGATATTAGGTGCTGGAGTGGTAGCTTGTAAAAGTGGTTGTGGGTTGATATGTTGTCGATGAAACTAGTGGCGGTATTAGGTTGGTAGGGCTTTCAAGTGTACTTGAGGTGCCATATGGAAAGTGAGGTGGGAACCGTAGATGAGAGGATGGGAAGGTTTTGCGGTCTGGTTGCATGATTTTGGGAAGGAGGAAGTTCGGACTCATGAAAACATTTTTCTCTGCTACAATCTACTTGTTTTTATTCTAAACATGTCTTTTAAAATTCATCCAAAGTTAAAAATGTGAACCACACCCACATATTTCATATGCCAAAGAATACTGCAAGGCATATTTGATAAAGGTAAAATGCTCTTTTGTTTCAAGTTGGGAAACACAGGTTAAAATTCTAGGTAACATGAAGTAAGTTGCAGGCCCAACCCTTTTTCACGTTTATTATATTAACAGGCGAACAAGAGAAAATTTAAGAGTTCATTTAAAACCCTAAGGAAAAGAAGAAAGAAAACCCATGTTGCCGCCCTCTTGTGGGTTGGTGGCCTCCCTTCTTCCCTCCCCTTCCTCCACTCCCCCCTCCCAGTTCTTCCACTCAGCTCTCCATTTTTTGTATTTTTTTGTTTTGTGGTGAGGAATCAGTTGTCGTTGTGACAGTCGTCGTCTTTTGGCCATATACATAGCTACCACAAGGATTTGGCTCTAGTTCTCAGCTTTGACATGGGTTTGGAGCCACAAGGCGAGGATATTATTGGGCTGCATTGTGTAGGGTTTGGGTTTGGCCGGTATGGTTCTATGTCTCTATTTGATATGCACAGGAAGATACAGTCAGGTGGCTCTGATTTTTAGTTTGTTTATGTCTAATAATTTTACGAAACTCTTTAGGAGCTTGTTGTATTTTGCGTTCTCTTATTGAAAGGTTTTATTAAATGAAATGCACGAGGTGAGATCCCGACAAACTAATATTTAGTAACTACAAAAATTTGACTTGCCTCATAAAAATAGCTAGTAAACAAGCAAACAACAATGAAATCCTGACAAGTTTTATTACGTTGTGGTCAACAATGCTCATTGTCTTATTTCTTTCACGTATTATGTTGCCTTCCATAAAAGCAGTGATTCTAGAGTTAGTTACTTGGTAGCGACAACGGGCTTGAGGTTTATATGTTTAATGAAATGCAGGAGGTGAAAAGTCTAGTAGTTTTACCCTCCGGAGTGGGAGCTTACAATAAACAGGGTATGAGACCCCATGAACTATTTACCCAGAACCATAATAAATTGAAGGAAGAAGGAGAAAAGTGGATGAAAGATACAGCAACTTCTTGTACGGTTGTAGGTGCTCTCACTATTACCATCATGTTTGCTGCAGCCTTCACAGTTCCTGGTGGAAACAATGGAGGAACAGGCTTTCCCTTGTTCTTAGATGAAAAGATGTTTATGGTTTTTATAGTTTCAGATGCTATATCACTTTTTTCTTCCACAACTTCAGTGTTGATGTTTTTGGGAATCCTTACATCACGATATGCAGAAGACGATTTCCTAAAATCCTTACCCACAAAGATGATAATCGGCCTTTCAACACTCTTGATCTCCATCGCTTCCATGATGGTTGCCTTTTGTTCTGCTCTTTTCCTTATGCTTCATGAAAGACTATGGATTGTCATTCCAATCATTTTCCTCGCCAGCGTTCCAGTCACCTTATTTATTTGGATGCAATTTCCCCTTCTTGTTGAGATTTTCATTTCTACATATGGAGGAGGGATATTTGACAAGAAAGTGAGACGGTGGATATAAATTCTTGATGGTATATGAAAAATTGTATAACTTTGTACGTCAATACTACAAAAAAGGAAAAACACGACGGGAATTCACCGTCGTGTATTCTGTTTTCAAATGGTCGTGGAATCCACCGACATCTTTTCCATAACAAAACCACGACGGTGACCGTCGTTGTTAAAACAAAAAACGTCATCAAAAAATAAAAACCGACGTCTTTGTACTGCAAAAAGACATAAAAAAACAGTCGATGATGAGAACAGACGACCAACTCCAACAAAAAACCGTCGTTAAAAAGGAAACATATGACATATATTAACAGAACATGGCCGCAAGATAATCATATAACGACGAGAACTAAAACTTAACGCTGTTAAATAAATCTTTAACGACAAATAGAAATATGACGTCTTTACAATCATAATAGACGACGTTATTGACACCTACTACCTCACATCAATTCCAACAATCGTCGTAAAATAAATTTTCCACTTCGATTTTTCTATGAATTATGACGTGGAAATAGATGTTAGGGTCATTACTTACGACGCATGTATTTACAGAGACGGCGTTGAAATGAATAAACAACGTCGGTTCCAAATAAATGAGAGCCGTATTACAGAATATATACGTCATATTTTGAAATATAATCGTTGTGTAATGACTCTGAAACGGCATCGTTTCTAATTCCACCGTCGTGTAAAATAATTTTAACGACAGGATCTGGAAATAAACGACGTGGAAAAAATGATAGGGTCATTAATTACGACACATTAATTTATAAAGACGACGTTGTCGTCTATATACAACGTCGTTACCATGAAAAAGACCGCCGTTTTTAATAGTTTCTACGTCTTCATTAAAAAAATTAACGTCGTCTAATTCATATATCTTAACGTCGACAAATTTAATGGACTTCAAATACTGTCGTGAATTCATCCTTTTCCACGTCGTTTATGAAAGAACATGCAATGTGGTAAATTCATGACGACGTCGTCTTTTGTAACGTTCAGGTTAAAGATCTGGTCTTTAAGACGTCGGTATTATGGGATTGGAGTCGTTTTATTTTGAATTACATTGCGGTTCTTTATGCTTGTCCGACGTGTTATCCTGGATAACTGTTTCACAATAGCGTCGTGGTTCTTCATTGTTACGTTGCTTTAAGACGTTGGTAAATATATTGCGGTCGTTGAATGCTCCAAAACGTCGTTATTTATTAGAACAGACGTTTGTTTTTCACATTTTTATCAAAACCGTCGTGTTTGTAATCTGGAACCAGTAATTTTTGTACTGATTGTTTTGTGGCCAAAACTGTATAATGAAAGTGAAGAAATCACATTACAATATATTACAAAATTAATGTCATACACTGCCAATTACATAAAGCATCATTCAACCCATATATCTTCACACCCATCTCGAATATTTTGACTCCCTAACTCAACCACCACTTCATCAAATGTGTCAACATTTGGCATCCCTCTAGTAAATGGCTCACACTCAATTCTCACATCACCTAAGACATCATCACCAATAACATCATTATATTCTCTATTAGGCATTGATAACACTACCGACCAACCACGATGCATTGGGTCGTCAACAAAAAATACTTGTTTGACTTGAGAAGCCAAAACAAATTGGTCATTCCTATGTCCAATTTTACTCAAATCTACAAGGGTAAATCCAAGTTCGTCCACTACAAGACCAGAAGTATTATCTATCCAATCACACCTAAAGACTGGGATTGTAAACTTTTGGTAGTCAAGGTCCCAAATTTCTTGAATGACACCATAGAAACCCATATTTGAGAGAATTGGGTTTTTATCCTTGGCACTAGCAACTTGCATAGTATGTGCAAGTAAATAAACTCCACTATTTTGAGTTGTCCGCACATCATCTTGTGCCTTGATGTTGAATTTAATACCTTTAATAAGATAGCTCCTATATAATGGCACTGCCATGTTTGGACCAGCTGCTAGCCACCTTAAATTTTCTGATACGCCATGATTGTCTTCCTCATTAAGTTCACTTTGAACCTGCAAATTAATCATAACTTAATTCAATTTAACATAGAAAGAAGAAAATTAAAAGTCCAATATGTTATTCAATAACATATACCTTGAAGCGTAGCCATTGAATGAAAGTGCTATTGTGCTTATCCTGCAGCCACTTTGTTCTCTTTCTAAATTTTGGATAAGCGGTCTTGATGTGGATCATATGTTGCCTACAACATGACACAAAGATTATATAAAGTTCTAATAGCAAGTAATATACAACAGAGCCGACGGTTTTTAAACAAAAACAGACGTATTTGACATATATAGACGACGGGTTTTCAACAAACGTCGTCTACTTATAACCACGACGGTAGTTAAATAACACCGTCGTGTATAAGTAATACAAACGACGGTTTAAAGTAAAAACGGCCGTCGTATGCCTAAAAACGCGTCGGTGTCCCAGTTTATTTTCTAGATCCCAAAACCCTATTAAGAACACAACATATACATGAAACCAACATATACTAAGCATGAAAACAATAAATCCATTCCCAATTCAACATAACAGAGAGTGATTAAAAGATCCGACAAAATGAAATTCATTCCCTATTCAACATAACAGAGAGTGATCAAGAAAACATTAAACAAAAAATCCATGAACCCATACCTCCAACAACATTATTAACAGATCGCAAAACATATATCTAAAACCCTTTAACAAAACAACGTAATATCATTCAATGAATTTACAAGGGGAAGTGAGGGTTTGTACTTATAGGTTGGCAGAGCTCACAGATTATGGCCAAATTGGATTCGACACAGCCTGGAGAGCCCAACTTTGAATTAGAGATGAAGTGAGAGAGCGAAATGTTATGTTGCGCGAAATCTGAAAATTTTAGGGTTCAGGGTTAGAAGTATAAAACTAATAGCCAAATCTGAAAATTTTAGGTCCCGCGAATATTTTTAGAAAGCGCGCTCTTTAAAACATTGACCGAAAAAACAACCGTCGTTAAAATTTCACATTAAACATGACGCTTATTACATTAAGGACGTCGTGGTAAAACTATGTACGACGCAAAATCAAACAGAAGTCGTCAAAACTATGAAAAACCACGTCGGGGTTAAGTAAATAACGACGTTGTAAATAATAATAAACGACTCATGTGTAAAAATGACGTCGTTTAAAAGAGAAACCATGGCGGATTTTTCACTATACGACATAAACTCAGTATTCCACGACTCAATAACCGTCGTTAAAAGTAATACCCTAAAATTTAAAACCCTAAATTATATATTTGTAAAATATAATTTTATAAAATTGTTTATGGTTTTACACCCTGAACCCTATAACAAACATAAACCCTAAACCCCAAAAATTATACTTTAACCCTAAACCTTAATAAATAACAACCCTAAACCACAAACCCTAAACCATAAACCATCAAACTATATAAGTGATGTTATGACTCATCAAAACAATTTTATTTTGGGTGGTCATTTTAAACTTTTATTACTCAAACTGCATTTTTTTAAGGTTTAGGGGGAAGAAAATATATCAATGACTTCATAGGAGTTGACGTTGCATTTTTTGGATTTATTTTGAATATTTTGAATTAAAAAATAATAAAATATTCTTTTATCAACAACAAACAACGTCGGGGTTAAGTAAATAACGACGTTGTAAATAATAATAAACGACTCACGTGTAAAAAGGACGTCGTTTAAAAGAGAAACCATGGCGGATTTTTCACTATACGACGTAAACTCAGTATTCCACGACTCAATCACCGTCGTTAAAAGTAATACCCTAAAATTTAAAACCCTAAATTATATATTTGTAAAATATAATTTTATAAAATTGTTTATGGTTTTACACCCTGAACCCTATAACAAACATAAACCTAAACCCCAAAAATTATACTTTAACCCTAAACCTTAATAAATAACAACCCTAAACCACAAACCCTAACCCATAAACCATCAAACTATATAAGTGATGTTATGACTCATCAAAACAATTTTATTTTGGGTGGTCATTTTAAACTTTTATTACTCAAACTGCATTTTTTTGAGGTTTAGGGGGAAGAAAATATATCAATGACTTCATAGGAGTTGACGTTGCATTTTTTGGATTTATTTTAAATTTATTTTGAATTAAAAATAATAAAATATTCTTTTATCAACAACAAACCACGTCGGGGTTAAGTAAATAACGACGTTTTAAATAATAATAAACGACTCACTTGTAAAAAGGACGTCGTTTAAAAGAGAAACCATGGCGGATTTTTCACTATACAACGTATACTCAAAGGACGTCGTTTAAAAGCGAAACCATGGCGAAATTTTCACTAAAACGACGTCCCATGTACGTACAAACGGTATATCACGTCTAAATATCCTTTTACGTCGGTTTTTGACATAATTATGTCGTTGGAAAGTTATTACACGTCGGTTAAGCAATTTGTTTTTTCTTTTAAATTATGAAAACCTCAACAAATTTTCAGGGAAAAAAAGGATGTATATTATAGACAAAATTTGTACATTATATATTATAGACAAAATTTACATATAAAAATATCAAGTGTTCCAAAAATCCTCTATTCCATATGAAGGCAAACAAGATCTGCCCATTCATTCCGGACTTCATTAATGGCTTCTTGGGGGTATGGCGCTTGCACTTTTCCCTTGGCAAACTGCAATTCATAAACAATGATTATTAAGCTTTACAAAATAAAAAGAAATTCAGTCATAGACGACGCTTTTTGTCATAACGGACGTAGTATATCGATTCAACGACGGTAATTTTAAAGTATCGTCGTTGATAATACAAAAAACCACATAAAATGTTTCTGAAAATTTTCTTCTTACCTTCTTCTCAAACTCCAAGGAAGGATCCATGATGATCTCCCTCATGAAGCGCATCACATAATACCCGCATTCGACACTGCTGGGTTGCTTTGGTGTGCTTGGCAGAGTTTTCCAAATTGGTGCTTTACGGCCTGGTCTGCCTATGTGGGAATTATAAATTTTTAAAGCAGTGTTCACAATGTTTTTGCCCTCCTCATCAACCACACGATTTCCAGGCAGAGGATCCAGAAAATAGACGGTTTCCCTCTTTGCTCTCACAATCAGCAAGACCCAATGACGGCTACACAAAATTAAAATAAAAAACGACGGTTAATATAAAAAGTCAACACAAGAAAACAAACGACGGTTATTTATAAAAAACGACGTATTATAGAGTTTCACACGACGTAATAACGTAGCAATCGACGTCATTATAAATTTATCACGACAGTAATTAACTATCGACGTGGTTAGTTATTTCAAACGACTCAATAAATAAATAACCGACGTGGTTAGATGTTTCAAACGACACAAAATTAGTTAAACAGTTTTATAAGGGGTCAGTTAGTGAAAATCATACCAACAAAATCCTTTTAAGGAGACTAACCCTGGATTGTAAGGCATCATGAAAATCTGTTCACCATCTGTTTTCTGAAGTCTACTGGCTACAATTCGTGATCTGTCAGTTAGTGACCCAGCGTTGGCGCTAACTTGAGCAGGGTCGATAAAGCCAACCATGGTGCACATATTTGCTTCTCTCAAACGATCATATAAGCACCTAAATATATATATAAAAAAATACATATAAAAAGTCAGCCCAAAAAAACACGACGGTTATTTATTAACAAACGACGTATTATACAATTTCACACGACGAACTGGAATAAAAACAGACGTTATAACTAATTTATCACGACGGTAAAAAAAGAACGACGTGGTTAGTGGTTTAAAACGACGAAATAAATAAACCACCGACGTCTTATGCCATAATGTTTTTTTTTTTCTCATACACAAATTTGAGTGTGAATTAAATATTTGATAAGGACTCTTATATACTGCAACCACAGTAGCCCCAATTTCTTCCACGCCTGCAAACTGTGTAATATCTTCAGGCAAGACAAAGGTACTGCGATCTGCACCAAACACCTCCTTCTCAATTGTGAAGGTCATGATCTTCTCCTGAGGCTTTAGTGTCGTTTCCACATAATGAGAAAGGGATTGTAAGGAAGATGGCACCTCCAGATTTAAATAATCAACTACTTAATTACCCTGTTTAAAGAAATAGAGCAAAATAAAATGACGTGGTAATTCAATAAAAACGACGATTTAAATAAAAACATGTCGTCTGATAATAATTTAAACGACGGTAATAAAAACCGTCATGTTAAATAATTTATTACGTCATAGAAAACAAATTCCGACGTCTAATTTGAAAACAAACGACGGTTTAAAGAAAAATCACTACTACATTTTAGTCTTTGCGCGACGAAGGGGTCTTCGTCACGCAAAAATGATTTTAGTCGCACATAATTATGCGCGACAGAAGTTTCGTCGCGCAAAGTTCGTAAACAAAGGATTTGCGCGACAAACAAATGTCAATCGTCGCGCCGTTTGCGCGACATATAACAACTTCGTTTAAAAAAACATTTCGGGACGACCCCAATATCTGTCACACAAATATTTGCGCAACGAAATAGTGGTCGTCGCAAAAACAATGCGCGACGGACTCTTCCGTCGCGCGAGATACATGAACTTTGCGCGACGAATATTATTTCGTCGCGCAGGTAGTCCTTGCACGACAAAATAGTCGTCGCGCATACAAATTTCGCGCGACGAAACAATTCGTCGCGCATACACATTTTGCGCAACGAAATTATTCATCGCGCATGATTAAAATATATTTGTCGACAGGTTATTTAAATGTTTTTGCGCGACGAATTACGTTTCGTCGCGCAAAAGCAATATATATTATTAAAAAAAATTTATTATTATTTGATTTTTAATTTTGTAAAAAAATAAATTTGGTTTTTTTTATAATTAAAATGAAATTACAATACAAAGATTAATCGTAAAGAAAACATTTATTATATAAAATAAAAGAAATGTATACAAATTGTAAAAGTAATTATAAAAATAAAAAACTAATCAAATAATGTTCCAAAATCTACTTGGTCATCTGCCACATGCGGCTCGGAGGTATGGGCGTCTGCAGGGGCCGTGGTGTGCTGGGGATGCCCGGGGTGGACGGGCTCGGAGGTCGACGCACCAAAATTCGGGATTGGAATGCCGGACCGCGCGAGGGACTGCAGAATCACCGACATCTGACCCTCAAGCTCGGCAACCCGCGATGTCAAAACAATCACCTGATTGTTTGCCTGCGACGATGACCGCGGTCGAGGTTCCCTTTGTCGGGCATTCCCCATCCCCCTACAATATGTTCCCGGCCTCCTCCCGAGAGTCTGATCCAACGTCTGCGTCAAAATCTGAAATCCAGCATCATGCGGAGGATCCACAGACTCGATCGGAGTCTCGGGAGGAAGTTGGGAGGCGGACTCTTGAAGAACCAACTGGCTCCTCTCCACCATCGTCGTCTGTTTAACATTACATAAAATATAAATTCAAAAATGCATATAAATTGAAAGCGTAACATAAGAATTAAAAATACATAATACTTACATGAAGGGACTCGGCCAACTCATTCCCAGGTCGAACATAAACGTCACCAAAGACGTCGATCTCTGGGAATTTCGACCCCCCTTAATTGAACAAGAGAAGGAAAATATTAGTATGAACAAAAGAAATTAATAATAATGACGTATTAAAAATTAAATATAAATTATATTATTCTTACCCGACGCCGTGCATCCATCCTATATGAGAAGGGCCTGGAGCCGGAATGGTGGAGAAGAGTCTTCTTCTTCCTATTGCCCTTATTCACTTGGGCTTTATTCTGTTATACAAAAAATAAAACGTAATAGTTGAACTATAAATAAATTAAATAATAATGAGATATAAAAAATAAAATAAACATTAATAAGAAATATGTAATAATTAAACAAATATTATTAAAAAAATACCACATAATCGGGCGCCTGAAAATGAGCGCAGAGCCACGCCCAACTATCCTCCCGCCCCTCAAGCTCCTCCGGGCAACCCTCCTGAAGAGCGACTTGCGGATCATCAAACGCCTGAAAATGGTGGTGCAAGTCGCTCTTCCACTGCTTGTACCTCTCACCGAAGAGTCTGTTGACGTACGCCAAGGTCTCCTCGTTGATTTCCTCTAAGTGGTAGTTCGTCTGCAATAAATTGATTACATACATTAAGTAATAGAAATATATAAAGTTTGAAAGAAAAATAATTAAAAGATAGGAAACATACCGACAACTGGCCGCGAACTTGCATCTTGATCTCGTCAGGCATGACCCTCCAAGACTTCCATTGCATCGGGCAATGGGTCCGAACGACGTGGCCAATGTCATGGGCCAAGGAGTTATGCAAGTCCGCCGTCGGTGCAGCCCGATGGCGCTCGTCATATCCGATGCTGATACGACTGTTGGTCACCCGGGTGACCTTCGCCGTCTTCAGCTGCCGACACGGCCCTCGGGTGTTCCTCTTGGCTGCAAAGGGATATGACAATATTGTTACATATACAATCAAATTGAACCATAAAATTCCCAATTAAAAAAATGTTAAAAACAAAAAAACGAAAGTGGAAGGGTATTACCTGGAGGTGCCCCCGAGGCACCAGTATAGTCAGTCGATGTGGTGTCGGTGGTGGTGATCCAGCCGCCTGGGATCCCCCAGGACCAGCTAGCACGTGGTCCTGCTCCATCAGTGCTGGAGCAGTGGCAGCTGATACCGGCTGAGCCGGGGGCTCTGAACTCGGTGTAGTCGTCACCGCCCTACAACGTCTAATCAAGTCTGACATCTGCACAATTTCATTAATCCAATGTAGCACATACAATGTCATTAAAAATTGAACTAACTAATTAAAATCATAGTTTGACCCAGGGTTTGCGATTTCGGAGTATCCGGGACTCCGATCCACGATCCGTCGAATCCTAAACGATCCTATAAATACATGGTACCACATACGTGAGTTTCAGCTCGATCCAATAGGTTCGAACCATTCGAGACTCAAACGATAACCAAATTCCACAGTACCCCACGCGCCACCACGAAATGTTTACACTAGGACAAAATGCCCTATGCCACAGTACCCCACGCGCCACCACACGCGCCGGCAGCGCGTAGGTGCCCTAAGCGATAACAATCACCGGGAAATCCTAAAAATTAAGGGCCAAGGTTCCTACCCTAGGTTCAAAACATCAATTGGAGGCACTTTTGTTCTCGGACCTACCCCGAAAAACGGACGGAAGTGGCCGGAATTTCAATTTCAAAACCGGCCGAAACCTAGGGTTTCAAATTCACTACCCTATGCACACAATCAATCAAATCCTACACAACCATCAGCTAGAGCATCAAAAATAGTCCAGAAAGCATACCTCAATTGCCGGATTTGGTGCCCGGAGGAGAGAGAACAACGGCGGCGAAGATTCGGCCTAAACGAAGGAAATCACGGCGGCAGGATGGACGGCGACGGCGGAGAAGCTCCAAGGTTTGACGGTGGTGGCGGCAGGGTCTGAATTGGGGCGGAGTAGGGGCTGAGGTCACGGCGGAGAGAGAGGGAGGTTTTAGGGTTCCGTTTGAGAAACTGGGGAAGAAGGAGAAGATCGCGATTTTCAGAAAACTTATTCGACTTTGCGCGACGAATACCTATATCTGTCGCACAAAATTCATTAAAATAACTTTTGCGCGACGCAAAACTGAACTTCTGTCACGCAAGGTTCTAAAAATATGACCTTTGCGCGACTGAAAAACATACTTTCGTCGCGCAAAGTTGTGAAAATATCACCTTTGCGCGACGAAAAAACTAGTGTCGTCGCGCAAGTTTGTCCAGCCGCCCAAAATTTTGGGATTTGATTTTGCGCGGGGAAGATAAATGCAATGATATTGCGCGACGAATAGACCGAAGTTCGTCGCGCAATCTAGCTTTTGCAAAAAAAAATTCGCCACGTGTTGGAGAGAAGGGCTACAATTTTCATTTTGCGCGACGAAGGCACTTGCGTTCGTCGCGCAATCTAGCTTTTGCCAAAAAAAATTTCGCTAAGTGTCGGAGCGGAGAAGGGCAGTGAATTTTTTCATAATTTTGCGCGACGAAGCCACTTGCGTTCATCGCGCAATATAGCTTTTGCCAAAAAAAATTTCGCTAAGTGTTGGAGCGAAGAAGGGCAGCGAATTTTTTTCATAATTTTGCGCGACGAAGCCACTTGCGTTCATCGCGGAATATAGCTTTTGCCAAAAAAAATTTCGCTAAGTGTTGGAGCGGAGAAGGGCTGCAATTTTTTTTAATCGTTTTGCGCGACGAAGGCACTTGCGTTCGTCGCACAATCTAGCTTTTGCCAAAAAAAAATTTCGCTAAGTGTTGGAGCGGAGAAGGGCAGCGAATTTTTTTCATAATTTTGCGCGACGAATTCGTCGCGCAATATAGCTTTTGCCAAAAAAAAATTTCGCTAAGTGTTGGATCGGAGAAGGGCTGCAATTTTTTTAATCGTTTTGCGCGACGAATCCAAGGTGATTTCGTCGCGCAAAACCATACCCTTGTACCCTAAACCCTAAAACCTATACCCTAAGCCCTAAACCCGAACTCCTGAACTAGTTTCAATGATCCAACCGGCAATCTTCTTTTTTCATAGTTCAAGATCGTATACGTCAAAAATCATAATGAATGAACATTCAGAGATTGAGTAACGGGACAAAACTTTTCGACGGTTCTAAACAAATTGTCCCGATTCAACGGTGATTTTAACTCCGATCTTGAAATTTTTTTACAGCTGCGGTTCTTGACCCTATATGAATACAGAGATGTAATTCGATCTTCAATTTCAGATATTTACAGTACAGGACATTACATAATCTTATGTTATACTGAATGAATGTATAAAGAAATTATTCATTTTTTATGAATATTGTGTTTTGATGGAATACGCATTCTAGGAAACTAGTTTCAGTAATCTAGCCGTCAAATATGTTTGTTTATACTTCGAGATCGTATACGTCGAAAATGAGAAAAAAAAAACATTCAGAGATCAAGTAACGGGACAAAACGTTTCGACGGTTATAAACGAAAAGTCATGATTTAACGGTTATTTTGACTCTGATTTTGATGATTTTTTACAGCTACACTGTTTAACCCTATGTGAATACAGTGAACTACTTCAATCGTCAATTTCAAATATATACGTGTGTATATATCAGAAATATATATATGTATATATTTGCGCGACGAGGTCTTTTTTCGTCACGCAAAAGGTACTTGCGCGACGAAAATATTTGTCGCGCAAATAATAGAGTATGCGCGATGTGTAAGTTTTCCGTCGCGCAAAATGTGCGCGACAATTATGCCTTCGTCGCGCAAGGTTATTTTCATTCACATATTATTAAGCTGAATTATTCATCATTACATATAATTAATTATATGAAAGTATGATTTATTCTATTTTCTTTTGATTTGAGAATTGAAGGATTGTTGATAATCTTATTTTCTTTGTATTCATTTTTTCGGTTATATGGTTTTCATTTTTTAAAAGTTTTTTGTCAAAATAAATTTAAACTTTATGATACAAATTACTTGGATATATAGGTATTTACCAATGTTTCATTTCTGCACATATATAATGTTTGGATATAACAAGTACATATATGAAAACATTTGCATTACACAAAATATGTCCACTAACATAATAAAATTACAAAAAAAATTCATTATTCATCATCTGAACTATAATAACTTTCGTTATCGTCGCTATCATCACTTTCGGTCTCCCAATCCTCTTCCTCCTCCTCCTCCTCCGCCTCCTCTATAACTACATCATCGTCGTTGCTCGGGCCAACTGCAACATTGTATCGCGGAAGATCACCGAGGTCAATTGTAATTGACTGAATCGGTATTTCGATTGAAGACACTCCTTGTATTTGAAATGGCTCTTGTATAACATTAGTATCTCGAAGTGTTTCCGCATCATTTTCCATTGAAGATTCTAAACGTTGGTCAGCCACATTGTTGACGTCGTTGTCAGTTGGGTCTAGTTCTGGTATAGCATACACGTTCCTGTGATCCATCTTTTGAACAACGTTCCAACCGCTTCCGGCTTTAGGGTCATCTAGATACACAATTTGTGTTGCCATGTTTGCCAAAATATAAGGGTCGTCATCATACCAAGTTCTGTTCATGTTCACAGATAGTAAGCCATGATCGATTTTAACACTTCCCGGCCTATTTGGGTTGGTGTCAAACCATCGACACTTAAACATGATCACTTGGTATCAATCTTTGTAAAGCAATTGCACGACAGTTGTGAGTTTGCCATAGAAATCAATGTCCGTACTTTTGCCTCCACCTGGGACATGGACACCGCTGTTTTGCGTACACAACTTGTCATCTCGTGCTTCGCCCAAAAATTTGACGCCGTTGACATTACAACCCGAGAACAATTCAGCGCGAATCGGGCCGAACGCCAAGTTATATAACTCATCACTGTAAGTTGGGGAATTCGATGATTTCAACTTATTCACCTAATATTATACAAAACCATTCATATGTTAGTCTGACAAAATTAAAAACTACAATTTATATTTCTCAAATAACAAACACTGATAACTTACAGAATCCAAAAACCATTGTGGAAACAATTCACGGTGTTTCTGGGCAACCAAATGTGATGGATGTTCTCGCTTCATCATCTCTTCATGCTCATATAAGTATCCCATGATCTCATCACAATTGTTCAGTACGAACCAATGCGCTACCTCCATGTCATTTCTAGAAAACGACTCTCCGCGTCCAGGATCTCCAAAGGGTCGTGCGCTTTGGGCAAAAACAGAAAGTTTTTCATTTCTCATACCTCCGTCATGATTGCGCTGAGGACGATTGAAAACCGTCTCCACATCTTTTAAATACATTCCGCAGAAAGTAAGCGACTCATATTGAACCCAAGCCTCTACGATTGATCCTTCGGGCTTCGCCCTGTTGCGTACACTTTTTTTCAGCTCTCCGAGAAGCCTGCCAAAATTAAACGATATGATTGAAATTAGCAAGCATGTGATATTGATGCATACACAAACGATAAGGATTATATACCTTTCTATTGGATACATCCAGCGATAGTTGACAGTGATAATACCTGCAGGATGACTCAAAATGCCTAGAGGAGGGTGAATAGGCCAATTTAAGATTCTAATCAAATAAATAAAAATAAACTTTGGTAGCAGGATTGATATGGCTTATCAATCCTGTAACGTGCTGGGCATAAAATAAAAGAACACGCAGAGAATTATTTTACGTGGTAAAACCCCACCTCTGGGGAAAATCCACGGGACTCCTCAGTCCAACACAAATTCACTATAGAACGATGATTACAAGAAGTACTCACACACTTATCCTAGACACATTCTAGATAATGTTTACCGACTTCTTCGTAACTCAACTTCTGTCACGGGATGATCTTCGACACTCCTTATGTTGAACGCAATACTGGCCACGATTGCTTCAAGCTCACCGGAGAAAAACCGCCACCACGGTCTTGGTGCCCTCAACCGTATGAGTCACCGACATGCATATGAATGCAATATGAATGATTAAAGTGTTTGATAAATCACCAAGTAAACATTGAACACTTGATGATTTATCTCAAATATGCGCACAACAGCTTTTCTTAGAATTCTATATGCTGAAAACAAATATCTCAAAAGCTGTACAAATAAAAGAATGGCACATGATCTTTTATACAAGGCTTGTTATCTCTCAAGAGAGAGAGAAACCTAATAGGCCACGAATCTTCAATTTCCTATTGCACCACAACCTATCATCAATAAGAGATTTGATTCACATTGGACTCAAAGTAATGACGCCTCTCTTTAAACCAAATTAACTAAGAGGTGAGCAACAAGCAAAGTCACAATAGGAAAAGATAATATTTTAACTTTAATTAAAATAGAGTTAAACTAGGAAAGTAATCTCAAGAGATAAAATCTAATCTTATTAAAAATAAGATTAAGATAAAAATACTTTGAGTGAAAATAACTCAAACTAGGAATCCTATAATGAATGCATGATTATGTCATGATTTACCTGAAATCAGATTCCTCATATCGGTCAAGTCATGCTTTGGAAACCTGAGATTGAATGTGTTGCGCCAAAACGTCTAGTAAACGATATTCACACACTAACTCCCAACCTATGCTAGAGTCTAGGAAATGACAATACAAATTTCATACTAACAATCTCCCCCTTTGGCATTTCCTAGACAAAACACCTATTACAACTCAAAAGAAATTACATGGGATTTAACAAATGAATTCTTATTCTAAGCTTGAAGCCCTGAATCCCTGCACATTATGAAACAACAAAACCAGTGAAGCATGTGGGAGAAGAAATGTAATTCAAAGCAGAATTACAACACAACTCCCCCTTAATTCCATAACACAATCTCTCCCCCTTAATTCCACAACACAATCTCTCCCCCTTTTTGTCAGGAAATCCAAAGGGCAAAGAATGAACATAAGGGAGCATATATAAGAGGGAATAAAAAATAAAAAAATCAGATTGCATTCCCAACATATAGAACCAATAAAGCATGTAAGAGGCTTTATCTTGAAAACAAACAAAATTTTTTTTGGGATAAGCGACAGGAAAATAGAGAACTAAAAGAATAATGAGAAGTTGTTAAGAACCAAAACATACAAAAACAAAAGCAATACACTCAAGACAGAAAGCTCAAAACAATCAAGACATAAAACATACTGTAGATGCAGACCCAAAGTTCTCTTGAAAATATAATTATTTTCCATTCATAAACATGCCAAGTTTGTGAGTAAAGAATGAAAGAAGCAACAAACCCTTTGCTGTCTTGAACGCATGTGAAGCAAAGCATGTCAGGGACAAACACACGACAGCACACGAGACTCACAAACTCACAGAGAACAGTAGAGGCATACCACAGTCATGGTGAAAGATAAAAAGGCATCAAATGAGTCTACCATCAAGGAGCAAATGTGTTAAATGAACTCTTTTTCAATTAAGCACAAAAAATATGTCCACACAAGACGAATCCCACCAAAGATTGCACAAACACTAAGTGCATAGTAAGTATAAGAAGATCAATTTATATATATATTTTTTAATACGAATTTTGTGGCTCACTTTATCTAGCTTTCGACATGATCCATGTAACGGATGGTCAATCAGTGTGCTTACGTCAGATGACTGGAGGCAACTGGGTGATGAAGCACCCCTGGGGAAATACTGATCCGAATCATGAAGGCTCCAAAGATAAGCAAGGATAGCAAACCACCACAACCTGTTGACTCGAACCTCGACGTTGGTTAGACAAGAGGCCCGGTTACTGAGCAATGAGTGGTTGACACCCTTTTTTTTTTTTTTTTTTTAATTTTTTAATTTTTTTTTATAAACAGATCAAGAACTTACGCACAGTAGTGTTATGGCAATCCAAAGAGAGACAAGTGCATGATAAGAGATATTCAAAGGACTTCAAGGAAAAGAGTGTGGTGTGCAAAATAAAAATAAATAGATGGATAGATCATTTAATGAAGTTTATAATGCACCAAGACAATGGAAACCTTTGTGTGAAGCTGAGAGTGTAAGTTCTTAATATAGTGCAATGTCAGAGCCCAATCTAAGATCAACAAATACGTTCAGACAGTTACAGGATTGATACACCTTAACAATCCTTGCACGAGCTGGACAGATTTATAAACACAGAAATTAATTGAAATATCATAAAACATGAAAGAGGCTTTGGCATGCAATAGACTCCAAATTAATCTAGAGCACATATACCTAAAGACTTTCTAAGAGTGTCAAATCGAAGATTATCCAAGGGTTTTGCAGCAATACATTTAAGATCCAAACTTTCTAAAGCAACGGGTTCATGCACAACATTAGTGGAGGAAGACATACAATTATGATTTTCCTTTTTCCCTCCAAACTAACTTTGTCTTAGTTGACGGCAAACAATGAAAAGAAGATAGTTTGGATAAGCGGTTTACCTCTTTCATAAGATGTGAAATCTTATGTTGGATACTTACTTTTCCACCCATGCCATGAGAATTTGAACGAACAAATTCGTTTCGAAGCTTATTGCATCTCGGTCTTATGTGCCCACGAGTTCCACAAAAGTGACAAATTGGAATAAATTTCTTGACTTCATGAGAGGCAGAAGGTTCAATAGGTGAAGTGGATTTGACAAACTTTGTTTTAGACACAGCGGAAGACTTATTACTTGGTTCAAATCCCAAGCCTCGTTTGTCACCATCTCTTCGTCCCATGCTAATCATCTTGTCAATTTTTTCTGCACCAATGGTTAAAGAAACAATCCTTTCTTTTGAATTTTTAAGTTCAAGTTCAAGGGCTTTGTTGTCAGAAGTTAGAGAAGCAATTAATTTATTCTGATCAGTCAATTTTTTCTGCAAAAACATCAATTTTTCGTTCATACCTGCACTTACCTTTTCGGAATCTGCATCAGGGGATTGAAACTCGTTTGCAATCCTGCAATTTTCCAGCTTCAGCACAGCAACTTCTTTGACGAGCTCACTATTTTGTTTACTGAGCTTCTGAGATGCAGCCAACAAATCATCATATTTGTTCATGATAAACTCAATATTTATACCTTTAAAATCATCATCCTCACGTGATTCATCCAAGCTAACTGTGGTTATAAGTGCAACCGTCTTTTCATCATTCTCGCATTCCGATTCACTATCACTCCAAGTAGTATGCATTGCCTTATTATTGCCATCCTTTTGTTTCTTTAAGGTGTTGGCACATTCCGAAGATATGTGTCCATAGCCTTCACATTCGAAACATTTGACCTTTTCTCTTGGATTCTTTCGTTCATTTAACCTGCAAAATTTAGATCCACCATCAGTATAGTTAACAAACCTATTTTTAGAATTTATACCTTTTGAATCTCGACTCCTTGGATCCTGATTCTTGAGAAAGTTCATGAATCGTCTTGTGAGAATCGTTAATTCCTCATCACTGCAATCTTCATTTGAATGCCCATCATCTTCTTCATTCACAACCTTGAACGCAACATTTTTGCTCTTTTTAGGAGGTAGATGTTTCATCTCATAGGTTTGTATGGACCCTATGAGTTCTTGAACTTTCAAGGTGTTCAAGTCACGGATCTCTTCAATAGCCGTGATCTTTGGTTGAAACCGTTGAGGCAAGGATCTCAAAATCTTTTTCACAACTCTATCTTCTGGAATTTTTTCACCTAAACCTGAACAAGCATTCACAATTACACAAAGTTTAGCATAAAATTCAGAAAAAGTTTCATTCTCATCCATCATAAGTGTCTCAAACTGTAAAGTGTGCATTTGAAGCTTGGCTCCCTTGACAGTATCTGTTCCTTCATGAGTAACCTGCAAAATATCCCAAGCTTCCTTAGAAGTATCACAAGCAGATATATATTCAAATTGATCGGAAGAGACAGCAGTAAATAAAGCATTTAACCCCTTTTGATTATTAGTGCTGTGTGTGACTTCTGCAGTGGTCCACTCCTCTCTAGTTTTGAGGACTGTGGTTTCTTCATCTCCTTTTCCAATCGTCTTTGTGGGTTTAGGAAATCCATGAACCACTGTGCTCCATACACGTTCATCTAAGGACCAAAGAAACGACTTCATTTTGGCCTTCCAAGCGCCATAGTTGTTGCCATCGAAATATGGTGGATGTGCAATTGAGCCCGAGGCACGATCCATCCTAAGGTATGTTAGATCTTGCTGAGTATGTCCAGCAACCTGCTCTGATGCCAATTGAAAATACCTGCAGGATGACTCAAAATGCCTAGAGGAGGGTGAATAGGCCAATTTAAGATTCTAATCAAATAAATAAAAATAAACTTTGGTAGCAGGATTGATATGGCTTATCAATCCTGTAACGTGCTGGGCATAAAATAAAAGAACACGCAGAGAATTATTTTACGTGGTAAAACCCCACCTCTGGGGAAAATCCACGGGACTCCTCAGTCCAACACAAATCCACTATAGAACGATGATTACAAGAAGTACTCAAACACTTATCCTAGACACATTCTAGATAATGTTTACCGACTTCTTCGTAACTCAACTTCTGTCACGGGATGATCTTCGACACTCCTTATGTTGAACGCAATACTGGCCACGATTGCTTCAAGCTCACCGGAGAAAAACCGCCACCACGGTCTTGGTGCCCTCAACCGTATGAGTCACCAACATGCATATGAATGCAATATGAATGATTAAAGTGTTTGATAAATCACCAAGTAAACATTGAACACTTGATGATTTATCTCAAATATGCGCACAACAGCTTTTCTTAGAATTCTATATGCTGAAAACAAATATCTCAAAAGCTGTACAAATAAAAGAATGGCACATGATCTTTTATACAAGGCTTGTTATCTCTCAAGAGAGAGAGAAACCTAATAGGCCACGAATCTTCAATTTCCTATTGCACCACAACCTATCATCAATAAGAGATTTGATTCACATTGGACTCAAAGTAATGACGCCTCTCTTTAAACCAAATTAACTAAGAGGTGAGCAACAAGCAAAGTCACAATAGGAAAAGATAATATTTTAACTTTAATTAAAATAGAGTTAAACTAGGAAAGTAATCTCAAGAGATAAAATCTAATCTTATTAAAAATAAGATTAAGATAAAAATACTTTGAGTGAAAATAACTCAAACTAGGAATCCTATAATGAATGCATGATTATGTCATGATTTACCTGAAATCAGATTCCTCATATCGGTCAAGTCATGCTTTGGAAACCTGAGATTGAATGTGTTGCGCCAAAACGTCTAGTAAACGATATTCACACACTAACTCCCAACCTATGCTAGAGTCTAGGAAATGACAATACAAATTTCATACTAACAGACAGGACCAGCAAGCAATACCTCTTCTGGCAAGTGAACCATCACGTGCATCATACTTGTGAAGAAAGCTGGAGGAAATATCATCTCAAACTTTCATAGGACTTGGATAATGTCATGGCGCAACTGAAACATGTCCGTTTTTCGCAAAGTTTTTGCCGTCAGTTGGGAAAAAAATATGGACAACAAAATGATTAGCTTCACTACATCTTCCGGCAATAGGTGTCGAATACCAACAGGAAGTAGGTGTTGCATAAACACATGGCAGTCATGGCTCTTAAGTCCAGTAAATTTACCCCCGTCAACATTCACACAACGTGCGATATTAGAAGCATACCCATCGGGAAACTTTACTGACGATACAAACTTTAGAAACTCTTTCTTGTCATTCGGTTTCATAGAAAAGAATGCAAGATCCCTTCTAGCTTTATCATTGTCCCTATTCATCCATAAACCCCTTCGTATGCCCATTCTTTCCAAATCAAGACGAGCTTTGATCGTGTCCTTTGTCTTCCCCTCGATATCTAGAATCGTGCCCACCAATGTGTCGAATACATTTTTCTCAACATGCATCACATCTAGATTGTGCCTCAATTTTAGTTTCGACCAATATGGGAGCTCAAAAAACATAGGGCTTGTGCGTCCAGTTCATATGTGTAGAAGGTCTGATACGACTAACTGTTTTCCCGAAGGGAGCAAAATCCAACCGGTTAAGCTGGTCCAATATCTCATCACCGGACCATTCTCTGGGTCTAAGGCGACGCTCTGTGTTCCCGTCGAACTCTTTATCTTTTCCCTCCACTCATGGTCCCATGGCAACCATCTCCGATGACCAAGGTAACAAACTTTTCCAGCGTGCCAACCAAAAGTTACATCTTCCTTGCAAACAGGACATGCCATATAACCTTTTGTGCTCCACCCAGAAACCATTGCATATGCTGGGAAATCATTCACAGTCCACATAACTGCTGCCCGCAAAGTGAACATCTTCCCAGTTGATTTATCGTACGTGCGAACACCGTTTGTCCATAAATCCTTCAGCTCATCAACCAGCGGCCTTAAGTAAACATCGATTGACCTCCCAGGATCCTCAGTTATCAAAACAGTCATCATCATGTATTCTTTTTTCATGCATTTCCAAGGCGGCAAATTATATGGGAATACGAAAATCGGCCAAGTGCTGTGGTGTTGGTTTAGAACCCCATACGGATTGAATCCGTCAGTGGCAAGTCCCAATCTAACATTTCGGGGATCAGCAGCAAACTCGGGGAACGTTCGATCGAACTCTTTCCATGCCTCCCCATCTGCAGGATGCCGCATCACATCATCGTCTACCCGTTTTTCCTTATGCCATCTCATGTCTGTGGCAGTATGCGTCGACATATACAATCGCTGCAACCTAGGTTTCAGGGGCAAATAACGCATGACTTTTTGTGGGATCTTAGTCGTCCTATTCTGAGATGTCATCTTGAACCTCGACTCATTGCATATAGGACATGTATCCAACGATTCATGCTCTTTGTAGAATAACATGCAATTGTTTTTGCAAGCATGGATTTTTTCATAACCCAATCCAAGACCATTCAACACCTTCTGCGCCTGTTTATGGTCTTTCGGCAAACAATTGTCCGTCGGAAGCATTCTCTTGAAAACCCCCAAAAAGTAATCGAAACACAGGTTCGACATACGATACTTTATTTTTCCGTGCATTAGCTCCACAATGGCCGTGAGAACGGAAAAGCTCTCGCACCCCGGGTATAACTCTTGGTTGGCATTTTTTAACAATTTTCATATTGTTCAAACTCCGCACTGTCTATTGGTGTAGGCACATCATCTTGCTCTTCTTGATTCATGTTGGTCGATGCAAATGGAAAAACATCATGTATAATATCCATGACTTGATCATTAGCATCCACAATAGGTTGAACATTGTCCACTCTTGTGGCATTTGAAGACGAAGCATGCTCTAATTGTTCCCCGTGAAGGTTCCAAATGCTATATGTCTCAATCATTCCATTCCTTACTAAATGAAATCCAACATTTTCAATTGTCTCCCATAACGTGTTGTTGCACCTCCTACAAGGACAACGGATTCTAGTTGCACCCGGGTTGTGTCTACGTGCAAACTCAATAAAATCCTCGATTCCATCCAAGTATTCGTCTGCGCATCTGTTCGGGTTCTGTATCCACCTTCTGTCCATAATTCCTGAAACCAGAATCACAACACAACAATCACAACAACTTCATACGAAGTTATAATGTCACCTTATGCCTCCGGTAAGGGTCCTATCCCATTCGGGAATGCATACTCCTGCCACGTAACCTACGACTACATGAGATTAGATTTCGACGTGGATGAATTTCGCCAGCATCTCGCTACAGTTCTTGAGGTGGCCATAGGTATAAATACCTACGTACCACCCGAAGAACGTACCGAGATGACATCGAAATATCCACAATCGAAACCTAATCCTGTAGCCATAGATTACGTGACAACACTATGCATTACCAAACTGTCCAAATAATGGGACAATTCAAGAATTAATTGGACCGCAGTCATGCATTACGCATCCATGCACGAAATCCAACTAATCTCGAACGGGAAACTAAGTGTTACTAAACATAAAAATAAAAGCACGAAGTTAATTTCAATTAACTTCGTACATCACAACAGATTGTGCTACGTTACACACAATTTAACAACATAATATAAATATAACTTCACAAGAACATTTTAAACATAACAAATTAACATTATTAATATATAAAACGAATAAAATACATTCTCAATCGTTCTCCACCAATCGCTAATTACAAATATCCCTAACGAAAACAAATTAAAAAACCTTAGTACGAACTTAAATTAATACTTTTAAACTAATGACGAAAAATACTTACCCAATCAATGTATTGAAGTCCCAGCAGCGGCAGAGAGGTTGAGAGAGAGGCAGAGGCAGAATGCTTTGTTTTTGCATTCTGCCTCTGCAATGGCAGAATTCTAATATGAAGAAGAAGGACTTTGCGCGACGAATACATAAGTTCGTCGCGCAAACTTCCGTCGCAAAAAACCAAATCGTCCGTCGCGCAAACCCTTTTTTTCGTCGCGTAAACACCTGCCGACATCTAACTTTTGCGCGACGCTGGTACTTTCAGTCGCGCAACCTTTCGTCGCGCAATATTGTCGCGCAAAAACAAAATTCCGTCGCTCAAACGTGGAACTTTACGCGACGAACAGTACGTACGTCGCGCAAAAAAAATATCCCAACCAGGTAATTTTGGCGCCAAAAATAAAATATCCCTCGTTCTCTTACGCGACGAAAAATCTTCCCGTCGCGCTAAGCTGTCTTGTGCGATGAAGAGTTTCGTCACACAAGTTTTTACTGCCAAATAAGGGGACCCACTGGGTTCTGTCCGTTTTTGCGCGACGAATCAATGTACCGTCGCGATGTTGTCTTAAGCGACGATATTTCTCGTCGCGCAAATGTTTCGCCCCAAAAAATCGTCGCTTTTTTTAACTCTTTTTGCGCAACGAATATTTTCGTTCGTCGCGCAAGTATGGTTTGCGCGACGATTTATTCTTCGTCGCGCAATCTTTCGTCGCGCAAATGGTAAAACGTAGTAGTGAATATCGACGTCTAAAATTCGAAAACAAATCAAAAAGGCAAAGTTATGAGAATATACCTCTTCGTCATGCTTTTCTTCATCTTGTTTTTCTTCTTTCTTCTCTTCATCATTTTTCTCTTTTTTTTCTTTCTCTTCATCTTTTTTTTCTCCCTTCTTCTCTTCATCTTTTTTTTCTTCTTTCTTCTCTTCATCTTGATTTTCTAAAGCCCCAAATTTCTGTTTTCCGTAATAAAGAAATATATATAAGACAGATTGTACATAAAGTAAAAAAATTATTAAACGATGGTAAACAATAAACGTCGTGGGATTTGTCTATTACGTCGGTATGGACTAAAACCGTCGTCTAAAAACCACAAAGTACGACGTCTAATAGCGTGTAAAACAAGTAAACTAAATACGACGTTGTATTTAAATAAAAACGACGGTTTATTTATAAAATCGTCATGGTATGGTTTTAAAACGACGGGTTTATTCATAATAACGACGTCTAATAGTTTTTAAAAAAACAGAGAATTCAAAGTTCAGATATGTTACCATTTCTTCCTGCTGTTCCCCATTTTTGGCAGTATCATCCTCTAAATGTAGGGATCTCACATCAGCCCCAGAACAGCTTGCTTTGTCAGACATTGGATTTTTGGGACTTTGCTCTACACCTTGGTTTTGACAAGGGCTAGTTTTCGGTTTAAGCATGCTTGGATCAAAATTGGGGATGAGTTGGGAAAGCTGACTTAGTAAATGTTCCCTCTCAGCCTCTACCAATTGCTTGGTTCTAGCCTCCATCCTTAAAGTCTCTTCCCTTAATCTAGCTTCCATCTTCTTAGTCACTTCTTGAACGACAATTCTTACACTTTCCTTCAATTGATCGGCAAACTTTACCCTCTGTTGTCTAGGTAAATTGAAGAATTGCCTAGGGGAAATCCCAGCACCTACCCCTTTTACTCTCCCTGGATGCTCGGACCCAAAGCCAAGGTCAACACATCATTACTGCCAGATACACTAAGACTGCCTTCAGCCACTTGGTTTTGCAATTCATCCTAAAACAAAGACATATAAAAAAGTCAGCACAAGAAAACACACGACGGTTATTTATAAACAAACGACGCATTATATAATTTCACACGACTCAATAACATAGAAATCGACGTTATAATATATTTATAACGACGTTAATTAAATAACGACGTGGTTAGTTGTTTCAAACGACGCAATAAATAAACCACCGACGTCTTATGCTATAATTACAGAAAACATAGCAGTGATTCCATATTCAGACCTTTAACGACGTTTTTTAAAACATTTGGACGTAGTAATATAATTCACACGACGCAAAAATTAACCACCGACGTCTTATGCTATAATTCAAGAAAACAGAGTTGTGATTCCAGATTTAGATCTTTCACGACGTTTTTTAAAACATTTCGACGTAGTAATATAATTCACACGACGGAAAATATAACATAAGACGTAATAAGAATTATACACAGTTTAATAAAAATTTAAAACAGAGTGTGTAGGCTTACAATTAATTTTGCTTTCTCTGCCACCTTTGGATCCGGGATGTTACCATGTTTGTCCTGTCTACCTTTCTTCCATAAGGTAGATCGATCAATTTCTACCCCAGGCATGGTTTCCTCCAATTGATCCTCCAAACCAGCATATCCTTTTCGAGACAATCAATGATTGTACTCAAGTTTCTCCCTAATCTGTGAATGTTGAGAATGCACAGACTCAAATTCTTTGGATAACCTTGAAGCTACAAAGGCATCCCATTCTGCTTTCTCTATGAATTTATATATTTCAGGGGGTTGGCTTAATTTCTCCCTCTCCTTGATGTATGGAAGGATATAATGCCTCGTCAGTGTAGACTTGAAATCCTTCCATTTCTTGGCAGCAGAAGATAACACCGAGGTCTTGCCCCCTTGACCTACCACAAAAGCCATGTCAACGGCTTCCCAAATCTGCTCCTTTATATCCTTGGGGATTTCAGCCCATTTCTTGTCCACAAGTGGGACTCTGGAGCGTGCCAACACACCAATGTAGGACTGCATCTCAGTATGTGCAGGGCCACATCCTTTCCCCCTTTTATTGTACTCAACAACTGGCTTGATTTTCTGCAATTTTCTCTTCACAACACGAGGCATTGTGCTCATACCTCGACCTGACTTTGAATCCTCAGAAATTGTTGTCGTGCTGGTTGGTTCTGTCTCAGCAGATGAAACAAACTTCATCTTCTTCAAGGGCTTGTCTTGAGGAGTTACCATTCCAAGCTCCTTACCTCCATTTTTTTTGGAGCCAGAGTCCTTACTTTGGTCTTGAGAAACATGGTTACAGAAAAAACAAACCTGCAAGTGAAAATATTTCAGGAAAAAAATAAGAACACAAACGACGGTTATTTATAAAATACGACGTATAATAAGATTTTACACGACGTAATAACATAACATAAGACTTAATAAATGTTTTAAACGAGAGTACTTAAACAACGACGAAACAATATAAAAGAAGACATAATAAGATCTTATTACGGCGATATTTACACGACGTCGTGATATTCAAATTCACACGACGTAAATATTAATATAACGTCGTTTTATGGATATTCACACGACGTAAATAATAAGATACCGTCGTCTTTATAAGAATCCAAAACCTTTTTCTTTCTCTGTGAATGTTTGATTGCAGGTTTAATTTCTCTGAAACATGGTTTTTGTTTTTCCTAATTTGATAAAATACAAAGAAAAAGAAAGAAATGTTTGGCATCTTTTATAGACGACGGTATCTTAGTATAACGTCGTGGTATGAACATTCACACGGCGTCAATAATAAGATACCGTCGTCTATATTAAGATACCAAACCCTACTTTCTTTGTCTTTGTATTTTATCAAATTAGGAAAAACGAAAACCATGGTTCAGAGAAATCAAACCTGCAATTAAACAAGCAAATAAAAAATCGACCGTCATTTTAAAAACAACTTAGATCAATTTTAAGACGACGCTAGGACGACTGACGAACCGTCGTGGTCTACATATTTAACCACGTAAATAAGAAGCTACCGTCGTCTTATTTAGTTGAAGTAGTTGTGTTCAAAGTTGGAAACTTTCCCTCTTTGTCTGTGTATTTTATCAAACTTGGAAAGCATAAAAATGATTTTCGCCAGAAAAAAGGTAAAAAGATTTTCAAAACAAAAACCGTATGAGCATGCAAAATAGCAACAAAAATAATGAGAAATGAAAGCTTACCTTTTGCGTGCAATGAAAGCTTTCTCTCGGAGTTTGGTGTTTAAGTTCAGAGACGACGACGAAGACGAGAGGAAGACGATGAGATACTCTGACAGTGCTCTGACAAGGAAAAAAGACGAAAAGTTTTCTCTGGGAGATTGAAATTTTTTCTCGGGTTTGGAAACAGTGCATGTGTAAGTCAGGTAGACGAAAAGTTGTATGTATATACAAACCGTTTCATAGTAATAAGACGGCGGTTTACATAGAACGACGACGTATAAATAGACAAACTACGACGATAATTTGAACTTAGGACGTGGTAAATAAATACGACAGTAGTGTTGTAGGTACCGTCGTAGTAAACTCCTAAATAAAAGTCGATAAATCAATATCTCGCGTCATGGTAGAAGTATTTAACACGACGATGTTTTGTAATTTACCGACGTTTATTTTTATAATATACGTCGTTTTTTTGTAATATACCGACGTGGAATTTATAAATAGACGGCGGTTTTGTGTAAGGACCACCGTGGGTTTTAAAAATTTATTGTATAAATTTGTAGTTTTCTTTCAGTTTCAGTTTTCATTTAGGTTTCCAATTCTTCCTCTCTCACAGACACTCTCTCTCACATCTCGAAGACAATAATTTGGATGTCTTTCTCAAAGAGAAATGGAGCTTACTCTCCAACAAATCTATGTCCACAAGAGGAAGCTTGTCAATCCTGACAGGAGACTTAGTGCTTCTGAATACTCCTTGCTTTCCATCTAAAGAGATGCAAGCCTGGCCTCCACTCGCTGTCGAAGGAAAGTTCGCTTATCAGGGAAACCTGAAGATCAGATGTCAGCCTCTGTTCGATTTTCTTGGCTAAGAAGATCCGTCAGGTTTGTGATAGAAGAAGATGGGTTATCGGCATTAGTGAAGAAGATGGGTTATCCGTAGAGCTTCTGAAGAAGAAGATGGGTTTTCAACAATGCGATAAAGAATAGAAATGGCTTCAGATGGCCTCTAAAGCCTGAGCAATCGAATCAGATGGCTTCGGCTGTCAATGCTTTGAACTAGCCAAGTCCTGCAGAAAGAGAACGGTTAAAGAAATTGAAACAACGACGGTTTTCTGTTATATCGTCGTCTTTTTTAAACTAAGACGACGCAATATTTTTCGCGACGTGGATTCGTTTTAAAACGTCTTATGTGTAATATAACCGACGTGGATTTTATTTTTATAATTATAAATATAATTTTTTTTCCCTTGTTCTTTTAGTTTATTTTTCAAAAACAGTGCCTTATAAATAGAGTTTTTTTTCTTGAGGAAATTAATGTTCTAGAATTTGTAAAGTTTCTTTTTTGGGTGACTGATTTAAATCAAACACGAATATAAAAACAACGACTGTTTGTTGTTATACCGTCGTCTTTTTTAAGTTAAAACGACGCAATATTTTTTTCGCGACGTGGATTTGTTTTTAAAACGTCGTTATGTGAAATATAACCGACGTGGATTTTATTTTTATAATTATAAATATAATTTTTTTCCCCTTGTTCTTTCAGTTTATTTTTCAAAAACAGTGCCTTATAAATAGAGTTTTTTTCCCGAGAAAATTAATGTTCTAGAATTTGTAAAGTTTCTTTTCTGGGGGACTGATTTAAATCAAATACCAATATAAAAACAACGACTGTTTGTTGTTATACCGTCGTCTTTTTAAACTAAAACGACGCAATATTTTTTTCGCGACGTGGATCCGTTTTTCAAACGTCGTTATGTGTAATATAACCAACGTGAATTTATTTTTATAATTATAAATATAATTTTTTTTCCCTTGTTCTTTCAGTTTATTTTTCAAAAACAGTGCCTTATAAATAGAGTTTTTTTTCCCGAGGAAATTAATGTTTTAGAATTTGTAAAGTTTCTTTTCTGGGTGACTGATTTAAATCAAATACGAATATAAAAACAACGACTATTTTTTGTTATACCGTCGTTTTTTCTTGTCGTCTTAAGTAAGACTAAGACGACGTAATGTATTTGTTAACCGACGTGGATTATTTTTTTAAACGTCGTTATGTGTAATATAACCGACGTGGATTTGGTTTTTAAATTATAAATAGGGTTTTTTTCCACGGTTGCTTTCAGTTTTAGTTTTCGATTAGGGTTTCAACTTCTTCTTGCCCCTTTCTCTGTCTCACCTCATCTCTTAGGAGGCAATTGTTTGAATGTTGGTTTGTGTGTATGTTGGTTTGTGTGATTCACAAACATACACACATCACCAATTTTCAAAAAATTGTCTCTTTGATTGCAAATCTGTGGCTGCCGTCGTGAAGTTTTAGGAGGCAATTGTTTGGATGTTGATGTGTGTGTGCGTTTGTGTAGATACACAAACGCACACACATCATCCACTTCCAAAAAATTGTCTCTCTGATTGCAAATCTGAGGCTGCCGTCGTCAAATTTCAGAAGCAATTTTTTGGATGTTAATGTGTATGTGCTTTTGTGTATCTCAAAGACACAAATACACATACATCATTAACCTCTAAAATATTGTCTTTCTGGTAAGATTATGATGAGCAACAGAGTTCCATCTTGTAAGATTTCCTAACCCTTGTGATCTCAAAAAAATCTGATTATGTCGGCGGTTTTTTATATAAACCGTCGTGGTTATTTCAATTCTTGTCATTAAGTAGATCTACCGACGTAGGATAACAAAATCCAAGAAATAAATTGTTAAAAAATTCTTATTCAGACGACGGTTTAAATATAATGTATGACGTATAAAGTTGATAAATACGACGTTAAATTGTATAATACGTCGTTAAATTAAAACCCCAACTTGGTGAGATTCAAAGATATCGTCGTAGAAATACGAGAAAGACGTCGTTATATTTATCTTGGCCGTAGTTGTACATTAATTTAATACGGTGCTATTTTGTATTTTACCGCCGTGGATTTATTTGTAATTATACGGCGCCTTATACGAAAACTTGGTCGTGTTAATTTCTGGGTAAAAACGGCGGCTTTTTTTGAAATCGTCGTCTTTACTTTCTACGTCGGTCGGTTCATAACTTCCGCCGTTATTTGTTGGCTATGATTTTACCACTTGGAAATCCTATTTCAATAAGACGTCGGTTTTTTAATTAGGTACGTCGTGTTTTAGGAACAGCCATTTGAATCTCCATTTTTTAGTTGTCCAAGGTGTTATTACACGGCGGTTTTATAAAACCGTTGTCTTTTAAAAAACGACGGTTTTCACTTAGACCGTCATTTTTTTCTGGTCGTCTTTGTCACTTTTTGTAGTAGTGCGTGTTCTTCAATTTGGAAGACATTGTTGAATAGGAGAACCTTTACATCTCTCCCCCTCCCTTTCACCCGTCCCTTCTAATGTGATTTTTGAGTGATTGAGTTGTTGGTGTTGCTATGTACCTCCATTTGGATAAAGGAAATTGAAAAGTACATAGAGTTCTTAAATTACATAGAATTCTTATACAGATGTAGTTTCAGGGTATAAAGGCCTAGCGTGTGATAGTTGTTAGAGTTTGTAACCTTTGTTCTGGCAGCCCCTTCCTTACTTACCAGAGATAGTGCAGCTCAGATCAATAGGCATGATATGTCCCCTAAAATGTTAATAAATTGTTAAATATCTAATTGCATGAATAAATAAATCAAATAAACGCACATCTGTAGTGAACCCCAATTAAGGTTTTATAGTATCACTTTCTTTCTTATTCAAGTTAGGTTCGCTTAAAAACATATTGTTTGAAAGTTAATTACTACTTCTCATACAGAGAAAACATTGATCAATTCTCATGCAATCCAACCCTATCTTTAGTCTCTTTCATATCAAATGATATATTGGGCGATTCTCATGCAATCCAACCTTCTAGGGGCAAAGTTTAAACTACACTATAAATCACGAATACAATTGACGAAGAGAAGGTTTTATAGCGGCATAAACTTCATGCCAACCATTCTGCGAAGGGTGTACCGTATCCCAAAAGAAAGAAACATCAGTGTTATCGCATACAATGTACTTCTTTGCACCAGTCTGATCCACACTCCCGCATGAGTATTCATTGCTCACCCCAACACAACATGGCTTTAGTGTGTTAATCTGGAATGTCGAATATCCCGCTACCAAAAATATGTCTATTGTTTCCGAACTATGTCAAGGATTAATTAAAACAAACAGAGCAAAGACATATTATTTGATTGATAGGTTGACTCATTTAGTATTAACTTTTCCAGTTTCTACAGTAACAACAGAAAGAGCATTTTCAGTTATGAAACATGTTAAGACTATACTTCGTAGCAAGATGGAGGACTATCTTACAAATTCCCTTATTGTCTACATTGAGAAAGAACAGATGTGGATATTGATTCAGATTCAACAATCAAAGACTTAGATTCACTCAAGGAATGAAGGGTTCCACTTCACTAGGTAAGCTATTTTTATTTCCTTTGCAATGCAATATTTGCAGGGGAGGAACTAGCCCAAGGGCTACCCTGGGCTGTAGCCCAAGGAAGGGTTTGGGGAAAAAAATAATTAAACATATATAGCCTAATATTTTAAACTAAAAATAAATTACAAATATATACAATTGCATATCCTACCACACAGTGGCAGACCTATTAATCACCTCTCCTCACTAGAAAAACCATTGTATGTGCTTCAAATTGCCCATTTGCTCAGCTGGTGGTGGTGCACTCCAGGTGTATAGATTACCTTATTTCCATTTTAGCATTTAAGTAAATGTCTTTGTTCTTTTACTTTCGTTTATTTTTATATTACTCTATTTGCTTAATTTTACAATGTAAATAAGGAAGTATCCCCTATTTGGATTCAAATAAATATACTAGAAAATCAAATTCCCACCAAATCTAAATATGAAAAATCGGTAAAATACGATTTAGTTTTAAAATGATGAATCATTAAATCAATATATATTTCATACTAAAATTCCATAAAATCAAGTTTTCTTATTTGATGTGAAGCAGCCAAAAATTATCTTGAGAAATGATTATTCCGAAAAATCAATTTTCATACTTCGACAATATTTTTACAGAAAACAATTTTTCATCTAGATAAAAAGCTTTAGATGTTCAATCCACAAAGAGTTTTTTAGCTTTTCAAAATTGCACATCAGCTAAAAAATTCCTAGGTCCGCCAGTGCTACCACACCAATAGTCAAAGTCAAAGGTCTTCCACATTTATATTTGGTGTTAAACTTTGCCCCAAACATCAATTTTAATCCTTTTCCATTAACGTATCTCCTAAAGAGAAGCATTTTTCTAAATAAAATTCACCCTTTTGTGAATAATATGGCTATAATTCCATTTTTTTTTCTTGTGTTTACAATTAGCGTGATTTATATGATTTAATGTATACTTTTATTCATAGAAAAACTTTAGAAACTGTTAGTATACCAGAAAAAAAAATTATGAATAGATTTTAAGCTAATAACTTTAGCTAGCCCACCCATTAAAAAATTCATGGTTCCGCCCTTAAATGTTTGTTTGATGTTTGACAATTTGTGTTTAATTTGATGTTTATTTATATTGACAATATGTGAAGAAAAAAAAATTAGCCCACCCTCAGAAAAATTCCTAAATTCGTCCTTGAACTTGTTTCTCCATGTATTTGCTTGCCATGTCTATATATAATTGCTTTCCATCTAATAAGAAACCACATATAATTAATTCGATGGACGCAATTCCCCTCCTCATAAGAAACTTGTCCAATTGAAAGACAATGTTCTGTTTGTAATTTTATCATTTCTTGGTAGACTTCAATCACTTGATCGTTTTCTATGATTCTTGGCGCGTAAAAACTTGACATAGTTAAAAGCCTTCACCCTCGTTGCTGATCATATTCATTCATGCAGGGGGATTGGGGTTGAAAATTCTCTGGAAACTCCGTTACTCTTAATGTGTGTCCTCCTTAAGACATGAATATAGAAGAGCTCTGGAATTTATAAGCACAACTTTAGTTATTGACATATATGATAATTTCAGAGGCTTATAGAGCAATAATCATTAGTCCTTCAAGTTTTCATGATTTGTTTCGTTTTGCCGAATCCTTTGGACTTTTTTCGTTTTCTCTTTTAATTTCTTTGGGCAGACGTAAGAGATGGAATATTAGTATACTCGTGATACTCTCCAGATATAAAAGAGAAAGAAAAGGAAGGAATGTAATTATAAGTACTTAAAGAATAAATGCCTGATTCTTAATTCACCAATGCACTCAACCACACTACTTTAAGATGTGATCCTTCACTCTACCTGAGTTGTAAAATTTTATCTGAGACCTAAATATAAAACAACAAAAATAGCAAGCCTGGTCAGCTTTCGGCCGCTCATATCTGGTTGTGATGAATAGCAGTAAGAATGGTGAAAACTGTGGTTCCTGCTGATGCAATTGTTGTCGAAGTTCTTAACAAAGATAACTATGAGCATTGGAGTGCATTGGTTAAAAATTATTTGGTGGCTCAAGACCTTTGGGAAGTAGTAGAGGCTACAGCTGAACCTCCTACACCAGAACAAGAAGCAGAAGCTGATGATCAGTTCAAGACCTGGAGGAAGAAGAATGCAACAGCTTTACATACGATCCAAGTTTCGTGCGGGCCTGATGCTTTTTCGATGATTAAAGAGATCAGTTCAGCCAAAATTGCTTGGGAAACTTTGGCCGAAAAGCATATGCCGCAACCATCACTCCTAATTAATTCATTTGTTCAGTCTGCAAACTCATCATCCAACCCAGGTATATTGTTAAAAATACTATTAGTAGTTTATTAGACAATATTAAGGGCCAACTTTATTCAACATATAGTAAAACAAAAATGGTATGATTTTAAGGGTGATAGAACAAGGATGGTATGATTTCCAGTTTACTTTTAGCAACTTCTTAAACTGTTCTCCATCCTTGCAAAGACTAAATTAGAAAACATATAAACCTGTTTTCCAAATTAGAAAAGCTTTGTATCAACTTTATTCAGCCTACTAAAACGAAGGATGATATGATTTTAGTTTAGAGTTGTTATTTTGATATAACAATATGGTAAACAGAGAAGCATTAATGTCCAAACATATATATATACTCGACAGATGCTGCAATTGCTGCCGAGCATGATCCGTATCAACCTTTCTTCGCTGCTGTTAAGCTCGGTGATTGGCGTAAAGCGAAGGAATTTCTTACCCGAGATCCCAATGCAATAAGAGTAAGATCTTCAACAGGAGGGACAGCTCTTCACATTGCAACCAAGTTCGGACATGAGCATATTGTGGAAGAGTTGGTTCAGTTGATGACACCGGAAGACTTGGAAATGCAAGAGCATACTTGGACAGCTCTTCATTTTGCTGCAAGATTAAATTTCAAAATGGTTGAATGCATGGTTAGAAAGAACAAGAAACTACTTGGCATTGCTGAAGAGTCCAACGGTCTGACGCCAATTCTCTTCGCTGCTCGGTTTGACTTATGGGATATCGTTCGTTATCTCTACTCCCTCACTCCGATCCAAGACTTAATGCCAGAGAATGGCCCTTATGGAGCTGCGCTTGTTTGCTTGTGTTTACTAGCCAAACAATTTGGTAAAATTCTCAACCAACCCAGACCCACATAATTTATTTATTTATTTTATACAAACAATATTGGGATAGGGGGACTCGAGACATTGGGCGCGGGGGTAACTATTCTTAAACACTTGAGCTACAAGCCCCTTGCATTATTTACTCATTTATTACCCAAGCTTTTAACTTTCACAGTTCCTATTTCTCTAATATAGATATTGCCTGGGAATTACTTCAGCGTTGCCCACGATTGGTAATTACTAAAGATGTTTGGGGAGTGTCCCCTATACGTGCATTGGCTGATATACCTTCTGCATTTCCGAGTGGGACGCCACTCAAATTCTGGGAAAAGTGGATCTATGATGGTTAGTAATACACTCTTTTATCTCTTGCTACAATCAAATTCAATATATCCCATATATATTTTGCTAACAGTTCATCTACACCATTAATATATTTTGCTAGCAGTTGATCTACACCATTAATAAAGATTTCAATTATTCGATCACATTACACGGAGGGCCCTACCATAATGGTCCATTTATTTGTTTAACATCTATTGTCACAAAAGATAATAGTTATTGAAATTGATCTTACATGTCCAAAAAAAATATTTATTTATTATATTGACTGAGCTTTGTTCTCTTTTCTTAATAGGCATACACATACAACATCCTCCTGCAATCCATGATGTTCACGTAAATGTTGAAAATCTAGAAGAGAAACTGGGCAACCAAAATATCAGTTCTTCAGGTTTGATAGATCTCGAAACCCTAGCTATATGGTATAATCAAATGAAATCATTTTCTCAGGTTTTCAATGATACATCTATTTGATGAGAAGTTGATCATATATTTGACATGGTTTGCCTTAAACAAGAAATTGGTTCTAGTATGCTCATAAACAATAACTAAAATCTTAATCAGAATCTGTGAATCATATGGTAAAGGCTGTGGATTTTGAATTTGCATTGCAGTCTTCGGTTTAACGCAAGGGCCTTCTTCAAGCCTCCGCAAGCTTTTAGGTATATATGAAAACATTCTTTTCCATCTTTATTTATTGGTGTCTTTGTACATTGGTTTTGTCATCCACTTATTTAAACTCTATCAACGTATTTTATTTCTACAAAAACTCGTTGTAACATTTTTTCCAACATTAACCTAGGAATCAACCGCATATGTGAAATGAAATTGATCCATGCTCGATCCCTCTATATTTTGGATTACATGTGTGAAGTGTTAAAACATCTAGACACTCAAGACATGGAAGATGGCCTTGTCTATTCAGCAATATTCGGAGCTATACGAAGTGGGATTATTGAGTTCGTTATTCGTTTATGTAAAGTAGATCCTGATATATTGTGGCGGGCCAATTCAATGAGAAGGAACATATTTCAATATTCAGTTGAGCGTCGCCAGGAAAAAGTATATAGCCTCATATATGGGGTTGGTCAAAGAAATCTTATTGCAACATTTGCAGATGCTTCTGGAAATGATATGCTACATCTTGCAGGGATGCTATCTCCAACTGAAAAACTTGATCGTATTTCAGGTGCAGCCTTGCAAATGCAGAGAGAAAGACAATGGTTCAAGGTTAGATATCTTCATTCTATATCTTTCTTGTAAATTAATTGTATTTAGAGCTAGTTGTGTTGTGGGATATTAGGTGCTGGAGTGGTAGCTTGTAAATGTGGTTGTGGGTTGATATGTTGTCGATGAAACTAGTGGCAGTATTAGGTTGGTAGGGCTTTCTAGTGTAGTTGAGGTGCCATATGGAAAGTGAGGTGGGAACACTAGATGAGAGGATAGGAGGTTTTGCGGTCTGGTTGAATGATTTTGGGAAGGAGGCAGTTCGGACTCATGAAAACGTTTTTCTCTGCTACGATCTACTTGTTTTTATTCTAAACATGTATTATAAAATTCATTCAAAGGTTAAAAATGTGACACCACGCCCACATATTTGATATGCCAAGAAATACTGTAAGGCATATTTGATAAGGTTAAAATGTTCTTTTGTTTCAAGTTGGGAAACGTAGGTTAAAATTCAATTAATTTAGAGTAGATTTTCACGTTTATTATATTAACAGGCGAACAAGAGAAAATTTAAGAGCTTATTTAAAACAGTAAGGATAAGAAATAAGAAAACCCATGTTGCCGCCCTCTTGTGGGTCGGTGGCCTCCCTCCTTCCCTCTCCTTCCTCCACTCCCCCTCCCAGTTCTTCCGCTCAGCTCTCCAGTTTTTGTATTTTTGGTTTTGTGGTGTGGAATCAGTTGTTGTCGTGACAGCCGTTGTCTTTTGGCCATGTACCCACAAGGATTGGCTCCAGTTATCTGCGTTTGATATGGGTTTGGAGCCACAAGGCGGGGATGTTGCTGGGCTGCGTAGGGTTCAGGTTTAGCCAGTATGGTGCTATGGCTCTCTTTGATATATCAGGGAGGATACAGTCAAGTGGCTCTACTTTTTAGTTTGTTTATGTCTAATAATTTTACAAAACAGTTGTAATGTTTTGTTTTCTTTTATTGAAAGGTTTTGTTTAATGAAATGCACGAGGTGAGATCCCGACAAACTAATATTTAGTAACTACAAAAATTGACTTGCCTCATAGAAAAATAGGAAGTAAACAGGTAAACAACAGTGAAATCCTGACAAGTTTTATTACGTTGTGGTCAACAATGCTCCTTGTCGTATTTCTTTCATGTGTTATGTTGCCTTCCATGAAAGCAGTGATTCTAGAGTTAGTTACCTGGTAGCCACAACGAACTTGAGGCTTATATGTTTAATGAAATGCAGGAGGTGAAAAGTCTTGTAGTTTTACCCTCAGGAGTGGGAGCTTTCAATAAACAGGGTATGAGACCCCATGAAGTATTTACCCAGAACCATAATAAATTGAAGGAAGAAGGAGAAAAGTGGATGAAAGATACAGCAACCTCTTGTACAGTTGTAGGTGCTCTCACTATTACCATCATGTTTGCTGCAGCCTTCACGGTGCCTGGTGGAAACAATGGAGGAACAGGCTTTCCCTTGTTCTTAGATGAAAAGATGTTTATGGTTTTTATAGTTTCAGATGCTATATCACTCTTTTCTTCCACAACTTCAGTGTTAATGTTTTTGGGAATCCTTACATCACGATATGCAGAAGACGATTTCCTAAAATCCTTACCCACAAAGATGATAATCGGCCTTTCAACACTCTTGATCTCCATCGCTTCCATGATGGTTGCCTTTTGTTCTGCTCTTTTCCTTATGCTTCATGAAAGACTATGGATTGTCATTCCAATCATTTTCCTCGCCAGCGTTCCAGTCACCTTATTTATTTGGATGCAATTTCCCCTTCTTGTTGAAATTTTCATTTCTACATATGGAGGAGGGATATTTGACAAGAAAGTGAGACGGTGGATATAAATTCTTGATTGTATATGAAAAATTGAATAACTTTTGTGTGTTGTTCTTCAATTTGGAAGACATTGTTGAATAGGAGAACCTTTACATCTCTCCCCTCCCTTTCACCCGTCCCTTCTAATGTGATTTTTGAGTGATTGAGTTGTTGGTGTTGCTACGTACCCTCCATTTCAATGAAGGAAATTGAAAATTACATAGAATTCTTAAATTACATAGAATTCTTATACAGAGATGTAGTCTCAGGGTATGGGATAGTTGTTAGAGTTTGTAACCTTTGTTCTGGCAGCCCCTTCCTTACCACAGAGATAGTGCAGCTCAGATCAATATAGGCATGATATGTCCCCTAAAATATTAATATATTATTAAATATCTAATTGCATGAATAAATAAATCAAATAAAAAGCTCATCTGTTCAATATTGTAACACACACTTCATTCGAATGTACATTAATTTTCTCATGGTGAACCTCTTCAATGGATTGCGAATGCATTTTATTAAGCGTTGATGCCCATTAAGGTTTTCTAGTATCACTTTCTTTCTCATTTAAGCTAGGTTCTCTTAAAATCATATTGTTTGAAGTTTAATTACTACTTCTCATGCAAAGAAAACTTTAATTAATTCTCATGCAATCCAACTCTATCTTTAGTCTCTTTCATTTCATATCAAATGATATATTGGGCGATTCTCATGCAATCCAACCTTCTAGGGGCAAAGTTTAAACTACACTACAAATCACGAACACAATTGATGAAGAGAAGGTTTTATAGCGGCATAAACTTCATGCCAACCATTCTGTGAAGGGTGTACCGTATCCCAAAAGAAAGAAACATCAGGGTTATCGCATACAATGTACTTCTTTGCACCAGTCTGATCCACACTCCCGCATGAGTATTCATTGCTCACCCCAACACAACATGGCTTTAGTGTGTTAATGTGGAATGTCGAATATCCTGCTATTAAAGAAAGAATATGATCAAATATAGACATATATACATGAGTAGGACCACATTTATTGACCACCACCTTATAAACGTATTTAAGAAGGACCCACATGGATGGTACCTACTTTTATTAGAAAGGCGGTGAGCAAGGTGATGAGTAAATGTAAAACAAATAGCACTATCCAAAAGTAATACAAGTAGAAAGGATAAATTAGCGTTCGCGGAAAAGGGATTTATACCTTGATGATGTTTTGGGCGCTTCACTGCAGATATAAACGCATTATAGAGATCCAAGTCGACAAATGCCGAATTCTTTGTCTCCTTGTTCAACTCTTCCAACTTTTGAAGCAGAATCTGGTTGTGGAACATTGAAGCCATATTGGCAAATTCATTGCAGTTTTGATATGAAAGAAAGGAAGTTATGCTGGGAAGACATCCTAGGGGCTCTATTGTTGTAACTGCTATTTTTTGCACTCCCAAATCATGTATATGCTTCAAATCCACAGTAAGCTGCTTAATAATAGATTTAGTAAACATTGCCAAATCCTGTCATTTGGAAGATACAACGAGTGCGATCAAGTTGGTATAAAGTCTCTTCAAAATTCAATATATCATGCATGTATTTACGGACATGCCAAGAACCCCACATAGTTCGGAAACATCTAAACCCTTTAATAATCTTGTGTTTGATTAAAGTTCCCTAGAAAATGATGGAATCTTGAATTTAAATATATGCTAAAAAACAAACATAACTCCTCGAGAAAAACAAACATCATGTTATTGTTCAACAATGACATCTTGTTATAATTGATTACTGACATATGATAATTACAATACAATAACAACAGATTAATTTAAAGTAGATTATCGTTTGTATAAAAATATTTATTAAGAAATGTCATTTTGATTTTTCAAAATCCATAATTTGTCTGCTGTCACTAAATTATTATTGAAATTGGTGTATAAGCTCAAGTGATATTTCTATAGTTTTTTCAGAAGAAAAATTACATTACGTTAATAGCTTTTTATATTAGATGTTACTTAGAAGAAATGTTAATACACCAATGCAAGAGAGTAATATAAACAACTACAAAACGCACTTACGACAATAAAACCATTAGATTAACCACTTACCTTTGTGTCGTTGCCTGGTCCACCAAAATGAGCAGCGTAGTCGTTCCCCGCAACTGATACGAGAGCAATGGACGATTTAACGACGTCGTTTTTGGCATAGACTTTTTGTTGAAGCAGTTGTTCGAAAAAGTCAATTTGGGTGGTCAAGTTCGGTCCACTGACCAATGTATCGAAAACACCTGTGCCTCCAAATGCAAAGTTCATCCCAGACTCTAGTTTGGATTTCTTCACAAATTTTCCCAATGCGTAAGGCACCGGAGATCTTATGCCCAAAAAGGAAGCTGCAATTTTGCAACACGTCAAGGAGGAACAAATAAAATAAAATTTGTTCTTTTTTGTTCTTAAAGTTTTGTTAAACAATGCAGACTTGGGTTGAGCCAGTTGGCTAGAGCAGTGAGTCCGGCCCCCTGCATCTAAATTTGAATCCCTTTTCCATAAATTCAATTAATTTAGAGTAGATTTCCATTTGTATCAAAAAGATTTGGTTAAACAATAATTCAAGCAAATTAAAATTCATGCTCCCCTATAAATAAAAAAAATAATTATGCCAATACGATCCCAACCTAGTACTACTAACACAATTATATTTAAATTTTCTACATCTAAATAATATATGACGAATAAATTCATGTCAAATATTTCACATAGCATACTATAAAAACCAAAATTGAACTATGCCTCCTAATTATGCTCATTGTCGCATTTTGGTCCATGAACTTAACTACAGTTAATGGAGGATAAAATGACATTTACACCCATAAACTAACATAATTTTTTGTAAAGAGGAAAATACTCTTGAGAAAGAAAGGAAACAAACCAATATAATCAGTGAGGACACGACCGTTCGAAAACCGGCCGGCCGGCTTTCCCGGAAAAGTTATCCCATAAGGTTCCTTCCATGAAGGAGACACAGATTTTCTGATATTCCCAGTATCAACATATGAGTCCCCGAAGACGAAAAGTTTCACAGAGCCATGAATGTTGTGCTGATGAAGGTGATGATGAGCTTCAAGAACTTCTGCCACCATATATCAAAAGCAATAAAAAGGACAAATAAATACAATTTTCTTTTGTCTAAAAAAAATAAAGACTGATATCAAGAACATATATATATTTAGTTATGAAGAACTAACCTGTAAAAGTGGTGATGTATAAAAGGAAGAGACAAGAAGAGGCGATGGTGGTTTGCTTCTCCATTTGAAAGCAGAGATTTTTGGGTGTCTTGAAAGAAAAAAATGAAAAGAAAAAGACACTGGCGTTCTTACATATGGGCATGATACAATGTACCCTGCTTAATAGCAATAGGTTTTACAGCTTAGAAAAGGAAAATAAAAAAACGGATCTTTTTTTTTGTTTAAATATTTATTAATTTTGGTGACTTTAGTGTCATTTTCATTTTCCGTTCTATAAAAGATGGAAAACATTTATGACACCCAACAATTTCGTTGCAGCACTTGGAAAGTTTTTTATGTATCTTTTCTCATTTCATATTTTCTCGACATTAATTCTATAACAGCGTGTTTGGATGAAGGAAATAAATTTGGGATTTTTATAAAAGTCAGAATTTCTAAGTTGACATGAATCAATTCCCGTGTTTGGATTTAAAAAAAAACATAGAAATTTAGAAATTCCCGTGGAAAAAAAAATGGAATATTGCAGTCATAAATCCAAACTTTAAATTCTATCTAAAAGTAGTTATTTCTCAAATTCCAAGAGAAATTGAGTTTTTAAAAACGATAACTTTACAAATAAAGGTTAAATTCCGTATTTTAAATCCAGTACCCCAACAAGAAACTTTACAAATTCTAGAACATTAATTTCCTTCAATTTAAATTCCGTCATTTATAAATTCTTTTGGACTTTTTAATTTCCTCATCCAAATGCACCATAAATAAACTTACTTCAAGGCCTAGCAATTATTGTCATTTTTTTTAATCCAATTTTGCTCACTCCTTAATTATTATGATGTAGCTTAGGGTTTAAACCCAAAAATATTTATGTTGTACCTCACCCTAAACCCTAAAACATTACTGTACTTGGATAGGCCTCAATAACCAAATCATACCTTTGTTCAAGCTGCCCCTTCTTACCACAAAGATACTGCAACTAAGATAAATAGGCATCATGCCAACAGTGTCTAGTCCATTGAAAAAGAGTATTAACTTGCAGACTAGTAGACCTATGTTATTTGCTGTAGGGTTCATATTTTTGTTCACCATAGGAGGACTCACTGGAATAGTCCTGGCAAATACTGGGCTACTAGGTCATCAAGCTTTTGGTGAAGTTTTCACGTTGCTCATTTAAGTTTACAAGTCTGTATAGTCAACCTGATCCTATGATTAGGCCTAGGCAATTCTCCAGAAGGGTATCTTCAAGACCTCTAGAGACAAGAATAGACGAAGTGAAAGGAAGGAAATCTTTTCTCGAATCAATGATCTAGAGGGGAAACTAAGTTATGGGCTACCTCCTCAACTGTCTGATGGGGGCTATGCTAGTCTCATAGCCATCTGATCTACAATTTCAACAGATATTATCTATTATGAACAATAAAGGGGCAAATCAATCCTCTAATCCTAAGGCCAATGCTGCTGCTACTTCTTCAGGTTTGTCACAAGCAATCCTCGATAGTGGTGCAACTGATCATATTACTTCTTCTCCAAATTTGCTTGTCAACTGTCGTCAGAACACTGTTTTACTGCCAGTTATTATGCCAAGTGGAGAACAGGCTCCAATCACATCTACTAGAACTTTACCTTTGAACTCTATTATTTCTCTAAAAAATGTGCTTGGTATGCCATCTTTTAAGGTGGATTTGATGTATGTGAGTCAAGTTACAAGAGGTCTCAATTGTTCTGTAACCTTTTTTCCCTATTGGTGTATTTTGCAGGACTTGACGATGAAGACGATGATTGGTTTGGGTAAACAACGAGGCGGACTTTATTACTTGGTCGCATTGGCGTCAACAACACCAAGCCCTAAATTCAGATCCTCTGCTACCATTGCTAGCCATCCATCTTGTTCTCATGTCACCTCCTCCACCGACTTGTGGCATCGCCGATTAGGGCATCTATCTTCCTCTAGATTAGATTTTATGGCAAAAAATTTGCTCAATTTCCCTTTCAAATCCAATAATGCTTGTGACGTTCGTGCACTTGCAAAACAATGTCGACTTCCTTTTTCTGCTAGTTCAATTTTGTCTATTAGACCGTTTGAGTTAATTCATTGTGATATTTGGGGCCCCTACAAAATTCCTTCTTGTTCTGGTGCTAAATATTTTTTGACAATTGTGGATGATTATTCTTGTTTCACATGGGTATTTTTTATGCAGCACAAAAGTGAAACACAACATTTACTTACAAATTTTTTCTCCTTTGTTAAAACTCAATTTGCTGCATCCATTGCTAACATTCGAGTTGATAATGGGGGGGGGAATTCTCTTCTATGAAAGATTTTTTTTCAACAAAATGGCACCACTTATTAACACTCTTGTGTCTATACACCCCAACAAAATGGGGTTGTAGAGCGCAAACATCGTCATATCCTTGAGTCAGCCCGCGCCCTTCGTTTTCAAGCCCATCTCCCTTTGCATTTTTGGGCAGAATGTGTTCTCACCGCTGTACAATTGATTAATCGTTTGCCCACACCACTTTTTTCCCAACAGACTCCTTTTGAATGCCTTTATGGCAAGGTCCCTTCCTATTCCCATCTTAAGGTTTTCGGGTGTCTTGAATATGCTACTGATGTGCATGTCCTTCATAAATTCACTCCTAGAGCCAAACGTTGTGTTTTCCTTGGTTACCCGGTCGATCAAAAAGCTTACAAGCTCTATGACCTTACCAATCATAAATTTTTCACTAGTCATGACATTGTTTTTCATGAAAACATTTTTCCCTATGAGTCCCTTCAATCCATTCCAACACCTCCAGCCCCCGTCCTTCCTCATTTTATGTCTAACCCTCCTGTTTCAGACTCATTCCCCATAACCTCCACAGCACCATTAGAACTGGTCCATCCCGTTACCCCATTTGAAATGGCCCATCCAGATTCTCCTTCTTCGTCTCCTGATCCAGCCACTTCCACCTTTGATCAGCCCATTGCTGCCAACGTCGTTCAGCCCCCTCCCGTACCGGTTTTAGGACGTTCTCAACGCCATCACAGTCCTCCACGTGCTTTACGTGATTACGTTTGCAACCAAGTGACATCTCCCAAACCATCGCTGCCTTCGTCATCTGGTTCCACCAAACGTACGAGGTATCCTCTTTGTAACTTTCTCTCTTACCATCGTTACTCACCACAACATCATTCTTTTGTTGCTACTATTAGTCAGGATGTTGAGCCCAGCTCTTATACAGAAGCTGCTTCCCATTCACACTGGAAGGACGCGATGCAATTTGAATTGGAAGCTTTAGAAGCAAATCACACTTGGTCTCTCACTCCTCTCCCTCCTGGCAAGAAACCCATTGGATGTCACTGGGTTTATAAAATCAAAAGCCACTCAGATGGCACCATAGAGCGTTATAAAGCTCGTTTGGTGGCCAAGGGTTACACACAGTTGGAAGATATCGATTATCATGACACTTTTTCTCCCACTACTAAAATGAGTATTGTTCATTGTTTATTGGCTCTGGCAACTGCTCAGGATTGGTCCCTTCACCAATTAGATGTCAACAACGCTTTCCTTCATGGTGATCTCCATGAAGAAATTTATATGTCTCCACCTCCTGGTCTTCAGCGACAGGGGGAGAACTTGGTGTATCACCTCAACAAGTCGTTGTATGGTTTAAAGCAAGCTTCTCGTCAATGGTTTGCCAAGTTCTCAACAACTATTCAAGCTGCCGAATTAAATAGAGTTTCTGTTTCTGCATGGGAAAAAGAAGAAATCTTCTGGGAAGAGGAAACGAAGGAACCTAATTTAATCGCGTGTTGTTTCTGTTTTTTTTTATTATTATTATAATAAATTGGACAATAGTATATATAATATATATATATATATAAATTTGGGGCCCCTTAATTGGAGGCCCATGGCCAAGGCCCCTCTGGCCCACCCCCAAGTCCGACTCTGATTGTCACTGTAGCTCGTTGCGAATACGTTTTCATTTATTATTTTTTTAATACACAAAGAAGATATGCGAATGCATATTTATTAAGCGTGGATGCTAATTAGGGATATTTGTTGAAATGTCACCTTAACTTATACCTTAGTTTCAATTTGTCACCTGAAAAAATAATTTAAGTGAAATGTCACCTGAATTTTTCAAAATTCATGATTTGTCACCTGAGTTTAACATCATCTGATTTTCCATCTATTTTCAAGGGTATTTTAGTCTTTTCATTTTCAAGGATATTTTAAAAATGGAAAAAATTGTTATTAAAAAAATAAAGATTAAATGTAAAAATGGTTGGGGATTAAATGTGAAAAGATATATAATTTTTATAATTTTCAAGGGTCTTTTCATAATTTTTTTATAATGATTTTTTCATTTTTAAAATACTCTTGAAAATAAAAAGACTAAAATACCCTTGAAAATAGTTGGAAAATTGGATGATGTTAAAGTGAGGTGACAAATCATGGATTTTGAAAAATTCAAGTGACATTTCACTTAAATTTTTTTTTCAGGTGACAAATTGAAACTAAGATATAAGTTCATGTGACATATAGATAACTTTATATCTTATCTGCTGACTTCTAACTCTAGCTAGGTTAAAATCACACTATTTGTACTTAATTAGTACTTCTCTCATGCAAAGAAGTTGATAAATTATTAAGCGATCCAACCACATATTAGTCTCTTTTATATCATTATGATATATTGGGTAAACCAACCCTCTAGGGCCAATATTTAAACTACACAATAAATCACAAATACAATTGACGAAGAGAAGATTTTATAGCGGAATAAACTTCATGCCAGCCATTCTGCGAAGGGTGAATCGTGTCCCAAAAGAAAGAAAGTTTGGGCTTATCACATACAATGTACTTCTTTGCTCCACTCTCATCCACACTCCCACATGAGTATTCCTTGCTCACCCCAACACAACATGGCTTCAGTGGATTAATCTGGAGTGTCGAGTATCCTGCTATCCGAAAAAGAGTTCAAGTAGTACATGAGTTCACATTTCTTGACCACCTTACATACAGATGAGGGGGATCCACATAAGCAGTACGTACCGACCTCTATTAGAAAAGTGGTGAGCAACATGATGACTAAATGTGACATATCCAAAAGTAATACTAAGCTAGTAGAAAGGACAAAATTACAGTTCATTACAAAGAGTTAATTAATTGATTACCTTGATGGTGTTTTGGGAGCATAATTGCAGACAGAGATGCGTTATAAAGATCCAAGATTACAAATGAAGATTTCTTAGTCTCCTTGTTCAACTCTTCAACTTTTTGACGCAAAATCTGGTTATGGAAAATTGAAACCAAATTGGCAACTTCACTACAATTCTGATATGAAAGAAATGAAGTCATGCGGGGCAGACATCCCAGGGGCCCTATTGCTGTAACAGCTATTTTTCTCACTCCCAACCCATGTATACGCTCTAGATCCACAGCAAGCTGCTTAATAATGGATTTGGTGGCCGCTGCGAAATCCTGTCATTTGGAAGATACGAGTGCCATCAAGTTAGCATCAAGTCACCTCACAATGCAATATATCATGTATGTATAATGTATATTTGTGGCCATGCTATGAACCCTAAAATGATATATCATAGTTCAAAAACATTTGAGAACAATGGTTATATGAGTTTTCTTTAAGCGTTCCAACGCTCTTTGAATGCCCATCATGTTATCAATGACATCTGGTTATTATTGACAAGGAACATACGATAATTACGCGGTATAATAATAGTTAAGTAAAATTTTAGAAATGTCACATGAACTAATACGTTATTTTTCATTTTTTTACATTAAAGAGAAACTTAAGAGATGTCATCTCGATTTTTTAAAATCCATGATTTGGCTCCATATGTTAACTCTGTTACATAATCTATTAAGGAAAATCATGTGTTGTACACACGTCTCACTTAAATTATTAAAGAAAAAACAAAAGCTTTCCCACTTGCCTACATTGCATGCATGTCAACAAACAGATAGAGTTAGCTTAACCACTTACCTCAGTGTGGTTGCCAAAATAAGCAGCGTAGTCGTTACCCGCAACTGATACGAGAGCAATGGACGAGTTAACGACGTCGTCTTTGGTACTATAGAGTTTTTGTTCAAGCAGCTGTTGGAAAAAGTCGATTTGGGTGGTCAAGTTTGGTCCACCAAACACTGTATCAAAAACACCTGTCCCTCCATATGCAAAGTTCATCCCAGACTCTAGTTTTGATTTCTTCACAAATTTTCTCAATGTGTAAGGCACGGGAGAGCCTATGCCCAAAAAGGAAGCTGCAATACATTGCAACATCTTAGAGAGGCATTTCATAAAACAAAATAAAAATAAAATAAAATATTGGTTTTTTTCTTGTTTTCTTTTTGTTTTTAGAATTTGGTTTGAACAAACAATAATGCAATTACAAATTAAAATATAGAACAAATCATGCACTCTCAATCCCAATCTAGTAGTAAGAGCATACACAGTTTGGGGTGTATTTTCGAGAGTGTAAAGCCACTTTAGCATCCACTTTACATCTCCGAATGGTGTAAATATAGTTTTTGCTCTAATGGTGAATACGTAAATCCAAAGATATATATTTGATTTTCTTGTCTAAATTCTTTTTGTGTTTTTTTTTGTTAACTTTATAAAATTTATTTTATGCATGTTACGGTTTAATTTATTTTTCCAAATAAATAGACCTAAAAATAATTATATAATATATATATTTGAATTGTCCATGTTTAAATAATTTATGAAGAGTAATTTCTTGTCAAATATTTCACATGTAAACATACTAGAAAAAGTAAAATTCAACTATAGAGGCAAACATACACTCATAATCTAACATATATTTTTGGACTGAGGAAAATACTCTTAAGAGTGAAAGAAAAGGAACCTATATAATCGGTAAGCACGAAACCATCTGAAAATCGACCAGCTGGCTTTCCCGGAAAATTGATGCCATAAGGTTCCTTCCATGAAGCAGACACGGATTTTCCAGTATTTCCAGTATCAGCATACGAATCCCCGAAAACGAAAAGCTTCATAGAACCATGACGATTATGACGATGATGGTGATGATGTGCTTCAAGAACTTCTGCCATTATAAATCAGAGGCAATAAGGGACAAAGAGTAAATATGACAATATAAATACATTTTTCTTTGTCTAAATAATAAGTTGTGGCTACAATTAATATATGATTATCAAGAACATGTATATTTGTTTTTGTAGCACTAACCTGTAAACGTGGCGATGTATAAAAGGAAGAGACAAGAAGAGGCTATGGCTGTTTGCTTCTCCATTTAAAAGCAGAGATTTCGGATGTGTTGAAAAATAAAGAACTATATGATATGAAGTGATATTGTGGGTGGAAGAAACCGGCAGTCTTATATATATATATATATGAGCACGATGCAAAGCAATAGGTTAGGTTTTACAGCTTAGAAAAGGGGGTCGCAAAAATGCGTAGATTATTACCATGACTAAAATTAAGTGAAATACGAGAAAATACGTAGATTTTTTGAAATTCAACAATTTTGTTGCAACGCTTGGAAAGTTGTGTATCTTTTCTAAATTTGGTGACCTTATTGGGACTATTTCTCTATAATAAAAAATAATAATTATAGTATCCATAAATAAACTTACTTCAAGGCCAAACAAATTATTTTGATTTAAAAGTCTTCATAACTTGAGCAGATGAAATGAGTTAAATGTCACCCCATTTAGAGTTTGAATCATGAATGATCCCTGAATTTTTCAAAAGTCTTCATTTGAGTCCTCAAACTTTTAAAACAATGAATGTGGTCCTTAAATAGTCATCTACCCAGTTTGACTCTCGATGCTATTGGCCTGCATTCTGTGAGGGCCTGCCTGGAGCCTTACATCGTTATCGTGGCCCAAATGGGAGGAGAAATGAAATCACTATCTAGCTTGTGGTGGCCACTTGGGCCATATTTTAGAAGGGAAAATGCACAAGGAGCCATCAGCTGAACGCCACTGTGCTGCATTTTAGGACTGGAGATCTCACTTCAGAAAAATGGCAGAAAAATAGCGGATCTTAGGATGGTTTAAGAGCACTTGGGTACACTTCCTTGGTAGCCGGTTGTTCGGGGAAAGTTCTACCCATAGGCTCTTGACATTGCAGCAGAAAATATGTAGGTCAATTCTTTGAAGATGCAAAAATATTGTGGTACTGACAAAGTTCCTTATATGACTCAATGTCAATATTTAGGATGCTGGTCACAAAATAATTCAATTCTTAGTGACAAATCTCTCTAGAACCTTCTCTCTCTTTCATCTGGTTGCTGGTCTGCTCTGACCCCTGCTGTATCTTGGCGGGCTAGTCTTGGCAACATCAACAACTATCATCCAGCCATTAATGATCTGCAAGAATCATCAACAAAAAATAGGCTAAGCTTTCCTCTTCAGAGTGTTGGATCTGTTTTATAAACATGTAAAACATGTAAACCAAAGACAAGAAAGACTACGCCTACGTGTTTGATTTATTCGAATCAGTTTATAAAAATGAAAAGCATGTTGAAACTTGCCTTGCCATTCATCTCTCTGAGTGCTGCACTAGCAGCTTCCTCTGTGGCGTATTCTATGAATGCATAACCTTTGGACCTTTTAGAAATTTTGTCCATTATTATTTTAACTGTTGAGCCAAACATTTAATTAGAATGAGCATATACTGCCATCAAATTGAAAACCCCATTTTATGCTTTAAAAAAAAGTGCAGTACCTTCAACAAGCTCACCAAAGCCTTCAAATGCTGCTCGGAGGGTTTTCTCAGATGTAAAAAATGATAGGCCTGTTCAGAAACTAAAATATTTTTAGCAATTTCAAGTGAATATGCAATGAGAGGGAAAAAGAAGCTACACATATTGAAGAATATCGAGATCTTTTGAAAAATTAAAATGGATAACTCTAGTAAAGAGTTAAAACATAGTTAGCTTTACAGGGGTATTTTTGATTGTCTATTTGAAAATATTAGGCTTCCAAAGAATCAGATTAACAAGCAAGCAATTATATGTAAATAAAAGAACATCAATGTTTCACATCAGAATAAAAGTTGCAACATACCAGTAACAAAAAGTTTCTTTGTTTTTGTCGGGGTTGTTTCACTTGCCTCTCCAGATATCGACAGATCTGTAGAACTCTGCAAATTATTACCTGAGAAACACATATTCATAACAAATTGACATTGTTTACAGGTGGAACCTACTGCTTTAATGGTTAGCATTGGTGCCATTAAATAGAAAAGGACCTGAATAATGTCGGATAAAAACAACTATCATTGCACTCTTAAAAAGAAAATTTAAAAAAAAAATCATAATACTTTGTAATTACGAATACTAATTTCAGGTTGTTAACAACCCATTTCATGTTCCTTCAGGAATCTTTAACTTCATATAAACCATCAGCAATAAACAAAAATGACTGAGGTGAAATTTTTTTATTGAAATCACTAATAAATCCGGGTTTCCTACTACTTGATAAACATGGTACAAAATATGGCATCCTTTAGTGCAAGGGATCAGGAATAAAGCTAATAATTTAACAGAAAACTATAGTTCAACACACGTCAAGCTCCATCAGTTTATCAGATACTACCAAGCCTCTTCCCAAATATTTAAGAATTGTTAAGGAATGAGTAACCAAAATGATGTATTGAAGAACTCTATACGAAAAAATATTCAGGACCAGGAACCCATGACCTGTTATCCGCTGAATCTGTTCTTTCTATGATCAGTAACAGGTCTCTTCTGACAATTATTGGCAAAACTCCAAGACTTTCACACACCATGAAATCAAGCTCTTTCTATTTTTACATTCCAGGATGTGTAATATTTACCTTTGAAATGAGGTTTGCATCATCTCATGGTGTCAGATAACCTACAAATTCGGCTGTAGCAATTATTTCCTTCAGCTTTCTCCTTGTGGTTAATCTCATTTACACCATTTTCTGCCCATATCAAAATTCAAAATATTCCTATGTTTGCGGGATTATGTGATTTCTATTGCAAGGTCATACACCTTCACAATCTTATCTTAACAATTGCTCTGAAAATCTTCTTGTGTTATACATTATCAAAGTCTTCCCAATTCCTATTCATTTGTTGACCAAGGAACAAAGTCATCTGGGCATCGATCCACATAACCTTCTAAGTCCAACCTTTTGGACTAAAATTACAATGACACATTTAAATTTTTCAACAAGTAGTAAGAAACAATTCTCTATGGATATCAAAAGTTACTCAAGAAATTTATATATTGCTCTATAAGTTATCTCGTCAGTGACATTGCTCTCTGAAGTTGAAAAGAAGACATTAGGTTTGCAACATCAGTTTAAAAGGCATTCAAATCAAGAAGCAAAGCCTAACCATTACATCTGATTCTAAGACGATAACCATAAGTAGATATTATTCAAGAAAGATCTTATAAAAGTTAGAAGAGGAGAAAACCTCCATAATCTTTGTTCTCCGACTCCCAATTCTTGTCAGGCTCAACAGATAAAACACCAGGAACACCTGCAGCAAATAGGATCATTAGTCCTCAAGAAGACAATTGTTAACACAAATGTGGCATAGAGAAACTAAGAGCATACACTAACCAGCTACTTCCCGTGCACACTCTTCATCAAGTTCACAACAGAACCCAAAGTTAGATTGCCAGGAAACATGATAAATACACATTTGTGCATCCTTCTCACTACCAAAAGAGCAAAATACAGTACCATACCAATTAGAAAAAACAAAGTAGTTTAAGAACGCAAACAGAATTGATGCTCAGAATCTAAGACTTACTTCCCCAAGACCTTTGTTAGTATCTGAGCATAATAATCAACCATTTGTGCCTTTGTAACAACCCCAATGCTGGGTTTATCCATTCGAACGAGCCACCTTTTGGTGTTGGAAAGAGGAAATAAGAAAGTACTTCCACTTTGAGGGTAAGACATAAAACCTGATTGAACATTTGGTGGACTATAATCCTTTTTTGCAGAACTATAATCCGGGTCAGGCTTAACCGATAAAACCCCCGGTAAACCTACATAAATTACATACAAATAATTAAGTCATTCAACAACATTAGCAATAACGAATGACCAAACCTCATAAAAGTTCATTATCTCTTCAAACAGAACATCTCAGAAGCACTCATTTCATGACAATCAAAAAAGAATACAAACATCCAGTCCGTAGCAAAAACCAATTCAATGAAACATCAGTGAAAATGATATAACTTTACATGCGAGCTTGTGGGAAGTTTCTTCCTCAATATCACAGCAAAAGCCAAAATGGGTATCCCAAGAAGCATCGTATATACACATTTGAGCATCCTTCTCACTGAAAACAAAAACATTAAAACACAATTCAGGCGAAAATCTAAGCAATGTCATATTGGAGAAAGAATTTATAGCATACCCACTTGCCCAAAACACTTTGAAGGGTTTTAACATAGTATTCAATAACTTCTTGTTTTGAATTGACCCCTTGTGGAGGAGCCTCCATGAGCACAATCCAGTGGCGTTTGTCACTGGAAGTGGAAGATAGAGGAAGAGAAGTGGAAGGTGTCGCTGTTGTTGATGTTGAAGCTGCACATGTGTTAACTGAGAAACAACTACAAGAACTGTGAGAAACAGAAGAAAAAGTAAATGGGTTCTTATGGGTTGGTGAGATGGGGAATCTGAGGCTCGTAGTGGGGGTTTGGGACTGGGTTTTGCGAGGTTTCAGTGAGAATTTTGTGGATACGATGAATGTTGGGGAGGGAGACAGAGACTCCATGGCTGCCTGCTATGGGTTTATTTTCATGAGTAGAGGAACTAGCGCTCTCTCTGCTGCAGCTGCATAATCCTCCGCTTATCTATTGTCTAATCAGACAAATCTGCTGTAGCAATTTTATTCATTTATTTATTCCTTATCAATAACATTCCATATTCTTATTACTTTTAACAATTTCAATAATAAATTTGTACAAGTCCCTTCTAAAGATTCAGTTCATGCCCCCGGCCCCCTCTCTCCCAAAACTATTTTTTAACCGTTTTTACTTTGAGGGTCCACTCTCCTCTCCTCTCTTCCTTCCCTCTCTCCTTTCCTTATTTGTCTGTATTTTGTAATGACTTTTCCTCCACTTATCACAGGCGAATGCGTCTCGGCGTTGGATCTTCACCTGCATTTCAATGTCGAATCGCTACCACAATCTTTTTTGTGGGTTCTTCATGTTTGGAATAAGTCGCAGAGACTATCTAGGTTTTCTGCTTAGTTTTCACTCTCATTTTAGAGTAATGCTATTTAGACACACAAGCTGACCACCTTATGTGGCAACTGATGTGTCATGTCATATCAATTAATAAATGTTGTCATGTGTCTTCTATTTTTTATTTATTCTTTTTTCAATAATCCTTAAAAAAATTGAAAAATCAAAAGTAAAAAACCATAACATCCCTGGTAAGTGGCCTCACATCTGTTCTCAACTATTCCTCGCATCTCCACATCACTCCCTTCCTCCATTGTTGCTACACTGTGATAGGAGTATCGCTGGAACGTGGATGTGATAGGAGTATCGCGTCTCCACAGCACTCCCTTCCTAATATAGGTGAATCCTAAATTTTACCCAGGTATATAATATTTATATATATATGAATATTTTGGTAGTCCTTGGAATGGGTTGTTAATCCTTCCAAGGTCAGTCGCTTTGTCTCAGCCATACAATACTAAATAAGCAAGATGTAGAAACCATGTTGCATGAGGGATTGCTTATTTAATGTTAGCGAGATCCTAGCTTAATTAGGATATTTATTTCCTAGTTTATTAGGATTATATTTCTTTTCTTTTTGTACAAATATTGTGTAATTAGGTTTTTATCTTGTTTCCTAATTTGACCCTACTAGGGTTACATCCTTGTACTATAAATACTTTCTTTTGGAGAATGAAATATACCCTGAAAAATATTCTACCCATATTGTTTGACTTGGTATCAGAGCCAGGTTTTCTGGTGACCTGTGTATTGTGCCCACCCCATGTTCTATCCCCATTTTTTTTTCTCTACATGTGCCATGTGTGCCCTCTTGGGTTTGTGTGTTGTGTTGTAGTGTTCGTGCCTCTACTGTGTTCGTGTCATTCCTGTGTTCGTGCATCTGCCGTATTTGTGCCTTTGCTGTGTTCTGCTGTGTACTCTGCGATGTTTGTGCCTGTCTTCTTGCATCTACCATATTTGTGCCTCTGATGTGTTCCGTTGTATACTCTGTCGTGATCTGTTGAGTTTCTGCTGCAATCATGGGTGATAACTCCATTGTTGGTGTTGTTGCTGCAGCCTCTACAAATTTGTGTGTTTCTGATTCTATTCCATGTACTGACTCTAATACTTGGATAATTGACACTAGTGCTTCTGATCATATGACTTATAATGCTAAATTTTTTGATGAGTTGTCTAGTAACACCCGTGACCCCATACATAACTAGTGCTAATGGCTTGCCCTCTCCAATTACTGGTGAGGGCACAATCTCTCTCACTCTTACTCTGTCCTTGTCTCATGCGTTACTAGTTCCCAATATCTATTGTAACTTGTTATCTATTGGTCGATTACTTGATACACTTAATGCTTCTGCTAGTTTCTATCCTACGCATTGCTTTTTTCAGGATCTCAAGACTCACGAGACGATTGGGCATGGTAAACGGATAGTGGGGTTATATTATTTGACATTGTCTTCTGCACCAGTTTGTGATCGTGTCGTTAATACTGTTCAAAGTTGCAGTGTCAAAGACAAACAATAAATTTGGTTATGGCATCGTCGCTTGGGACACCCGTCATTTGGCTACCTTAAGCGTCTGTTTCCATCTTTATTCCACTCTTGTGATGAGTACAGTTTTAAGTGTGAGACATGTATTTTGGCCAAGAGTCATCGCACTGTTTTTTCTTTGAGTGACAGTAAAGCTGCAAAGCCTTTTGATTTAGTGCATTCTTATGTGTGGGGTCCGGCTCGCGTTACTTCGAACGGGTTTCGTTGGTTTGTCACATTTATTGATGATTGTACCCGACTCACTTGGGTTTTCTTGTTGAAAAATAAACATAATGTTGCTTCCATCCTTCTAGAGTTCTGTACTATGGTGTCTACTCAGTTTCATGCTCAGGTCAAAGTATTCCAGACTGATAACGGAGGTGAATATGTGAATAACACTTTGGCATCTTTCTTCCTTGCTCAAGGTATTATTCACCAAATGACAACCCCATTTACTCCTCAGCAGAATGGTGTGTCTGAACGCAAGAATCGTCAGTTACTTGAAGTTGCCCGTTCTCTTATATTGGATATGTCTGTTCCCCATCATCTTTGGGGGCATGCTGTTTTATCTGTTGCATATTTGATTAATCGTACTCCTGGTCGAGTTCCTGATTTCAAGACTCCACATGATGTGTTTAGTGACCATGTTTCCCCTGTCTCAGTCTCCAAGTTGCCCCTTAAAGTTTTTGGGTGTTTTGCCTATGTTTATGTCTACTCTCATCAACGGAGTAAACTTGATCCTTATGCTCTGTGATGTGTCTTTATTGGTTACTCTTCTACTCAAAAAGGTTATAAGTGTTATCATCTACCTACTCAGAAGGTGCATGTTACTTTGGACATGACTTTCCATGAAGAAGTACCCTATTATGTCTCTCATTCCTCTCCAATTTAGGGGGAGAGGGGGAGTGAATTGAAGAGTCTTGGATTGGAGAATGATGTGTTTGAAGATACTGCTCTCAGGAAGGAAACAACTTGTCGCACTGAACCAAGTGACCGGTTGCCCATATCTAAATATTGAACTTGTGGTTCCTGTGAAGGAATGAGTGATCACTCTTTGGAACTCGACTAGTCGCCCATATCTGGAGATGAAGCAGGTGCTCTCGGTGTCGAAATGACCGGTCACACTGAAGTGTGACCGGTCGCCTGTATCTGAAAATAATGACAGTGATTCTTATATGGATGAGTTCGATGCAATACCCCCCTCTGCCCTGCCAGTGCCCCAATTTACTCGTGATAATGAATCAAGTGAGGTAATTTCTAATGATCTATATGTGTCAACTTATCAGTTACCCCCACGAATCACTTGTGGGAAACCTAAAGTACAATATTCTCCTGATATACATGCCAAGTCTAAATATCTCATTAGTCATTATGTGTCAACTCATCGTTTGTCTAAGTCATATGCATCATATTTGTGTCAATTATCTAGTGTATGTGTGCCAACTAAGCTGCAGGTTGCTTTATCTAACCCCAAATGGATGGATGCCCTGAATTTTGAAATGGATGCCTTGATTAAGAATAAAATATGGGATTTAGTTCCTTTGCCACAAGGGAAGAAAGCTGTTGGATGCAAATAGGTGTTTACTTTGAAGCATAAAGCTGATGGTTCCATTGATCGTTACAAGGCTAGATTGGTAGCAAAGGGTTATACTCAGACCTATGGAGTGGATTATTTGGAGACCTTTGCTCCAGTGGCAAAGCTCAATACTGTGCGTGTACTATTGTCCCTGGCTGCTAACCGCGACTGGCCCTTATTACAATTAGATGTCAAAAATGTGTTTCTACATGGTGACCTCAAAGAGGAAATTTACATGGATCTCCCTCCTAGTATTCCTGTAACCTCTAAGGAAGGTATTGTGTGAAGCTGCGGAAGTCTTTATATGGATTGAAGCAGTCTCCAAGAGCGTGGTTTGGGAGATTTGCATATCTATGAAGAAATTTGGGTATGTGCAAAGTAACTCAGACCATACTTTGTTTCTAAAGCGTCATAAAGGTAAATTGATAGCTTTAATTATTTATGTTGATGATATGATTGTGATTGGAGATGATCAAGCAGAAATGCAAAATCTTTATAAGTATCTAGCTTCCGAGTTTGAGATGAAGTCATTGGGTGATTTGAAGTACTTTCTTGGGATTGAAGTTGCCAGATCTAAACATGGTATCTTTCTGTCTCAAAGAAAGTATATTTTGGATTTACCTGCAGAGATTGGAATGTTGGATTATAAACCAATTGATACTCCTAGTGAACAGAATCATAAGTTGGGGTTGTATCCTGATCAAGTCCCTACAGATAAAGAGCGTTATCAACGACTTGTGGGGAAATTGATTTATTTATCTCATACACGTCCTGATATTGCATATGCACTTAGTGTAGTGAGTCAGTTTATGCATTCTCCTAGTGAAGATCATATGGGTGTTGTGATGCGCATCTTAAGGTATTTTAAAGTAACTCCTGGAAAAGGGTTAATGTTTTGCAAGTATGGTCATACAAATGTGGAAGGGTATACGGATGCTGATTGGGCTGGTTCAGTCACTGATAGACATTCTACGTCTGGGTATTTCACATTTGTTGGTGGTAATCTTGTTACTTGGAGGAGTAAAAAGCAAAAAGTGGTGTCTAGGTCTAGTGCCGAGGCCGAGTACCGTGGGATGGCTCAAGGTGTGTGTGAGTTACTATGGTTGAGAAGATGGTTGAGAGATCTTGGGTTTGGACCCCGGAAACCCATGGATTTGTATTGTGATAATAAAGCTACAATTGCATTTGCGCATAACCCTGTGCAACATGATCGTACAAAGCACGTGGAGGTTGATCAACATTTTGTTAAAGAGAAGTTGGATGCTGAAATTATTTCTTTTCCGTTTATATCATCCGAGTATCCACTGGCAGATGTTCTTACGAAAGCTGTGTCTACTACAATCTTTCTCAACTCGCTTGACAAGTTGGGCATGCGTGACATCTTTGCTCCAGTTTATTAGGATTATATTTCTTTCCTTTTTGTACAGATACTGTGTAATTAGGTTTTTATCTTGTTTCCTAGTTTGACCCTACTAGGGTTACATCCTTGTACTATAAATACTTTCTTTTGAAGAATGAAATATACCCTTAAAAATATTCTACCCATATTGTTTGACTTTTAAGCAGCCAACTTTGTTCTTGTCTATCATAATTGTTCTTGTATAAGTGCTCTTAAATTACATACACATATATACAATCTTAAATTAATTGGTATTATACTACATATGTATTACAGGAAGTTTATATTAATATTTGGAATTATTTACAGTGGAAGAATCTTCAAGAAGCCATTCAAATTTGGAGATGAGTGAAGAAAATGATGAGGTTGAGATTGGTGAGACTGGACTGGAGAATACAATGAGCCCAGGAGAAACAACATAAGAACCTAAGGTAAATATGATTTTTAACACAGCTGATGAGGTGCTTGATTATTATAAAAAAATATGCAAATCAAGTAGGTTTCCCAATGAAGAAAAGATCATCGAAGAAAGGAGATTGTGGGGAGTTGAAATATGTGACTTTATCATGTTCTCGATCAGGGATCCCACAAAGTACTGCAAGCAATGTCCTAAAGCTATATCCAAGCATAAAATGCAATTGAAAGGCTCAACTTAGGGCAGTATGTGCTTAGATGGAAGGTGGAAAGTGAACTCAGTCAAACTCTATCATAATCATGAATTGAATCCAGACAATGCTCAATATTTTCGAATGAATTGTGCAATAAGTTCGTATATGAAAAGGAAGATTGAAGTGAATGATAGAGCTGGAATAAGAGTAAAGAAGAATTATAATTCAATGGTAGTTGAAGCCAGAGGGCATGAGATGCAACTGCAATTCAAAGTATTACAGCTTCGGGAAGGAGATGCAACTGCAATTCAAAGTATTTCTTGAAAATGCAAGCTCAAATGCAAATTTCTATTATACAATTGATCTAGATGAAAGTGGTTGGTTACAGAATGTCTTTTGGGCTAATTCCAGGAGTAGAGCAGCATATGAGGAATTTAGTGATGCTATTACATTTGACACGACCTACTTGACGAATAAGTATGACATGACATTTGCTCCATTTGTAGGTGTCAATCATCACCGGCATTCAATTTTGCTTGGATGTGGACTAATTTCAAGTGAAGATACTGAGACATTTGTTTGTCTATTTAAAGTGTGGCTGGCATGCATGTCTGGGCATGCTCCATGTGGGATAATTACTGATCAAGACAAGGCCATGAAAAATGCTATTGAGATTGCCTTTCCTAACACTAGACATCGTTGGTGCTTATGGCATATATTGAAGAAGCTTCATGAAAAGCTTAAGAGAGTTATAAACACTATGAATCTATTAAATTTTCCTTGGAGAACATTGTGTATGATTCATTGACCAATATTGAGTTTGAAGATCGTTGAAAAGAGATGATTGAGAAGTATGAGTTACAGAGTAATGATTGGTTACGAGGCATATATGATGAAGACGTCGTTGGGTGACTAGCTTTATGAAAAGAAGTTTTTGGGTGGGCATGTTTACCACACAACGAAGTGAGAGTATGAATGCCTTTTTTGATGACCACATAAATTCTAAGACTGCCTTGAAGCAATTAGTGGAATAATATGAAAATACATTAATGACTAAGGTAGAAAAGAGAACCACGTAGATTATAAGTCTTCCTCTGTAGATATCCGATGTAGCACCCATTACTTTATGGAGAAACAAGCTCAAGTTGTTTACACTATTGCAAAATTCAAGGAGTTCCAAGATGAATTAACAGGTAAAATGTATTGTAAGGTTGTTGATACCAAGGAGATGGTGCATTTTTAAAGTAACAAGTGGGGAGAAAAAAAGAGTAAACTTTACAGATATATTCCATTAATTTGACAGCGAAGTTAAGTGCAATTGTTCCAAGTTTGAGTTTAGAGAAATATTATGCAGATATGCCATTTATGTCTTGATTAAGCATAAGATGGATTTAATTCTAGATAAATACATCTTGTGAAGATGGAGGAAAGATGTGATAAGACGTCACACAAAGATTAAAATGAGCTATAATGAGTCAAATGCCACACTTGAAGCACATCAATGTGATAAGATGCAGAAGACCTTTGATGAGATTAAGGAGTTGGCAACTGATTCTAAAGAAAAGTGTGTGATTGTGATGGCTTGGATGTATAAACTAAAGGAGCAATTGTCTAACCATGACAACGTAACGTTTGTGGGAGTAGTCAACCAACTCCCAAGTCACCAACTAGTAGGAGTTTTGACAATGGTGTTAATGAAATTTCAAATTCAAACCCCTTAGCAGTCAAAAGCAAAGGCACCATTTAAAAGGAAGCAATCTAAAATGGAACAAATTGTTAGAAAGAGAAAAACAATGAGAAAGAAGAGCATATCTCAAGAAAAAAATACTAATAAAAGAAAAGGAATGAAGGTATGCAAATAAAATAGCTATTACTATTTGTATATTTCTCAAGAGTTCCATGACAGGATGTAACATCCCACATCGACCAACGGAGAGGGGGTAAGGTGCCTTATATGTACATGTCCACCTCCATCTAGCACGAGGCCTTTCGGGAGTTCACTGGCTTCGGAGTCATGAGAACTCCAAAGTTAAGTGAGTTTGGGTTAGAGCAATCCCAAGATGGGTGACCCACTAGGAAGTTGCAATAGAATATACATGACAACATTCATTAATTGATATGGCATGACACATCAGCTGCCACATAAGGTGGTCAGTTAAGGTGATAAATGTTGTGTGTCTAAATAGTATTACTCCTTATTTTATGAGAGTTTTTCACCTCTTCTTTGTGAGAGCTTTCCACCTCTCATTTGTGAGAGTTTTATTTGTTTTGTTATGGCTTGTTTTTTTCAAGCTTTATCTATTTTTGGTTGTTCTAAGTTTGCACTTTTAGTTGGAATGCAGGCCAAAGTCTCTTCGATCTTGTGTGATCATTAGTGGAGTAGCCCTAGATTGTCTTAATTTTGATGTTAGATCGCTCCCTTATTGTAATTGCCCTTTGTGGCTAATGGCTTTTTTTGGCTAAATTATGAATGCAATTCCAGAATTTCTAAAAAATATATATTTAAAAATTTCAGTTCATGTCCCCTCAACTGTCAATTATGTTACAATTTTTTTTTAGTGCCACAACATTGGCCATCCCTTAATTATCTTTCTTTTTTAGGGGTTAATCGCTTTACTTTCCCTGAAATTATCGTTAAATCTCACATTGTCCCTCAAAAGTTAAAATAGTTCATTGTGCCTCCTTGACCTATGTTTTACTCATTGGCCTACTCGTTTGGTTTTTTTTATTTTTTATTTATTTATAATAATAGAGACTGAGCTTTACTCGATCATTTGGGTTATTATTATGGAAAGTGAGTTTTGTTGAGAGTCTGAATCCCACATCGAGATATTAAAAGTCTTGCTTAATAGTTTAAATTCTGGGGGACTTTTGAATCAGCCCAAAATGAGGGAAGTATTATAAAGAAGGATAAAATTTTAGTGTTTTGACGATAATACCCTTATTCATTTTTAGATTGTCTAAGGAGTCCTTTCTCTATTTTTCAGATGATGCCAAAAAGTCTTGTTTCTTGCTAGCTGTATAGAGCCAAAAAGTTGGATTTTCTTGCTTTAATAAACTTTGGACTGATGTTGCATCTGCTATTATGTTGTTGGGATGATCTCTTCACATGAAATGAAGTTGATAGTGCTTCTTCTATCATGAGGGCTTCACATGGAGTTTATGCTTCCAACATGTTGTCTATATTGTGTAACTCTTCTTCTCCTAAACTATTCCAGTATGAGTTGTTGTTGTCTTCTGCTTCAATTTTTTTTTTTGCTATCTGGTTATAGATTTCATCAAGAACTTTTGCTCATGCTTTGCTTATTCTGAATTCATATGTGTCATATGGTCTCTTAGATGTAGTCTCTAAATAAATCTTGATAAAGTTGGATTGGTGAAGGAGGTTCATATGATCATCATTGAACAATTGTTGCTCAGCTATTGTTGTTCCTTTGTATTTTTGAATGTCTTGCTTGGTAGAGATCTCCGTATTTACGGATACTGTTGGACTAAGCAGTTCATTATGAGAAATAATATTACTATGCTGGACTAAGCAGTTCATTATGAGAAATAATATTACTATGCTGGACTAAGCAGTTCATTATGAGAAATAATATTACTATGTTGTGCTTTATCTGGGTAAATACTATTTGTAAACTACTTGGAGGTATACTGATGAAAACTAACTTTACATTCTTCCGGAGAGAGATATAAAAACTTATAACTTCTTTTAATTTTGAGGAAAATGAATCTAAATTATGACTATTTTCAATATAAAGTTGACCTAAATAACCATACTCTACTAAAATGCTTGAGTAATTGTGATATTTTTTGGTTATGCTCTAAATGCAGTTCTTTATATTCCACCATGTTAATACTAGCTAAATAAATAGTATAATGAGAGCAGCTTTTAGTAATAATTGTTATTCCAGGTTGTGAATTATTTTTTAAATTAAAAGAAAAGCTTGAATGTATAACTAAAGAGATGTATTTTGCTCATATTCTAATCTAATCATACGACTCTTAATATCTTCTAGTAAAAATCTATATCTTTCTTCAGCTAGAATTTGAAGGAAATATGGATTTTTAGTTTTTTGCTCAAGGGAAAATTCTCTATGAAGCTCGAGTAAGTTGGACTCATTAGCCTCTTTTTCTTGTAAAATCAAGCTTAAATTTTGACATCTTAAATTAATAATTCTAAAATTTCTTACTGTTGTATCATACTCTTTCTTTTGCTCTTCAAGTTTTTCCTATAAAAAAACAAAACAAAAACAAAAACAAAAAAGCTATTGTTTTGCTCTTTTATAATCATAACTATATGTTAAAAACTCTTGTTCAATGGCTTTAATAAGTTTTTCAGGCATTCTTCTCATACTTTCATTATTAGTTCTAATGTTCCAAAAGTTGTCAAAAATAACTTTTTGTTTATCTGCTTGTGTACGAGATCAGGATTTCTAACTTATTAGTCCTGATATTATAATGCTTGAGTGCAATATTCGGATTTCTAACTTATTGGTCCTGATATTATTAGTCTTGATATTATAATTGTGGGAACCAAATTAAATCAAAACCTTAGGTCAAATATTTCCTTCCCTTCGGAGATTATTTGACATAATTGGGAGTTACTCAATTTAATTGGGAGTTACCCAATTAAATTGGGAGTTACCTAATTAAATTGGGATTGATTTGATTCATACCTTAATTAGGGATTTGATTTAAATCAAATAAATAAAATCCATAATTAAGCCAATCTCTCCAAATTGGGGAGGAATAATTCCTTTCCATCTACGGAATTATTCCTCTAAAACCTTAGCCTCTGAGGCCCCTATAAATAGATGGCTACACACAAGGGTTGAGGTACGTCTAAAATTCCTACTGAAACTCTGCAGAACTAATCCCTCACAAACCCTAGCCACCACACTCTCTCTCCCTCTTACACAAGGCTCTGGCCACCATTCCGACCACCTAGTTTACACCTTACACATATATCTTCGTACCCTATTAGCTATTGTTTTCTATAGGAATCAATTGAACTAACTTAGGCATCGGAGGGCCTTTGGCCAACACCTCCCGGGTGTGGTGCTCTTATTTGATCTATTTTGCAGGGAGAAAGAGGCGACGAAGAAGAAAGGGAAATCTTTCCAATCGAATATTGTCGTGGGAAAAATCGCTCCCACAATAATGTTCCAAAAGTTAGTTCTAATAAGTTTTTCATGCCCTCTTCTCACGATATCAGGATTTCTAACTTCTTGTACTGGAATTCCATTATAATAGTACATATTTAATATTGGTCTTACTTGACTACGTATACTCATGCTTAATGGAATACCACCATGTGATGGTGTACCATTATTTTTGTTGCAAAAGGATGATGCTCCAAAATATTGCATACTTGTTAATGAATAATATGGGATACGATGTCTGCTAAAGTATTATCCATACCTTTAATATGCTCGAATATTATTCTAAATCCATTTCCTGTAATAGAATCAACAAAATTAACCCATCTTCAGGCTGCTTGTTTATTTGTAGTAATTTTATTATAATTGTTGGCGAGTCCTTACTTAGTTAGGATTTTGGTTCCTTGCTATGTTAGGATTTTAGTTACTTACCATTTATTTTGTCATATTATAATTGAGATTTATTTCCTATTATAATTTATATTTATTTTCTATTGTAATTTGGATTTATTTCCTATTTTATTTAGGGTTAACACATCTTTGTACTTGTATAAATACCTCCATATTGGAGAAGAATAATAATATGAGCGTATATGAGCATATCTGAATATTTGCCCTACTTTGTTAGACTTAGTATCAGAGCCAGGTTCTCTTATGACCTGTGCTTGCATTCTTCTTGAAATTTAAGTGCTCTTCTCCCCTTCTCTCCTCCCCTTCTCTTCAAGGGGGGAGGGGGAGTGAAAGGGATATGTTTATTGACCTATCCCAATTACCTTGACGTATTCCCATGAAGATGTTGCTTATTTCTTGACTCCGACGACCCCTTCTCTTCAGGGGGAGAGAAGGGTTGAAGAGAAGTTGTGTCTGCGCGAATAAAGTTTATATGGAAGAATTTATTGGTGCCATTGCTGCTATTGCCACCATTGATATTGTCGTTGTTACTACCATTGACGTTACCATTGCCGCTATTGTTGCCATTGATGTTGACTTTGTTTGCTTCACTTTCCGTTGTTATGGTCATTGCCGATGATGTTGCTGTGTTTTGATCCGTCTCTATCCTAAACACTACCTATTTCCGCTGCACTATACACCCAACCTATAATCCTAGTTCACCGCCGCCTTCTACCTTGGTACTGTCGCCATTGCTTACCTTGCTATTGCCTTATCTACTACTATGCTCACAGGATTTCTGTGTTTTGCCTATTTACTGCCGTGCTCATAGAGCTTCTTTGTTCTGCCTTATCTGTTACCGTGCTCACAGAATTTCTGTGTTCTGCCTTATCTGCTACCGTGCTCACAGAGTTTCTATGTTATGCCTTACCTATTACCGTGCTCACAGGGTTTCTATGTTCTGCTATGTGCCCTATTTTTTAGGGTTTGCTCTTATGTTTCCGCTGCAAACTTTGCTTTAGTTTGTCACTTGTTTCACTCGTGGTTGACTAAAAGACCTTCTCTACAATTGGTGCTTCTCAAGTATGTTGTTCTGTGACTCGCTTTTCAAGTTGGATCTGCAAAATATCTTTGCCCAACTTGAGGGGGAGTGTTGGCGAGTCCTTACTTAGTTAGGATTTTGGTTCCTTGCTATGTTAGGATTTTAGTTACTTACCATTTATTTTGTCATATTATAATTGAGATTTATTTCCTATTATAATTTATATTTATTTTCTATTGTAATTTGGATTTATTTCCTATTTTATTTAGGGTTAACACATCTTTGTACTTGTATAAATACCTCCATATTGGAGAAGAATAATAATATGAGCGTATATGAGCATATCTGAATATTTGCCCTACTTTGTTTGACTATAATGAGAAACAATATTCTGACAATCTGTTCTAATAGTAAATATCTTATTATATAAAAACAATGAAAATGCTTCAAGCGAGTTAACGACTCCTAAAATTTCTAAGTCAGTGGCTGGTAGTCTAGCATGTATATCACTAAATTTACCTAACGCATATCTACAAACTTTTTCTTTAGATTTAGGTTCTTCTTTATGTTTCTTCTGATATAAAATTCATACTCATCCTATTGAAGATGCGTCTCTCTCAACTATTTTGTATTTATTATCTAATGGTAATGCTAGAGGGTTAAGCTGAGTTATGTCTTATTTGATATTTTGAACTAATTTAATATCTTCACTATTAAATATTTTTGACATAGTTTACTGGTTTTACTATGCAATGCTGCAATCTTTCTTCCTAAATCAGGGATAAAACTTCTAGCATAATTTAATAATCCTAAAAATGCTTGTAATTGTTTTTTATCTTCTAATTTATCTGGAAATTCAAACACTATTTTAGCTACGTGTTCTTGCAATTGTATAGTTCCTGACTTAATATACATACCTAAAAATTCTATGTCTTATTTTTCAAGCTCTACTTTATTCCTACTTGTAACTATACCATTGTTTATAAGGTCTATATTTTCTATAACTCTTTTTATGTAGCTTTTTTTGCTTATATTTTCTATGACATTCATATTGTTTAGGCAAATCTATATTTTTACAACTCGTGCAAAACAATTTTCTAATTTGTCTTTTTGCTTTTATTTGACTACATTCTGATCATAATATATCATATACATATTGTATTCTTGCTCCTATGGATACATCTAGTTTCCCAGGGTGTTTTTGTCATTCATTCCAAATTCTATTTGGTATTCAACTTTCTATCGTTTTAATTCTTGTAACCTTTCTTTTATACTAATATGTGTCCATCAATGGCCATACATGTAAAAGGTTTACTGTTCTTAATTGGGGATTATGATAATTAACAAAATTTTAACATCTTATAAAACATTGGTTTTTTATCAGTTGTGTTGATTGACCTCTGTCCTCAAGGTACTTTACTGTTATAATTAATCATTAAGGTGCTAAACTAAAGCTCTGATACCATATTTTTCTGTGGTTGTCTCGGTCAAGGTTTCTAAAGGCAAAAATAACAACCAAACACCATGCCTAGAACATGGAACTGCAAAGACGCCAACTTAAACGGCTATGGAGCATAACTCAAAGATTCCCGACAGACATCCAGTTATTGTTATGGCAAATATCAAACATGACCAAGTGCTCAAACAAAGTATTGTTCGTCAATTTAGCAAGATAATAACATAATTATAAAAAATGTTTCCTTATTTTGGACAAGAAGTCTACTAAGAAAACCAAAAATGAAAGAGATATAGACAAACACTTCACACATACTTCACATGCAAAAATGGACTCAAAAATATGTACAAACAAACAAAACATTATTGCTGGCACTGTGGTTGCACAATAACAACTGTTGGACAAAGACAAAATCTTCACATGTTGGTCTGGTCTCTTCACATGTTGATGTTGGTGGAGGAAAGAGCCCTAGGACTTGCATGTCTTTGGTGCTAAAAAGAAGGGGTTTTCTCGTCTTTTTGAAAATATTTTGGGTTTGTTTGAGAGCTGATTGTTTGTTTTGGGTATTTCACTAGATTTCCTTTAAATTATCTTGAACCAACCATTACCAATTGATTTTAACTTGGATGGTGAAATTCTAATATGGTAACAGAGCATGTTGAACTAAATTTGATAGGATTAGGATTAGGATTGCGTTGGCCTTCGGTTGGACATTTGACATTATAGAGGACAAATGTTTTTGGGGAAAAAGTACTCGGTTTACTCAAGGATGCAAAATATTTACAATATCCCCACAACAAAAAATATTTACAATATCCGCCCAAGGACTACACAAACTATTTGGTGGAGAGCAGTTCTATCTAACTTCACTTCTAAACACAACACAGAGTGGAACCTCTACATAATTTTTATCATTTGATGAGACTCAGATAATGCGAGACTGGGGAAAACTCTTTGGTATCTCTAATATTTTCCTTTGGAAGATTCACTACATGAAGTTCCCACCAATGCATAGCTTGGGATGCAGAAATAGAATTAACCATCAGTTAGTAGTGGTGTTTCAATGTCCTCTGGAGAGCGTTCGACCGGTTTAAGCTTGCAAGCAATGCAAAAAGCAACCATCTGGTCATGACCAGATTAGATTAGCATGCATGTTAGTCATTAAAGAACACGAGAGAGAGAGAGATAGATATATATATATATATATATATATATATATGAAGGGTGGCTTACCATGCATATGGATGCGCATATGATGCTAAAACCTTTGCAGTTGAAAGGGGCATTGCTAGATAGAAACCATGCTAATACAAGAACAAAAAATTCTAGCCATCAGAACTACAATGGAAGTGGTTCCGAAAAAAATATATTCATCATCTAGAAAAATAAACACCGACACATAACAAACAGAAACATGCACTTACATGTCAATGGACTCATGGCAACTGGAGATAGCAGACTTGATATTGATTGCACACCGGCTATAAATCCTTGTACTTTTCCCTGTATGCAATCCAACAAAGCAGTTGTGTAAGAAAAAATACCCAACTGTTTGAAAGTGTGAGAAACCAAAACAAAAACAAATTGAATAATGGTTCTCTCTGCTCTGCTCACCTGATTGGTTGAGCATGTTGCTCTGGAAATAATTGCAAAAGTCTGCAAAGCAAGAGTTCAATCAATGGAAGCATGGAAAGAAAGACCATCACAATTAAGTACCTACCTGAACCCCAGTAATCGAAATTCAATTTATATTTTTTTCTTCCAATAAGAAGTTCTTCAAAATTAGAAAATTTCACAGATATAATAAAGGAGTATAAAGTACTTACAGAAGGTTTCACAAGAACGTAGATGACTCCAAAGGAGGCACTTAAGTAGGGTACCTGCATTTTTGAATTTTTCACGTTACCCTAGAATCATTCTAATTCCTGGTACTAAGGGAAATTCCCCTTTTTCTTTTGCCTACTGAAGTAAAAGCATAAAATTAACTAAATTCAAAATTATAATAATAATATTAATTAAGGACAAGGTTATTTTCAAGTATGCCTACCCAAGGAGCCCAAGCCAAGCCATAGAGCAATGCCTGTACAGCAAAAAAGCAACATTAGATTTTCTGTTTTGTTCTCTATCATCTTCCCCTGTGGGGTTTGGATTGGGGAACAAGCTAAAGATAATGACTTACATAAGCTATTGAGGCCAACAAGGCTGAGCTCAATATCACCTTCTCACCAACCAATGGGTTCACTAAAGGAAGCACCAATATCTGAAAGGAACTCACCAAAACCAAACATATGTTATGCAGAAGAATAGCAGAGGATTCAACAGATCTTCCAAAATGTAAAATAGTTAAACACTTACATTAAGTGACTCATAATTACAACAAAATTCAAGGGGAAATTTTTGAAGGATAGAACTTCATGAACACTAACAAATCCTCATCTGCTTTTCTTTTTGGTTAATTCTAATGGTACGGAAAGAAAAGGTTGAAGAAGAACAGGTAAATATAGTAAGTGGCACACTGCTTTTTACTAGTAATGAGATAAATTTGATTTTGTCCCAAATTTTTGTCCACGAACACTAGAATGAACTTAATAAGAGAACAATCTAAGTCTTCATTTTCGGAAAAACAAAAAGAAACTGGGAGCAAGTAACAGGAATTTGGAAAAAGAGAAGTTTTAGAAAAGAATATACCTGAGAGAAAATTGAACCTATTCCCACCATCATCAGGATCTCTGAGAATTGATTCTTGTCAAAACCAAAAGCTGCTTTCAGATAGTACTGCACAAGAAGTAAAACATATTTTCTTTTTAAGTAAATGATTCAAACAGAAAGCAAGTTATGTTGGTATTATTACATACATAAATAAACTCCAATTGATCATCTGAACTTTTATATTGCTGCTCTTACAAATCTGCAGTTCCATGTCACTTATATAGCTTAAATTCCGCACAATGTAAACAGAACCTATTTGATAATTATAGGTAAACCCTGTTTTACTCAGTGGCTTTATAGATTTTGTCGTATTCCAAGGAAAAGCATGTTTGCTTACATCCTTCTTTTAACAAGACTGTAGTAACTAGGATTATAAGTGCTGGCTTCATTAAGTTTAAGGGGAAAGATACCAGTAACACAGAGCTGATGCCGGACATTCCCAAGTCATAGAAGAAGGAAACCAAAGAAATGCTTCTGAGTGTTGGACTGCAGAGTACAATGCAGCTCTTCAGCAAGACAATCACAAATTTAACTGTTTTAAATATGCATGAAAGCACAAAGAAATTTTTCTTTGTCATTCAAATAAGGAAAGATTCTAAGAAGATCCAGAAGTAAAACCACTAGAATCCATTACCTGCTAACAACTATTGTTGCAGCATTTCTCATTGATGCATATCGTTTACGGATAATAGTAACTATCTTGGTCAGGCAAGATAAACCTTGGTCACTTTTAGGTGCCCGTTTATTAGTTGTCTCAGTCAAAAACATTTGCATATAAACTGGACAAAAGATCAACAGGGCTATTGATACCTGAAACCAAAAGGCTTGGTTAGTACAAGGTTAACTGATAAACATGAACATATCACAGGTTATTGCCTCAACTTACAGAGAAAATGTACTTCTCGGAAGAAAGCGTGCCAGAACATTCCCCAAGACATGTGATGCAGAAAAAAGACCTGTGATCCAACTAAACACTGCAGCCCTCTTATTCTCATTGACAACATCTGCCTAATAAAGGGGGATAAAAAGTGTGAACTCCTTACATTTCCTATCCATGGCTATCAACCAGTGAGAATAAACTTACCACATAAGCAACAGCGATGCAGAAAATACTCCCCTGACTTAGAATATATGAAATGGTTCGAATCACATAGTAAGCATACACAAATTCCTTAGACTGATTCCAGGCAAGTAATGCTGCAACCAAAACCCATCAGATTATGTATTCAATCAAAATAGCATGGAGATAAAAGAAAATAAATTAGGCATGCTAGTATATCATGTCTTACTTTTTAATGGCTTAGGCAGGAACTTTCAGAAATTACATGCAGAGTTTGTTGCCATCTTTCATTTTAAGGAGGACAGATGTATAACTTCAATTCTATTTTGTTTTTCCAAAAGAGAGGCTTAACAGACGCACCTATACTGACAGCATGATAGATATGTGACTTCACAGAATATTCCTGAATATATTTTTGGACATAACCTACCGAAAGGAAATATGGTTGTTGACACTGTCAAAAGCAGCAGTGGCTTACGCCCATGCTCATCTGCCAGTTGACCTAGAAGTGGAAGCACCACCATCTTGAAAAGTCCAACAACCTACAAGCAAAAAATTTGTTCTAAGATATACCTTAGCTTTACACAGAAGGAAAGAATACACAAATTGCAGAAATTCAGAATCCCACTTTATTGTCAATATAATCATAGTTCCCAAGAACAAAAGTCATTTAGAGTCATTAAGATGAACATCCTTCCGATGAAACAATCTCCACTTTACTGAAATATCTCATCTCACTGCCTCTGGGTGCATACAACATACCATTTTCCTTCTGGACAATGAATTTACACCAAAAGAACCACAATGCTACCCACTGTTCTTACTGTATTAGTCCCATTCTTTGAGTATTCAGAATCTAACCATCCCGACAAAATCTCTAACTCAACTTAGTAAACAGCATTGAGTCATTGACAAGAGAATATACAGAGGCAGCAATGTCAACAACATTCAATCAGAAGTCAGACCATCAGTTTAAAAAAGTAAACTTACAGGTAAATTATTAAGTATACCTATGAAATACACAAGATCATAAGACCATTCAAGATAATTGTCACTTTTCATCATAAAACAATTGTGACATAAAACATTGCTGATTTCTCATAGCTGGTTACTTTTTTGTTTCATTTCTGCAGGTAGAGAGACTGGAAATCAATCACCCAAGCGATAAACGTATTAATTATGTTGGGTGCTGCTGACGGCCAAAACCCAGAATTGCTATTCAAAACGAGCACAGATACTAAAAATAATGGCAACATATATGTACTGTTTTTACTAGAGTAACATGTATGTTGAAAGTTTAGACACCTAACTTTGTCATACTACTATGTAAATGTTTCTCCAAGAGTAAGGATCAGTAATTTATTTAGGCTTTAATTACTCCAGTGCCCCAGAAAGTATGGTCAAATATCCCACATTGCCTCCGGAAGTTAAAATGACCCACCTTGCCCCCAAAGTCGAATTGACCGTACTTTCAAGGGCACAGGTTCAATTAATCCATTTATTTATTAAACATACTTCTTCTTCTTTTCTTTTTCTTTCGTAGGGTGAATTATTTATGAAATATCCAAGCTGCTAGCACTAAAATACATCCTCAATCACAGAAATTACACAAGAGGCTCAACTCAAACCTTTCGGTACTGATGAAGATGACTCCAAACAGGAGAAATGAGGACAATGAATTAATGAAGATAAAACAACCGCATATAACAAAAATAAATAAAATAAAAAAGGGTCCACAGATAATATAAATATCTGTGTGCATATTAACAATATTTGAACCTCAAAAATGGAAACATGTGGTCAAAATTATTTATGGGCTTTACCGTTTGTTGAACGCCGTTAATATAAATGGCTTGAGAACAAGTTGACTGCGACGGGCAAAGAGCAGCAGCAGTGACATCAACAAGGACCGAGACGGTCATTTCCTCAGCGATCCAGTGGACACACAGTGGGAACAGCAAGTGAAACAGGGGCCTCACCTCTCTCAAAACGCTCTCCATCCAACCCATATCAAAATAAATATATAGCTTCCAGAAAAACTATATATATATTTATATATTTATAGAATGAGAAAGCAGCTAAGCTAGGTGAAGAAGAAGAAGAAGAAGAGAGCAATCTTGGCAGCTATTTATTTGTGACTCGGAAAACGGGGTCTGCCGTGAGCTTGAGGGTGCACATGGTGGCGTGTGGCTTGAGCTTGCTTGCTTGTGTTTTGTGGACACCAGGATGGGCTAAGCGAGTGTCATTTTCCCAAAATTTGTACAACTTTTACTTTGTGATAAGAGCAATATTGAGAGATGGGAAATTTGAACCTACAATCTCCGTAATTGTTGAGACTGCATTTACTAAATTTGGACAAGAGTCCAGCTTATAAAGACTTTGAATTCAAGCTGAGCCACCCATCTAGACTTGGAGCATCTGTAATTATATTCTCTATTTTTAGTTAAAATTTAGCTAAAAATATATATAAGCTATTTTAGAGCTCTTTATAAAATTTAAATTCCAATTATCTCTAGTTTAGGGAGTCGTAAATATTATGACTTTTTTAATTGGTAAATCTCTATTAAAAATAGTTAGTATCAATTAAATGTTTAAAATACTCATAAAATAAAGCACCATTAAATTATAGGGAGCCACTATAAATGTTCTCTCTCCTCAGATTTAGGAGCTCCTAAAGGTCCCCTTATTTTAGGAGGTGGATAGGGAGGGAGCATGGTTGGAGTTCTATTTTCCTAATTGCTCCATAAAATTTGTCTAAGGAGGTGGTTTAAGAAGCTCATTGTGGATGCTCTTAAGGTTTAGTTCTCCTGTTTTCCTTTCCTTCAAAATTTCTGAGCTAAACCTTAAGTTTAAAGTTCTAAAACATTGATTCTGTACCTTAAAATAATAATCCCTAAAATTTATGTCCTAAAGTATACTTAATCTTGTACTAATGAACTATTAACAACTGCTAATAAACCTTAAAATTAAACAACGAACACGACCAGCATTGTCACACCTTGGCCTGAATACCTAGAAACTAGGAAACAGTTGGACAAAATCAACTACAGTCAGCCACCAACCGAAAATTGCGTCTGGCTAAATCGGTGAAAAACGGACGTCGTCTTTTTCACACTAGTTTTCTCTCCTATGATTGAAGAAGAAAACAATAGAGTAAATGGCCAGTCAAAGAGGAAAAGAAAAAGGAAAAAGACTCGCTTTTTTTAATAAAGCAGATGCATCATTTCATGCATATATTTATATAAGGAATGATAAAACAGCAATAGAAAAGGAGTGGATCACAAAGACAATATCCAATACAAATTGCATACATTTGAGAGAGTAAATAGAAAAAGAGGCAAATACACATTCACCAACAAGGCCCGCACACGCACAGTCGGCCACCACTCTCTCTCCCACAAAATTTTCATTCGAAAGGCCTTTACAAATCATTCAAGAGAACAGGGCTTCACATTAGGAGAGAGGGACTCCCATATCCCTGGTCGGGTGTATATACACCCCTCTTCCTATAGCACATACAGTGGTGGATACAGATTCAAAAGTCAAGTAGGCAAAGCTTAGTTTAAAAACTCGACGATATGAGTGAATTTCATTCATAAAAATAAAAAGATACATCTAGTGGGGGGACGCAATAAACCTTATCCTCAAATATGCATTTATGTACATAAATAAAAGCTTAACAAAACAAAAAAAAACAAGTAAATGCAATGCAACACAAAATTAGATTATTTAAATCTAAAACTTTACCCTACAAGACTTAGAAATCTTAAATTCATCAATTATCTTTGCATTATTGATACTATTGGCAAACTTTCCTTCAATGTGGAGGATCATGCAATCAGCAAGGAATTCATCAGCTATGGTTCTGCGAAGTCGATTCTTAATAATTCTCTATGAAAAGCCTAACTCCGTTGTTTCTGTAGAAACATGAAGAGTCAACACAAACTGAATCAACCTATAAAGAAAATGGTAGTTTTTTACCAATATGTTTCCACCAATTGTTGATATGAATGAGAAAGAGTGGTGATTTCCTTAAAATATAGAAAGTGATGTATATCAATGAAAACACAAACTCAAAGGACATCACAACAATAAAGTTACTCTCTACATCGCCCCAATAGGAGATGCATACATTTATTTTAGGAAAAAACCAAATAGGAGAAGATAATTAAATAGGAGAGAATGAAAAGAATATTTGTCGCCTTAGATAGGAGAAGATGCTGCTAAGAGAGAAGTTATTCTCCGCCCAAAGAGAGAAGTTACTGTCAAAGCTGCCAAGGAAAATAGGAGGTGGGGACTATCGGCTATACATATGCACAACCAAAAGGGCTGGCTGCTTATATTTCTTGGCTTTGCTTTGATTTGTGGGTTGCTTTTATTTTTTTTATATGTCTGGGTAGGCATGTACTTTGTATATTTTACATCATCACATGAGCTAGGTAGGAATAAGTATGATTACAGAGGAATGTATGCACCCGAAAATAGGTAACATTAGTGTTAAGTTCAGTTGTAAGATTCGTCTATAACATGTTTGGAGAAAATACCGAAAGGCCCCCTAATTTATGAAAGAAATTTCATCTCACGTAGTATTACTATTTTAGTGATGTTACAATACGAGTATTTATTTATTAATACCATATCTTAAGTCCATGAAATATCGACCATGCCGACAATGTGTCCATCACACCCAAAAGGAAAAGGTTGCAATTGCAAACAACAAAATTACCAAGTACATGTGATCATGGGCGGCCTTGATAGTGTGCAAGTGGTGTCACCGCACAGACCCTCAATTTTTTAGGGTCTTCAAAATTTTCTTATATATATATGAGCACACAACATATTTACACAATTGTGTGCTTAACATAACTAGTTTTGTTGCCTTTCTATACTTGTTAGGGGTGTTGGTTGATTACCACTTGTATGATTTAGTGTTTTCTTTTAACCAATTCTTTTCAAAATAACAAAAATTTTCCATAAATGGCACCAATAAGAATAGGCCTCATCATTTGGCCCGCGGGCTCATGGGCCGATGGGGGCCCGCCCGGCCCATTGGAAAAAAGCCCGGCCCGGCCCGTTATGGGCTTTGAGATGGCCCGGCCCGCCTTGGGCCGGGCTAGGCTTGGGCTTGGGTGTCTGAAGCCCGGCCCGGCCCATAGGCCCGGCCCGATTAAGCCCAAGAAAGCCCGGCCCGGCCCACCCACAAAAGCCCGGCCCGTTAGGCCCGCATACATATATAATTATGTATAAATAAGAGTTTAGGATTAGGATTATATCACTTAAATCATATATATAATTTGTTTCATTTCATTTACTTTTCTTTACTCATTCCTAGTTTATAATTGGATGATTAGCACATTAATTTGTGTCAATTATTAATACAACAATTATATATATATATATAAATAAGATGAACAATATAATCATATCACGAAACATAATCGTACTACTACCACAAAATATAATCATGTTTTTCTTGAACACATCACCAAACATTTACATATTTATTTATACCGTCCTTTAAAAAAAATATCTTTTTGATACTTATTGTTTTTTAAAATTATTAAAACGTATTACGGTCTAATTATGTAATAACCTCAAAAATAATACTTTGTTTTATTATTTTTGTGGAAAATCTTATTAAGTTGTGTGACTTTATTGAGTATTTTATGAATTTGGTTTGATGTGAAAATATTGGAATTAAGTGAGTTTAATCTCAAATTTGACTAAAATGCCCTTATGATTAAGTTTATGATTTTTTTCGAATGAAGTAGGCCCGTTTCGGCCCGGCCCGTTGGACTTAGCCCAGCCCGGCCCAATGGGCTTTCTCAAGCCCGACTTATGGGTCGGGCTTGGGCTTTGAATTTTCTAAAAAAACCCGGCCCGGCCCGGCCCGATATTTTCTCTCTTCTCTTTAAAGCCCGGCCCGGCCCGGCTCAAGCCCGTTCAATTTGGGCCGGGCTAGCCCGGCCCGGCCCATTGACGAGCCCTAAATAAGAATTGACCCCATGAAATCAAACAACTTTATCACACAACACCACTAAGCCACATATGCCTTCATGGAAGATAGTTGTATTCATTACTTTTATTGGTTTATGGCATCAATTCACGATAAAAAGAATATTTATAATATTTTTATATTAAATTATTTGAGTTTGCTTATTTAAGTTTCGCACATGACTCTTATTTAAGTTTTGCACAAGGCCCTCAAATTCTCAAAGGCAACCCTACATGTGATGTCAAGTCATCCAAAAACATACCTCTACACTCCATAGCCTAGGATTCCTATGGTCCATCTTATTAGTGTTTGCTAACTCACTCTGCACTATCTCACGCAGCCAAGCACACGTATCACCATGGCAAAAGAAACCCGTATATACCCCGAAAAATGCATGTAAGCCTTGTAACATGATGAGTCAAATAAATAAATAAAAATGAGTCGTGTTGTATTCATTTTACCCTAGTAAGAGCTCATGGGTAGAAGTTGCCCCTAAACACCAGTGTATAGAAGAAGGGTGTTTAAGGGCTCTTAAACCACTCTAGGATATTCTATTTTTCCTATGTAGGATTTTGAGTCCCAACACAACCAAATTTCGACTAAAAAACAAAAGCTTTTGTTGATTAAAAAGGGAAGTTAAAAGTCTATTATTAAAGAAGAGTGGTGATTTCCCCATTCCAATTTTATCCACTTACACTCCATTTTATAACTTAAAAAGGGAGTGTAAGTGGATAAAATTAGAGTAGGGAAATCATTACCCTTAAAGAAATGTGGATTTTAATTGTAGAGTTCCCTGAATTTTATCAAGTTTTAATTTTTTTTTTTTTTTTTTTTTTTTTTTTTTTTTTTTTTTTTTTTTTTTATTTAGGCAATCATTTAACTCAACAAGTAATTGCAATTAGGTCCTACTATCGCATTCCGTCAATTTAGCCGTTTGTTTGAAGGGTAATTCAGAAAATTTACAACTTATGAAATCGTCTTTAAAACACATTTCTAGTTTTGTCCATATGACCCAGGCCCAATGCTTACACTTGCCAAAAAATAAAAAAGGAAAACATCACAAACTAACCAAGAATTTTTTATATTTTATTTTGTTGTTTAACAGCCCTCCCTTCTTAGATCCAAAATCGACCAGTCAACAAATGAGCGACTAAATGATAAATATGAACACGCAAATAGCATAGACTGTAAGGAGAAGCAGCAAGCTGTTCACAAGTATCAGACCAAGGCAAGACCTCCTAAGGAACAAATCACATGCTTCAGCACAAAATAGCAGATTTGCTTAAAATTTTCAAATCACTTGGTCCCTTGGTCAAGGTATTCATCGCACATATTGGACCGATTTAAAGCCACCGGAATGAATAAAAAACGATTCAATAGTTCATCTCATAACAACAGACTAGTATGGTGCAAAGCAACAATATAGGAAACAGATGAATAACTAGCAGTACAGGGGCAATGTGAATATTAGTAGACTTCTAATGAACAAAAAAATTGAAGTGGCAACAGTAAATCAATCGTCCTTTCCCTTGTTATATAGTTTTCTTACAAGCTCAAAATTCGTATGACGCAACTACCTACACCAATAACTCCATAATGCTCTACCACTTAATAAATTAACTATAACAACTTTATTTGCTCCTGTACAGGAATTGCACATCCCAAGTACCTCTTGAGCTCACCATTTCTATAATATGCCTGTTTTGCACAGAATTATATGTTTCTATTCCATCTGACTTGTTAGTGCTGCTCCTTCATCATCAGCATCGTGTTCTTGTTCTACACTTTTGACCTGCAAATGCAGAGATCTATGTCAGACACAGACAAATCTGATTTGGATAGAGAGAGTGGGAGGGGAAGAGGGGGGGGGTGTTTGCAATTCTTCGAAGACTTGGTTCAGAGTTTCCCATACACTTGTTAGAGTCACTTGGAACATTCTCTTTTTTTTAAATTTAAATTATACAAAATCGCTTGTACATAAACCTCTGCTCATTTCAAAAGATTAAACTAACCTCCCTCATCAAATTAAACTTTATATTATAGTTTCCAAAATCCTTAAAGTGTAAATAAGTTACTATTCATATAATACTATTAAAAATATAGTTATTGTGATACAGAAGTCTCAATATGCACTGAATTCTATTTACAAGTCAGAGGTGGTTCTATCCGACATGTACTGAACTTCTTGTTTTATACATAATAGGCCTTGGAGGCAAAATGCCATTTCGAATAGAATCAAGGAACATTAGTGAGGCTTCAAGGACTGAAGGACATCATCTTAAAAATACTCGATGGAAAGGTCCTAAAAGATGAAATTTGTTGGAGACCAAAACCTAAAAAGAAATTAATCAAATAATGGAGAACAACACGAAGCTGTTTCATAAGACAGCAAATGGAAGTAAAAAATAAAATAAAATAAAAACTGTGAACAAATTGATGAATTAATTGGAGGATATGCAATACTATGGAGATCGAAGCAGGGAATTGTGAATGAGGTCACTGGCTTCTCTGAGAGTTCAGATTTTACGCGGATAGAATGGATTGTTGTCCAATTGGTCTTAATAGTGCAAACTGGTTGGAAAGGCTGTTTGAAGAGGTTGCTTAGAAGGGCAATGGTCAACTGTTGAAGGGAATAGCCCCCTGAGGATGAGATAAATTTCAGGTGGATGAGATAGATCGTATCCAATTAATCCCGAGAGAGAAAAATGGTTGCAAAGTCCCTTTGAAGAGGATGAAATTAGGGAGGCAACATGCCTACCGTGGAAGGGAACAGACCCTTTGACCAAATGGGGTTTATTTTTATCGAAATTTAGCGAAAAACCCAAAGGAAACAAGCAGCTTTCAAAAATACCCAAAACATTTTCAAAATGGCACGAAAGCCCTTTATCTTGAAAAACAAAGACATGCAAGCCCTAGGTCTCTCTTCTCCACAAAAGACGACAGCAACATGTGAAGTCCTTGTCTTTTTTCAGCAGAAGCAGTAACAGTACCAGCAGCAGCAGCAACAGTGTAGCAGTCCATAATTTTAAACTTTGTTTGCTTGTACAATCGTCATGTGAATTCTTTGGCTTGTATAGTGTGTGCATGTGAAGTTCATATGAAACTTCAGAGAGTAAGAGAGATAAAGAGTTTCAGATAGAGAAGAACTCTTCTTCTCATCCTTAGCTTCTTCTTTTCTTCCTTAGCCATGGTAGAGGTCGGTGTAATTTGTGTATATAGTTTGTAACTTCCAAGAACGAAGTACAGAACACCAGAGAAGAAAAAATCTCAGTACTTCCACCTTCAATCAATAAAACTCCCTTTGTTCATATACTTTCTCTTTTCCATTTATTGTATTTACATATTCCGACCACTGTTAAATTTGTAATTATAAGTATCTGAAATTTTTCCTACATACATAAGACTAATACTTAAATTTTTGTACTCACCTTTCATATTATAATTTTTTGTCCTTATGCTAATTTTAATATGTTTACTAAATTCTCTAATATTCATGACATAATTTGGAATACATCCTATGACTGCTAAGTTTGTACCATATTTCTTAAAGATTTGATCCATCTTTCTTTGAAAGATTGATGGTGCATTTTTTAATCCAAATGGCATTACAAGCCATTCAAAATGTCCTTCTGGACAGGTAAATGCTGTCCAATGGATTGATTCTTCTGCTAATCTAATTTGCCAAAATCCTGATTTACAATCAAACTTACTAAAATATTTACTTTCTTGAATTTTATTCATAAGCTCATCTTTATTTGGTAATTTATAACTATCTTCATAAGTATTATCATTTAATCTCCTATAATTATACACTATTCTAGCTTTACCTCTCTTAAGTTCTGAATGTTTTCTAACTACAAAGACTGCTGATCTATGCCTAGATTTTGAAGGTCTAATTACTTTTAAGTTTAAAAGTTCTTTTATTTGTTGTTCAAATTCTTGCTTATCTAACAAGTTACAAGGCATATCTGCTGTTTTAATTGTTAAGTCTGGATTGATAATGTCTAATTTTGCTAATATCTTATTCTTATTCCAATGTAATTGGGGATCTTCTCCTATAATTCTAGTTTGTTCAGCTAATTGTAACAATTCTTCTAAATTTTTTGGTCTGTCTATTTGCATGATTTCTAAAGGTTCTACGTTTCCTATAAGTGGATACTCATGATCAAATATTATGTCATCATATTCTAGATTATTTTGTTCACTTATTTCTTCTAATTCTTCCATGTTATATTTAAAATTTTGTTCTTCTATGTTAATACTATTATAAGACTCTAATATATTACTTTGATCTGTTGTGGTTATACCTTTCTTAAAAAATGTAATGTCTGGAGGTGTATATAAAAATCCTCCTTGTAAACTTTTTAAGAAATTTAATCCTAAGATAAAGGGATATGATCCTACTGGGGATATAAAGGTTAAGGGTAAATTAAACTGTTGTCTTTCTATCCTAATTGGTATATTATTAATACAATGTGTTAAGTATACAGGTCTTGTATCAAACTGTATGATTCTTACTGGTCTAGCTAATTTTTGCCTAAATTGTTCTGGTACTAATTCTTCTTTTATTACATTTTTTGTGCTTCCTGTATCTATCATGGCTGTTGTTTGAATTTTATTTTCTTTTGACAATTCTAACTCACAATTAATTGTTATTAATGAACTAGTCTTTTGTTTCTCTATACTAGGGCAATTATTCTTTTGATTATCTATCTCAACTGTATTTATTTCTATTGGTCGATTATTAAAACAAGGTTTACAATAAACTATTGTCTTAGTGTAATATTTTTCTACTACTATTTTCTTACATTGATTACATTCTTGAGGCCATCCTAAATTAACATATTTAAATTCTTCATGCTCTGTTTGTTCTTCAAACATACACATATGTTCATCTAATTCACTATCGGAATTACTAGAGTAATCTAATTCTGATTCTGAGTCTAAGGCATTAACACTATAAATACTTTCATTATCACTTAAATTATCATCTATACTATAGATTGATTCTAAGTCCTCATCATCTTCTAATTGAAATTGTTCAATTAATTGCATTTTTTCTCTAGGTTGTTTTCCTAATTTGGGACATTTAGGTCTAATATGTCCTACTTCACCACAAAGATAACATTTACATGTACTTTTATTAGGTACTTTATACTTTCTAATCCATGGTTTATTTGTTTTTTTCCTAAATTGCTTAGGGATATATTTTCTTCTTCTAAAAGTTTTTGAAGGTTGTATTCTAAAATTTTTATATTGTTGTTTATAAGGTTTGTATTTTCTATAACTTTTTCTATATGGTTTCTTCTGCCTAAATTTCCTATGACATCCATATTGTTTTGGTAAATCTATATTTTTACAACTCATGTAAAACTGTTTTCTAATTTGTCTTTTTGCTTTTATCTGACTACATTCTGATCGTAATATATCATATACATGTTGTATTCTTGCTCCTATGGATACATCTAGTTTCCTAGGGTGTTTTTGCCATTCATTCCAAATTCTTTCTCCTATTGGTCCTTTAATTTTTGTCATATAAGTATCTAACAAATTAAGGTCATCAATTCTACCTGTTCTACCTAAACACTTGAAAAAGTCTGAAGTATATTCACTAATATATTGTAAATCACAAATTTGTAATTGTTCTAAGTTTCTTATAGCTCTAATTTGTTCTTGTTCATTTCTACCATCTAATCTATTATGGTCTAAAAATTCATATTTAATTAATTTAACAAACGCATCTATATTAAACATTTCTTTTGCTGCTTGATGTTCTATTGGATTTTTAGTTTTCCGACCGAGACCCGCTTTCAAAATGGTATCAGAGCTTTAGTTTAGAGCTTTAGTTTAGCACCTTAATAATATAGTTATACCAGTAAAGTACCTTGAGGACAGAAGTCAGTCAACACAACTGATAAAAACCAACGTTTTATAACCTGTTAAAATTTTGTTACCAGAATCACTAGTTAAAAACAGTAAACTGTTTGCATGTTTGGCCCTTGGTGGACACCTATTAGAATAAAAGAAAGGTTGCAGGAATTAAAGAAACGGAAAGGATAACATGATGGATGCATGAAGACCACGTGAAGAATCCATCCAGCAGAATAGTCGCCAAACTGTTTGGCTCCATACGGCCAGTACAAAGCAACATATGAAAAGAAGAAACATTTTGGTTTCATCCGGCTAGCAGAAGCAGAAGGATTCCCTAGGAAATCTAGATATGAATAAGGGCATTATTGTCCAACCACTTTAATTTTGTCCTTCTTTATAAATACTATACCCATTTTGGGTTTATTTATAAGTCTCCCTTATTTTTATATGGAAATTTTTAGGGGATTATTTGGATATGATTAAAGATAGGAACTTTTTAGGAGTGGGAATGTGAATGCCAGCACCAATGCAGATGACACTATTTTCACTTCGGTGCTGAAAGAGGTTATTTGAACTCGGTTAGGTTTTCAAAGTTTTCGGATCCTCTTAGGTCTAAATATAAACACACCAACAAACAGGGCGGCTAACAACATTGGAGGCTCTTTCTAGGAGGTCGAGCTGTGAAATTAGAGCTCAGTCTTTGAAATGTTTGGGCCTCCCCATTCAGCTAACCCATGTTCTTTGAATTTATGGGAACCAGTAGTGGGAAAAGTGAGAGCATTTAGATTGGTGGAAGAAAAGATGCCTCCCTAGGGGTGGTAGATTTGTTATACTTCCGTTTACAGTAGCATTCCTAAGTTCCTAACCATTCTATGTATAGAACACCAAGTAGCGTGGCCAAAGATGGAACATTATCATACCAACAAAGATTCAACATTATCATACCAACAAAGATTCAAATGCAAAGGCATGCACATTGTTGAAAATGCAAGCAAATGTTTGTTGCTTGTTACCTCAGGTACATAATGCATTAGCATATTTTCAATGCCAGATTTCAGGGTGACTGATGAGCTTGGGCAGCCACTGCATGCTCCTTGCATTCTCAATTTAACTATTCCAGTTTCTCTAAACACAGATTAAAAAAAGAATTAGAAAACAAAAGAAGCAAAGAGATAAAGCCAAGAAGCAGAAATAAAATTTCGGCCTTCTCCAATATTAAATTAAAAAGACAAATTAAATGAAGGACTTACGGATCAAATCCCCTATACTCAATGTCGCCACCATCATCTTGCACTGCTGGTCGGATGCGAGTCTCCAACAATTCTTTGATCATTGCAACAATTTCTGAATCATCCTGCAACAGAAACCACCAACATGGTTGTATATTTGAGATTTATGCACAAAAGAATTGATAAAACAAATACTAAAGAATGGTTAAATATATCCTCCAAAGTTCCAGTTCTAATTTCTGATATTTCAACTTGACCAGCTTTGTCCATCAGAGCCACATACTTGTATACAGCATGCCTCATCACTGAGGTTTCCACAGAATTTTAAAAAGTGAGATCCATTGATGACTCAGCCCATATTTCTCTAATTACACCAAAAAGAATCAAAGGACTTTGACATTCAGTAAGTGCATATGAAGTTATTGTAGTTAAGCTTAATTCCCTTTTCCTTCTACTTGTCAAGCCCTGCACACTCTTTCGGGTTTTCTAGTATATAAGTTATCTGTAAACTTGAGGTGGTATGGCACTCAAATAGGCAGTGGATAGCAGAGTCTTTCATTCTACTTGACAGGCCCTCTTAAGGGTTCTCTAGTATATATATTATCTAAAAACCTGGTGGTGCCACAGCTTCGTGGCAGAGTCAACAAAGATGGAGGTAGGATTGACTACAAGCACCATTAGTGGGTTTGGTAAAGTCAAATATAAAGGATTCTGAAGGCACAATTATGGGGTAAGATAAGGTTATACTACACAAGCATGCTCAAAATATAAGATGTCCGCCTGAATTTGGGGAGAGCTGCCATTCTTAAGTCTAATATAAAACTGCTATAATAAAATAAATCACTTGCTTATGGTTACAAAGAGGAATCAAGGCACAGTTACTTATGACGGTGCCTCAAACAAAAGCTACAAGCCTCAAGGTTACTCTTTGATGCCCTCAAAAGTCTACTACACTATGGTTCTAACAACACTTCACAACCAAAAAAAAAGTGATTCTAAAACTTCAATAACGCCAAGGAGCTTCCTAACCTAGAATGTTACTCCCACTTGGGGGTGAGTAAACACTAGCATATACAGTCCATCAAAGCACATACTAATTCTAACAACATTCTTTCTTATTTAAGAAGTTAAATAAAAATATCTTCAAATCAAAAGGTATAACACTGATCTGAACACTCTGTCAACAAGTTGGCCCAAAAGTTGTAAAAAGTTCATGGAGATAAATTTCAGGACATACTTCTTGAATAGCAGTGTCCATCGCTGATGCAGTTTTTGAGTCTAGAAAGAGTGACTGCCCAGAAGAATAGAAGTCCATGATTGCTGCAAAGATTTCAGGCTTCAAAAGATCCCAAGAAGTATCTTCTGACTTTGTTACAGTAACAAAATCTGATCCATAAAACACTCGAGTAATTCCTGTATTAAAAGAAACCCGTATTAGATTTATAGCATCACCAAACAAAACAATGCTGAGCAATTAAAATTTTAGGAGAAAATAAGAAGAAGAAAAACCTAATTAAACCAGAGTGAACAAAGTTCAATGAGTGGAAGAAATTGCAGGAAATTGACCATTCTTATGGGTCATTGGTCTTACTTTAAAATTTATGAAGTCAAGTTATCGTACCAACTGAATCAATTACTAAGTGAATTCCAATTCCTACAGGGAAAAATCTATCTGTACTGTCCACTTGTGGTATCAGCACTTACCTACGTGCATTTCTCAATTATCAACAGCCTTAGTCCTTAATACCTATCTTCTCCCAACTACCCTAGAAACCTCCCATAATTTCCGTATATATTGAGCTGCTTTAAACCCTTCAAATCAGACTTGAAACATTCAAACCAACTACTGCCCCTGAAATTCCTACAACCAGAATTTTTTTTTCTTTTCGGATAAGTATAACACTTTTGTTGACAAGAACAAACCAGACGTTAAGATCATGACCTATGATTATAGTAACAGGCTGTACCAAAATGCAATAAATGGCTCCAGAGGAAAACTCTTCGTGATCCAAAAAGACAAGGTCACTTCAGCACCCGGTTTTAATTCTCTAAACCACAATTGTTTCTTTCCCTCCGTATACACCAGGAAGCCATTTTCCAACAACCGCGACACTCCCGGCAAACTCTAACACCCAGCTGATCCCACAAGCAGTCCCTCACTGAGTAGCATATAGTCACTCAAGCTTAAAGAAAGCCGGGCAAATAAATTGGAAGATATTAACATCAATTTCTTGATAAACTAAAAAAATGAAAACGGCTAAATACAAATAGGCTTCTAGTGCACTTAATTACAAATGGAAGTGAACACCAAACCTGAAAAGTGCATAACTCCACAACTTAACTAAATTTTTGTTCCAACCTCAGCATTATATCTGAACAGCATAGCATAGCCAAAAATACGAACCATACAGCCCATTTTCAAATAGTAAAGAAACATAATTTACAAATTAAACAGTAACTAGAGTAGCCAACAGCTCAGGACAGATTTCTCCCGCATAACAATTAAAACCATTTTTTGAGGGGGTTTTAATGATATATTTTGGGAGTTATTTTGATATAAGGTTGCCTTTTACACTTATAGGCTTCTAGCATGCACTAAACTTATTTTCCACTTTTCTGATGTTCTCTTGAACCCGAGCTAAAATAACAACAATATTCAACTACTAGTCAGATTGAAATTAAATCTTATACACCGAAAGTAGAAAAATAAAGGCTCTGCAGTCATAGATAACAAGAAAAAAGTGGTTACTACCCTTGAAGTCAATTCAAAGCTAAAAGTATTGTATCTTTTCAAGAATTATTAGTGAAGACCAATAAAAAGAGGGCATATTAAAGTTAAATTAATTTGCAGGCATTGTCCTCCTGAAAAGAAAAAATACAACAAGGAAAAGGATAACTCTGCATACTAGAAATGGGAATATCAATCTTACCATCAATTCCATAAAGGGCTTTGGCCAGTGGTGAATTCATGGCCGAACGGGCATTCGGAAAGTCGGCACTGCCAACTTCCATAACAGGCTTCCCTGGATAAAACATGAGAGATGCAGGGTTGGGTGTGGATTGAGTTTGAATAAACATGCTTCTCTTCTGCCCTGTGGAAAAGCAACGCCAAACATAAATCTGAAGCTAGTTATAACCTCAACCTCAGGATGGCCAAGCCAAACTACTTTCTTTTTATTAATTTATGTCAAATTTATAAGTGACATGAAATGATACATTCTCCAATTTCCAAATTAAATTAAATCTTAGCTTGAAAAACCCATGATCATTGATAAAATGGAAAATTGAAAATGAAAAATAAAAAACAGAAAACCATTTTCTTATCATTTCCTTCACTTTCCTAGATATTAGACAAAAAAGAATAAAATTTCAATTTCAATTCGACTCCCTTTTCTTTTTTCTCGATATTCCCAGAAACCAAAAGCACTGCAAGTTTAACAAATAAGAAACTAACCACCGAGAAAGCCCCATTTCATAGAAGTGAAAGGAGATTCAGAAGACGAAAAGGGGGAGTTATGGTGACCCAGATACGACGTCGTGGCAGGTGAATAAGCAGATAGGAAATAGGTCCGGCGAGAGATGAATCGGAAGCCATGAAATTGTCCAGAAGCTTCGCATCCTCTCTGAGATGAAAGACTTCGTCCAACTAATCTTCGTAACCCTCTCATCCCAACACTCTCTGCCTCTGCGCGGTGGAGTTCTTGTTTTTTTTTTTTTTTTTTTTCCTTCTTCTCTCTTTGGGCTGGAGGATGAAGAAACGCAGCAGAGCAAGGGAAGGGACTGCTCGAACGGGCTCTTGTACATCCAGTATTTTCTTAAAAGTCACGTGGGAAGCACGTGGGATTATATGTATTTTCTAAAGATCTATTTATGGATATGCCCTGTGCGTTCAAAATAGTCTCGGATTACCACCTGTTTTTTGAAATGTCTCAATATACCACCTATACTTTCATTAAGTGTCTCACGTCAGCGATTCCGTCAGATTTGAGAGAAGTTCCATCAGCTGATGTGACCCCCACTTCTTTTCAATCTCTTAACAAGGAAGAGGAAGGGTATAGTCAAGTTAAGAAAATGGGGAATTTGAGAGAAAAAGGGGAATAAGCAAGAAGTGGGAAAATGATGTTCTGATGGGTTTGAGCATCCAGAGCCTATTGGATTTGGCGGTGGCAAGGATTTCTTTGATGATCGGTTTGGGAATTTTTGCATTTATTTTCTATTCTTTCCTCTGTTGCTTTCTTACAAACCGCCAAAGACGTATCTTGATCCTTCACTCAAGGTAAAATTTCCAATTTAGATTTCATCAGCTACATCAATCTTGTTCTGGGTCTTTATCAAGTCCTTCAATTATGCTGTTAACTTCATCAAGATGAAATCTTTTGCTTGTTTGTCTGAGTGGCAAATTTGACACATTTTTGCTTTCAAATGTAGCCCTTACTATGAAGTATTTTTGTTGGATTCAATAAAATTCTCCTCTTTTTTTTGGGTCAGATCATTCTCTTTTGTCCGATTGAATTTCCCCACTTTTTTTCAACCTAACCTTCTTCACCCAAATTCTCCCTTTTCTCAACCTGACTAACTCTTCTTCTTCCTTGTTAAGAGATTGAAAAGAAGTGGGGGCCACATCATCTAATGGAACTTCTCTCAAATCTGATGGAATCGCTTATGTGAGACACTTAATGAAAGTATATGTGGTATATTGAGACATTTCAAAGAACAGGTAGTAATCTGAGACTATTTTGAAAGCACAAGGGGCATATCCATAAATAAGACTTTTCTAAATGTTCTAAAACGATTTTGAAAGGTTACCGATAAATACCTCTTCTGAAAAAGGAAAAAAAAAAAAGAACCTAAACATCCAATGAATATTTGTGTAAATCCCCCCTTAAATCGCTTATACTAAAAAAGGGAATGCTAGCCACCTTCTCTCTAACCTTCTCTTTTGGACTTTCTCTTTTCCCTTCATGACATATGTCACTTTTTCTACGCTTAAAACAATGTCATTAATGCATTAGACAATATATCTTTTGTTCCCAAATTTACCCTTATTAAATGTATTAACTTTATGTTTCCTTCGATTTACAACTTAACTTAAACAATGTAAATTTAAAAAATAAACACTAAAGTTCAATTAAATAAGGATTAACTGTTGAGATTTATCTTAATTATGTTTTCTGTAGAATAATTGTTAGTTCCTATTTTATAGAAGTCAGTTGTTTCCTTTCCTAGTCTTTAGGAATCCCTCTAGTTGATGGAGTTTGTTAGACGTGTTTTAGTTGTTCCTCTTTATTTGCTAATTAGTTGTTTGTACGCTCATTTATAAGAAGAGCATGTTTCAGTCAATGTATAGTAAGTTCAGTTCAGCAATTCTTTTGTCTTCTTATTTTCAAAGTTGTCTTTTAATTCTCACATTAACTACATAAAAGTACCCAACCTTCAGGGGTCGTTTCAAATTTAGTACTCAACCTTTTAAATTTTTCACGGGCATACCAGACCTTTCGTAAAACATATAAATTAGTCACTCCGTTAGTCAGACCATTAACGGAGGCGTTAAGTGATGACGTGACTGCTCCAATGTGGCTTTTTTTGTTGAGGTGGATACCACGTAGATTAAAAAATAAAGGCTTATTTATGTACATGCCCCTTGTGCTTTCAAACTTGTCTCATATTACCACCTGTGTTTGGAAACGTCTCAAAATACCCCCCAAAACTTTTAAAAACGGTCTCACGTTACCCGTTTCGTCAGTATTATAGACGTTCCGTTACTTGTTTTGGGCCCCACTTCGTTTCAATCTTTAACTTTATGAATAAGGGTTTTTCAGTTTTAAGAAAAGAGGAAATTGGGTGAGAAGGGGAAATTGGAGAAGAGGGCTTAGGGTTTATGAAAATCAGAGGTGGGCTTCGATTTTGGGAGAATCTGGAGAAGAAATTAGGGGTTTATAAAACTCTGAGGTGGAGTTTGAAATTGGGAGATTCTGTAGTAGAAGATTAGGGTTTATGGATCTTTGAGTGGAGTTCGGATTTAGGAAAGGGAGAAGGGGGTCGCACGATTTGGGAGAAAAGAGGGAAGGGGGATTTTAGATTTGGAGGTTCAGCTGGTTATGTGAATGCTCACTGAATTGAAGAAGAGATGGAAACAAGAAAAGCAAGGCATGCCCAATGGTGTCATTATGGGAAGTTAGCACCGATGCAGACTTCTTGGACCAGTTCAAACCCAGAGCGGAGATTTCTAGTATGCTCAAAGTCATAGGTAAGAATGTTTAAGATCAAATTATCAGTCACTGTTTTGGGTATCACAAATTGATAGAGTTCTTATTGATGAAATTTTCAGTCATTGATCAAATTGCGAACATTTTCAGTCATTGTTCTTGGTTGATACAGGGAAGTGGAGAAAAAGGATGTAGGTTTTTTCAGTGGTTTGATGCAGAAATGTGTGAGCATTCAAAGTCTTTGATACCTGGTTTGCTAAGGAAGATTGATAGAGTGGAGAAGGAAAATGCAAAGATTCGAGCAAAGTAAAAAATATTGTGGGCTGCTATGTTGCTTTCCTGGTTGGTGGTGTTTGCCATGAAGATGAATTAGGAGGAATTAGGAGGAATTAAGAGTAATTTGTTTTGTAATTTGGTGGGTGTAATGTGATTGAGAAGCAATAGTTCAGTAGGCAATGTAATTTGAGAACAAATGCTAATGTAATGTAAGGCACTTTGGAAGTAGTTAAGTTGGTGTAATGTAATGTAATGTAATGTAAGGTAATGTGGCAGTAGTTAAGTTTGTTCATTGTAATTTTTTTAGAGTTTAGAGTTTTCTTTGATCTGTGACATGAATGGAAACTTGTTTAGAGGTTACAAATGGTGACATACTGATAAGCATCATACCAAAAACAGGTTGCAACAATATCTTGTTCATTGGATACCAAAAACAGGTTACAAAAATAAGTTACTCAGAAGCATATCTTGTTCATGCCATATCAAATGGTTACATCTCAATACCTGATCAATATAAGCACAAACCAAAACAAGTTCCAACCATCACATTACATAGGCCTCATCATTTGGCCCGCGGACTCATGGGCCGATGGGGGCCTGCTCGGCCCATAAAAAAAAGCTCGGCTCGGCCCATTATGGGCTTTGAGATGGCTCGGCCCGCCTTGGGCTGGGCTAGGCTTGGGCTTGGGTGTCTGAAGCCCAGCTCGGCCCATAGACCAAGCCCGATAAGCCCAAGAAAGCCTGACCCGGCCCACCCACAAAAGCCCGGCTCGTTAGGTCCGCATACATATATAATTATGTATAAATAAGAGTTTAGGTTTAGGATTATATCACTTAAATCACATATATAATTTCTTTCATTTCATTTACTTTTCTTTACTCATTCCTAGTTTATAATTGGATGATTAGCACATTAATTTGTGTCAATTATTAATTCAACAATCATATATATATATATATATATATAAGATGAACAACATATCACATCACCAAATATAATCATATTACGAAACATAATCGTACCACAAAATATAATCATGCTTTTCTTGAACACATCACCAAATATTTGCATATTTATTCATACCATCCTTTAAAAAAAAATTTGATACTTATTATTTTTTAAAACATATTACGGTCTAATTATGTAATAACCTCATAAATAATACTTTGTTTTATTATTTTTGTGAAAAATCTTGTTAAGTTGTGTGACTTTATTAGGTGTTTTATGAATTTGGTTTGATGTGAAAATATTGGAATTAAGTGAGTATAATCTCAAATTTGGACTAAAATGCCCTTATAATTAAGTTTATGATTTTTTTTTAATAAAGTAGGCCCGTTTAGGCCAGGCCCAGCTCGATGGGCTTTCTCAAGTCCGGACCATGGGTCGGGCTTGGGCTTTGAATTTTCTAAAAAAATTCGGCCCAGCCCGGCTCGATATTTTCTCTCTCCTCTTTAAAGCCCGGCCTGGCCCGGACCATTGACAAGCCCTAACATTACATATCAAATGGTCAATTACATCTAAGTACCTGACTCAAAAACCTTGACAGACATGAAAGCCTAATAAAACCAACCATAACATGCATCAATAATCCCACAAACCAACAACCCAATTGCAACTATTTCTGGACCATTAAAGTCTTACATAATTGCATAATCTATAATTCCACAACATTCAAACCATTCAAAAAGAGTTTATCCTAATTCAAAAGTAGGTTGCAAAAGTTCAACATCATCACATCTAAGGATGAAAAAAGGATCTTTGACAAAATGGCTCCTCTGTTGATCTTTCATCCTCCTCCTATGTTATTGTACTTGAGATAGTTTGGCAGATTGAGATGAATCACATGTTTGAGAAGCCTAAGCTGCTTGAGATGGTTGGGATTGAGAATTCTGGGCCACTTCAGATGCTTGGGACTGAGAAGGCCATTGGGAACCACTTGCTTGTTTCCTTTGCCTTAATTGCATACTTTGTTGTTCGCTACTTTATTCTCCACCTTCTCTCCTTCTTACCTAAAACAAATAATAATTAGAAGTTTCCATGATATGAAATTTTGATTGGTGAAAACATAGTTGAAACCATGGCACTTACTGGAAGTTTTTTCTTGACAACTTTCCTTTGCCTAGTTGGTTTTATGTTGGGATTTCTAGGTTCTTAATAAGCAAAGTCATCAAGTCAGAAACCAAATCAAATAGATTTAAATTTAAATCAATTTTGGATAATGACACATACCTTACAACTAATTCGATTATGCCCTTCTCCATCGCAATTGCCACACTTTAAAGGGATATCATACCTAGGAAGCTTTTATGGATTAGCAAGTTGTTTAGGTTCATCAAAAGCTTGTTTTCTTGTCTTCTTAGGCCTACCAGGCTGCTTGTGGTATTTTGGAGAGAGTAATGGAGGTGAATTAATTTTCATCTACTGATCTTGGCTAGTCATAGGCATAATCATTGGTTCATAGGCTCTCAAATAAGCATCTCGCTTGTACACTGCATCACAAAAGTTCTCTGGATTCCCATGAAACCAACTTATTACAGCACAAGCATGCAAACATGGTATTCCATTCAAATCCCAGGCATGACATGAACAAGAATGGGCATTCAAATCAACAACAAAGTTGTGGCCACTATGGTGCATTACTTCAAACTTATTCTGTCCAGCAACCTTAGGAATGTACCACTGAGCTTTTCCTTTGTTTTTCTCTAATATCTTTCTAATTCTTGGTCCAACTTGTCCATGCCATTTCTCACATAAAACCCTTCTTCCAGCCATCAACAACATTATATACAATCGAATTCTTTCTAACATAGTCAAAACAGGCTTGTCTCTAGCATCCATTATGCTATGGTTGAATGCCTCACATAGGTTGTTCATAAGCATGTCACACTTGGAATCACTCTTGAAATATGCCCTCCTTCAATGCCTAGGATCTTTCTCTGCAAGCGAATCATGTGCAGGTTTAGACAACTCCAACATCTTTCTCATCTCTGCATGAAACAATGGTATTGTTGTGGCCCTAGCAATTGCTTGCATTTGATGTTTCAAAGCAAGACCTCTTTGTTCCAAATAGAAGTTTCCATACAGATGTTTCAAACAATGTCTATACTCTGCATGAGGGAATAGAGCATCCACAACATCTATTAAACCTTTTTGTTTGTCATACATAAATACATAACCATGGCTATTCCTAATATTCAGATTACCACTCAATAATTCTAAAAACACAGCCACGTTGAATTGCTCTCAATCTCTACATATGCATAGGCAAGTGGAAACATTCCGTTGTTTGCATCAACTCCCATTGCAGAAAGCACTTGCCCAGGGTGAGGCCCTTTGACATGACACTCATCCAAGCAAACCACAGGCCTATAACCATCTAAAAAACCCTTCTTGCGGGCTGCAAGACAGATGTAAATACTCTGAAACCGTGGCCTATCACCTTTCATTTCAAATTTAATGATAATTGTACTTCCCACATTTTTTGTTCTTAACTCATGAAATAATCCCACAATACTTCATATTATTTACTGTAAGACCCCTCTACAATGTCAACTGTCATGGCTCTTGCTCTGTACACAATTGCTTTAGATGGTCTGTAACCATAGTCTTGGTGAACTTGCTCTGCAAAAGAAGAAGCAATCCAATTTGGATTGAGCCTTAATTGCCCAGAATATCTTTCACCCAACCAGCTAGCAGTGGCATGTATATTTTTACTCCCCTTACTACAACCATGTGTAGGATTAAAGATTTTCACCTGCAGGTGAGTGCTACCACTAACACTTGAAGCATGGATAACAAAAGGACAACCCTCTTCACATACTACTCTTATTTTGTTACAGTCATTATTCATAAATATCAACTCCCTTCCACAATTAATGGAGTATATCCTTACAGCTTTTCTAAACATCTCGGCAGTTGCAAACTTTAAACCTATTTGAAGCCTAGGTTTGCCATATCAACTACAGGTCTGAAATCTTTACCTTTTGGCATTCTATTCTTCTTCCTTCTTAGTTCACCTACTGCTTCATCTTCACTTGAAGAGCTATTTGGCAGGTAAGTGTAGGTGACTCTTCTCCATTGTCTGACTCATCATTTTCCTTTGCATTAAGATCATTGTCAATACAACTATGACCCACATAACCTCAAACCACTTACAGCCTTCTTCAATAAGTCAATCTCTTCATCACTCTGTGCATAATCACTATCTTCAAATTCTAGATCACTGCTATCATTCCCCACTTGGCTTAAAGTCAGGCTCACTACTTTCAAGTACAAAACTATCACTCTGCTATTGCTTTTAGGTACCGTGCTCATACAAGCTAAAAGCGTACTGTCTAATATTATTTGAATGAGTCTACCAGTTCCAAACTCTTCACCATAAAAACTCACATCATACCCATTGTCATATCCCAAATCTTTAGTCATTCCAAATAGCTCTAACATGGACATATAGTCAACCTCACAATAATCAAACCAACTGACTTCACCACCCAAATAAGACCATTCATTGTCCTTTCTATTTTTAACTAGTTTACCTCCATGGAAAAACTTAAATGTAACAACCTGTAGAGGACTTTTTCTTCCTGCAGCTAATGGGCTGGGCTGCTGCAAAAGGTGGACTGAGGAGATTGCCCCTTTTTGTTCGGGTTTGAAAATTAAGCCCCAAAATACCTCGAAAGGGCAGCGAAACCTTAGGAGATATTTTGGATAATCTTCACCAATGAGAATAATAGTGACTTACAGATAATTTTGGCATGCTTACAGATGGTTTTTAGGCTCAGCATGAGTGGCATGAGGCATGGAGAGCAAAACCAACATGGGTTTAGCACTGAGAGAGAAATTAGGCTTGGTTTATGAGAAATGAAAGTGTTTAAGTAAGGAATGGGGTGTTTTGTGAGGGATTTTGACTAGAGAAAGAGAAAAAAAGAAAGGCAGGGTTCTTCCGGCAGCTGCCAGAAGAACAAATTGGGGAAGAAGATGAACAGTGCGCGAATCTAAGTTTTGCAAGATAGAGAGAAAAGCTTGCTCTCTGCAGGTTGTGTGTTGTGTTTGCTGGGTAGGGGAAGGCTCAATTTATAGCTGCCAGAAATCACCATTTTTCAAGAAACCCTAATGGCTTCTTCTTACTTTGGCTGAGCTTTTCTTCCTTTCTCCTCCCCTTCTCTGACTTCCCTTTCTTGGCAAAGATTGCTTCTGTCTATCTTCATGAATTTAGGAGATTTGGGGGCTCAACATCCTCCTTTCCCGCGGCTGTGCAATGAGGGCTTCCACTCTTGGTTTGCTGTTTTTCTTCCTTTTCTTTCCTCTTCCTTGGCTGAATCTGATGAAGGAAATGAGGTGCAAATGTATGCTGGTCCAAGGGACGCTTCTGACAGCATGCAGGATGGTATTCATCGGTTCTTTGGATGTCTCTGGCTTGGGACTGGTTTCCAGCAGCTTTGTTTAAGGAACCTGCCATCTACTCCTTCACGTGTTCTCTGTTCTTCAAAAGGGCTGAAGCTATTGTGGGCCCTTTTTTGGGCTTTTCTAAGGGCCAAGATGGCTTTCTAAGCAAATGGGCTTGTTGGGCTTCTTGATTTGGGCTTATTATTATTTTTTGGTTGGGTTATCTCTTGGCTAGGTTATTTTGCATGGGCTTTTGGGCTATTTTTTCTCTCTTGTGCTTACCCATATGTTTGGGCCTAAGAAATGGGCCTGAGTCTCGAGGCTCCCAAGCAACCCGAGACTTTCCATTTCTTGGTCCATCAATGGGCCTCATGTTGATTTATCACCATCCATGCCACAACCCGCTCAAGCAAGCCCCGGGTCTTTTTTGAGTGGCTTGGGCCCACCTAGGCTTGTAGCGTGGTTGGGTGCGAGATAACGGCACGGCATGTTGCTCGGCATATTTTACCTTATCGCCCTTGGGAAGGATTGTTTTAATTTTTTAGCATGATTATATTTTATCATAGCATGATAATTTGTTTATTTAGCGTGGCGTGTGGATTATAACTTGCGTGCGATAGATCCCTTTTTTTCTTTTCCCTTATGGAATATTGTGTTGGGCTGATAATTGCTCGGGCCCAATCCATGGATTTTTTTTGGGCCTCAACATTAGCCCCCTTAATTATAAGGGCCATGAACAGGTGCTGGAATGGGCCGAGTAATTAAACCCAACCCAAAAAAATCAGATTTGTATTTGCATAGAACTCCTCTTCTTCCCGCGTTCAAAATGACGGCGTGCCATGATTGGTCCCGGTGGTTACTTGCAGTTTCCCAACGCCAACTGCCTTCCTCTTCTTTTATTATTATTTTTTCCTCCTTTGTTTCTCTTTTCTCTCACCGGGCACAAACTTCTCCCTTTTCCTTTCCTTTTCTCGCTCCAGACCCAAAACTTCTCTCTAACTATTTTTCTTGCGTTCTCTCTTGCCCTTCCACGAAGCCAGACCAAGGAAGAAAGTGCAATCGGGTAGGAATCACCCATCTCCAGCTGCTGGGAAGAAGACCCAAGTCGAACCCAACCCCGTCGTTCCATCTTCGTTCCAAAGGAGCCCGTTCGTTGCTGCTGGAAAGGTCCTCCTTTGTGCGAATTTTGCCTTCAAATCCCTGATTTTCTCCTATTTTTGGTGCATTCGACGTCATCCCTTGGAAGATTTAACAAGGTACCCTCTTTTTTTCCAGTTTTCCCTTAGATTGATTGGAGAATTTGTTGGGTTTCTCATACCCATAGATGTTGCCTTTTGTTTTGGCAGCCAAATACCCAAAACCCCCTTTTTACCCATCTTGTTCCCGCTGTAACAATAGTGCTCACGGAGTGGGTGCTAGCAAGGAAGGGCCCGCGCCATTGTCTAGGTTTCTTCCTTCGTTGATTTTGCTCGAGCTGCTGGAAAGGTAATTTTTTTTCTTTCTTGTTGCCTTGGGTTTCTCCCCCTTCTTTTCATTTTTATTTTGCACGGGCTTCCCCTTTTGTGTGTAAAAGGCTGATTTGGCATGACGTGCTTTCCCTTTGTTTATTTTTTGTGCAGGTACACGCATCTTGGGCATAGGTAGGTGCTGGAAACCCTTGACATTTTGCTGCTGGAACCTTCAAACCCTTCAGTCTTAGACTTTGGTAATAACTCTGCTAACTCTGAGTATTTTAGAATAGGTGTAGACTGATGCTTGGCCTAGGCTCTCTTTTTTTCTTTTCTTGAGAACACATGCTTAATCAATTAGGGAATTCTGCGTGTGTTGCCTGTGGAGGAAGATAATTGACAGAGTGCATGTTTTGTACTGCCTGGTTGAATTTTTTATTTTTTTTATTTTGAGAAGGGACTTGCTTGTCCTGCTTGTTGATCACAAAGCGAGACTCTTACTTGTCATGAGCTTGAATTTTAAATTGCATGTTTGCTTGGATGAACTCAACTAGCCACGTATTTTACGTGTGCTGATTCTATTTTGCTTCTTTCCATATTTCTATGCGCAGGTACCCATTATGGCATCCGGTAATCCACCACTTATCATAAGGGATCATCTTTACTCCGTAGATGACAGGTTGAAGAGAGGGAGACCTCCTCCTTTGCTTAAGGGCGCCGACGAGGATGTAATTATTGATGAAGAACCAGCGCCAGAAGCTACTTCAGTGATTGACCCTGCATCCGTATCAAGGTGCTGCATAGAAAGGGGTCTGTTTCCGGCAGTTCCTTTGTTCTTTCAATATCCCTGCAGCACCAGCAAGGGTTGGTCGGAGTGGGTTGACCATGAACTGAAGAACCCGTCTACCCGTGATATCCTAAGCCGGGCAGGTGTGTTGGAAGCCATCTTTGCTTCTAAGGCTTGCGACATCCATATTGAAGCCAAGACGCTTCGACACTTGGTTAGACGGTGGAGTACCGAGACACACACTTTTATTTGTTCGTGGGGAGAGTTCACTCCCACGCTTGAGGATGTAGCCAATATTTTCCCGCTCCCACTTTGCGGCAGTCAAGATCCTTTCCACATTGCATTAACCCCGGAAGATGGGCTAAAGCTTGAGACTTTACGGAAGGGTGCTCCGACTTCTCCTAGTACTTCTCTAAGATTCAGTAATTGGATTCAATTTTTTGGGAACAGTGACCGAGATGAGCCGTGTCGCCTTGCTGCGTTTGTGTCATTGTGGCTCGGGAGGTTCCTCTTTTGTGATTTTTCCCAAGACTGCTTGCATGGGAGAGTGTTTCCGTTGGCTTTGGCAATAGCACGGGGTAGCATGATCCCTTTAGCCCCCATGTTCTTGGGGCACTTATATTGCTTGCTTGACCAGATTCAATTTCTTGAGAAGGGGGCGGCCGGAACCATGGCTGTGGAGACTTTTGCAAACTCCAGTTTTCTGCAAATCTTTTTATGGGAACGCTTCAAAGGGATAGAGGTATCTCCACTTCCCTTATTCAAAGGCTGAGTCACTGGTTGCTTCGGACGAGAATTCCTACATGCCGGGTAGTCTTCCTCTGATCTGTAGATGGTCCCGTCGCATGCAACGGAAGGGCCAAAACTTTTTAGAGCTGCTGGACGATGTTGAGAAATTCATCTTCCGCCCATACTGTGTTTTATCAGAGGGATTCAGCAATACACCCTTTTATGCAGATTCTGTTGTCTTGGTCGAGGCCCTAGCCATGCCAACACAAGGTTGCCCTGCGTAGGAGGCATTACTAAGCGTTGCATGTCTCTCCTTTGCCCACGTTTGGTGATGATCACTCGAGAGTTCCTGTGCGTTATTCCCCTTATCGGGTTAGACGACAGCTTGGGATTTGACCAGGGAGTGCCTTCTCGTCCTAACTATGGAGATTCTCTGGCATTACACAAGATTTTCTAGACCGGGACAGCGTGCCGGGAGACGGCAGACCTCTTGCTTTAGCCCTGGCTAACCGGCAGCGCGTTGGCAGTCTCTCAAAGGCCTACAAAATTATTGGAACCGTTGCTTTGCCTCATTTAGCCGATTCCATGCTGCCCATTGTGATAGATTGATTCCCACCATCATTCATCATGCCCGCTTAGTGTCGGAAGAGAAAGCCATTTCCCTGAGCGAGAAGCGAAATCTGCCTTTTACTTCCAAAAGCGGAGAGATTGTTGGTGACTTTTCGAAGCTAAAGCGGAAATTGGAGAAATCGGGTTCTCACAGCACCGGGAAAAGTGCTGTACATGGGAAACGGAAGCGAGAGGAAAGCTGCAGCGTCGAGAAAAGGCAAGCTGTAAAAGGGCCGAAAAAGTTCATCCCCAAGGTAGCAGCAAGTGGTCCTCCTAGCGCAAGAAAAGTTGCCTTGCCAGAGCCTTTACCATGCAGCAGCCCGTAGCCCCCGGCAGTAGCAAGCGAACGGCACCAAGGGCTTCGTCTCCTCGCAGTAAGTATTGTCATTTGTTTGCTCTCTTTGTTTCCCACTTTTTATATACATATAAGTATACCTTTTATCTTATTTTACAGGTACTTCCCAAAGTAAAGGCAAGGGTAAGGAGTTTCCCGTGATCCCGAAGCGTCGAAGCATGCGTATTCTCGAAACACGGTTTGCCAATACCCGCAAGAACAAAGGTGAAGACTCGGGACCCAAAGTAGTGGTAACGGTTGATGATAATAGTGATGATGGTAGCGATGACAGTGGTGTGTGGGGACTGAGATTAACATCCACGAGCAAGAGAGCACTCACGATACAAGTGTCATGGATGAGGACCTTGATGAAGGCCAGTACTATAGTCGCGATGAAGACACATATCCGGACTTTGGCACTAACTTGGAGGAGCTCGACGCCTCAGATACACCCCCTGCTTTGGCTAGTAATCGTGGACAGCGTGTCGACATTGAACTGGTATTGAATGTCCCTCTTGCTTGTTCTACTTGGCATATTGACATTGCATACTGCCCGTTGTGTCCCATAGTTCATACTTCATTTTTTTTTCCTGCAGGTCGTGCCCACCATTGAAGACACGATAGGTGCTTCATCGGAGGCTGGTTTTGCCTTTCCCGCTACTGTTGCTGATGCTATCCTGAGCCTTCCGGCAGTGCAACCTCCTTCTTCTCCTAACCTGTGCACTCCTGACATGGCTGCCGACCCCTCTCCGCCACTTCTAGCAGTTCCTCCTCCTATTTCTCCAATCCCGAGCGCACCTGACATGGCTGCCGGCACCTCTCCGGCACTTCCAGCAGTTCTTCCCCCTATTTCTCCAATCCCGAGCACACCTGTCATCGCTTCCGGCACCGCTCCACCTCTTCCAGCAGTACTTCCCCCTACTTCTCCAATCCCGAGCACACCTGACATAGCTTCCGGCATCGCTCCACCTCTTCCAGCAGTACATCCCTTTGTTGAGATTATTGACAATAGTCATAAGAATGGTGATGCTTTTATCGCAGGTTCCTCAAAAGGGCATTCATTCGAGAAAGGCATGTCTTGGCAAGATTGGGAAAACTCCTACACGGCATTCAAAGCCTTTTTTGATGGTGGTGTCACCATTCTTAGATCCATTGATGAACTTCTTCCGCTTTGCCACAGATTCGATGGTTATGTGACATTCCAAGGTGCCCTCGTGTATCCAGAGACAGTTGAAGCCTTGAAAAGGTTTATGGACAAATACGGAAGTTTGATGGAAGCCACAGATGTCACCTCCTCTTTCTCAAGGTGCACTGCCCTTCGAGCCCTTGGCCTAGTACTTCACGGGATGGACACCATGCAACTCCTTGATATTACGGATCACAAACTACTCTATTGGCGAGATGCAATATGTGAGGCCATGATTCTGGGCTTTCGCGTGGAATTTCTTCTCAAACTTGTGAAGAACTTAGCACGTGCCGTCTTTGGAGCACGGGCCATTCGTAGTATGCAATTATCGCATGACTCTGATGAAGTAAAAGCTGCTGCAGATGCCTTGAATATTAAACAACAGGAGTTGGAGAACCAGCGCCGGGAGATGCATGCCCTTCTTCTTGCTAAGGGTATTTCTGTTGACAGCGCTGAGTGCGTGACGGAGGCAGCGGCCAGATTATCTCCTGGGGCTTCCTTTGTTCTTTTCGGACATTCCCCATAGCTTAAAGGTACTCAGCTCATTCATCATTTTTTTTATATCACGTTACATATTCCAGCAGCAGCTATTTTTGACACACATTTTCTTTTTTCTTTTGTTCTTTTTTTGCAGATTGCCCATCCTTGGCTTGGTAACCATTTAGCTTGGCACATGATCCTGCTTTCTTTGTGACTTAAGGGCGCGTGAACCTTCAGCATATGCAGTTTTATTTTGCTTTGTTTGTTGTTTTTTTTTTTTTTTTTTGAGACTCTAACGACTACGTCGTTATGCCTTTGTAATTTTGATATTAAACTACTGAAAGCTTGTATGAATTTCCGAATGCTTGAGGCATGTTGCATATTTCCTGTGTATATATATATATGTACTGCTTTGTTGGCCAAAGTTGTCTTTATGGACTGCTTGAAATTTTCTGATAGGTTGGATATCATTGAAAACAAGGGTATATGCTGTCGAAATTTTTTTTTAACAGAAGCAAAATTTTCGAAAGTTTCTTTTGCATGGCTTATCTAGATTCTAAGCTTGACAAAATAGCTTCCCACCCTTCCCAAAGGGTCGAGCCAATATGTGCATGATTTCTACTTGGGCTCTATAAAGCTTCCAGGTGTTGTATCGTGTTGTTCCAGCATCTCAAAATTGCATGTCTCTTTGCAACATGCCTTATGCTATTTTTTTTGCTTAAGCGTGATGCTTGGGGACCCCATCTAAGTGGCTTTGCCCGGCATGTTTTACTACTAAGTGGCATGTTTATATATATATATATAGAGAAAATTTGAGAAAGGGTTAATAATAGTAAAGTTTTTGGAGACACAATATATTTTTTTCAAAATATTCTTCATTCTCATTGCAAAAGCCCTTGCTACCATAATGGTGCATCATACAAAAGTGTCTTTTTTTCAAAACGTGAAAATAAGACAGAAGGAGTTTATTTTTTTTTTGACAGAGAGAAAATACAAAAGTACTAGGCATAAAGTTAACTTAGCAGTAGTAGAGCTTGAGCCACTTCCCATTGACGGGGTCTGTCAGCGTGCCTTCTTTGACAGAGACCAAGCGATAATAGCCGCTGCTGTGAACCTCTTTGACTGCAAACGGGCCTTCCCATTGTGGCGCAAACTTGGAAGGTCCCGACACCTGTCTTCTCACATGCTCCACAACTTTTAGCACGAGGTCTCCTTGCTTGAAGGCGCGAGGCTTGACTGTCCTGTTATAGGCTTGAGCTACAGTTCTGTGGTACAACGCTGTCCTCTTTTCGGCCTCCGCCCTTTTTTCATCCAAAGCTTCAAGGTCCAGCAGGCGCCATTCCGAGCATGACTTTGTATCCCATTCGAGGTCGTTAACAGCTGCTATTCTGGCAGTGGGGATGGTAATCTCTACTGGTGAAATGGCATCGGACCCGTACACAAGTGAATAGGGCGAGAAACCTATGGCACTTCTTGAAGAGGTGCGGTAAGCCCATAAAGCATCCGGCAGGTGAACACTCCAACCTCCTTCATACTCATAGACCATTTTGCTTAGGATCCTCAATAAAGTCTTGTTCGTGGCTTCCGCTTGACCATTTCCTTGTGGATAATAAGGCGTGGAGCGACGATGCTTGACACCATAACCACTAAGCGTCGAGCTTACTTGCTTATTGACAAATGGGGTGCCATTGTCGGTGACAATCTTATATGGGATTCCCAAATCTGCATACGATATATTCACGGATGAAATTTGCAACGGCAGCTCCCCGTGGCCTTCCGAAGAGAACTGCCTCAACCCACTTTGTGAAATATTCGGTGGTTGTGAGGATCCATATGTAGCCGTCGGATGGTGGATGGATAGTCCCGATCAAGTCAAGCCCCCAAGTATGAAAGGGCCAAGGAGTGCGCATGTCCTGCAGCAGCGTGGGAGGCTTGTGACTTAAGTTGGCGTGAACTTGGCATGTGTGGCACCTCTTCACAAAGTTGTATGCATCATTCTTCATTGTAGGCCAATAATACCCAACACTCAGCAGCTGCTGGTAAAGCCTCTTCATTCCTTGGTGCTCACCACATTCTCCAGCATGAATCTCTTGCATGGCTTGCTGTGCCTCTGACTTTCCCAAGCATTTTAATGGCTCACCATTAAACCCCTTACGGTAAAGAGTTGACCCATCTATGAAGTATCTTTCATTGTCCTTTTGAGCTTACGTGCATGCTTGGGATCGGTTGGCAAGACTCCGTTGATGAAGGATGCCAAGTATGGAGCCCTCCAATCCTCTGCAAATGAGACGGTTCCTCGGTGGAGGGTATCCTTGCACACTTGGGACAATTGGCTTGTATTTCAGCTGCTTGTTTCCTCATTTCTGGCCAGTAATAACCCTTGCGCTGCAGGCGCCGATACAAGCTGATTATTGGCTCCAAATTGCAAGTAACCTCATGTACCTCTTGAAGCTTCTCCTGCGCTTCCGTTGTCCCTATGCAGCGGGTCAAAATACCTCCTGGAAGGCGTCTGTACAGTTCCCCAAAGATGATCGCATAATCCTTCAATTCTTTGATGTCGCTTCCTTTGCCTGTTTTTTTCTTTCACAAGCTTCCTCCAGTCATCCTCTTCTAGCTGCTCCTCTTGAGCCATTACTTCAACAACTGGCGTGTCCTTCTTGATTACTGCAATATTGGGCTGTTCTTCAATAAATGAGAGCCTCGACCCCAAAGTGGCCAACGCATCAGCATATCTATTAGTGACTCCCGGGATATGTTCCAACACAACCTGTTTGAAAGAACGAACAAGCCTTTCAGCAGCTGTACGATATGGTGCCAATGCTGGTTCCTTCACGGCGAAATTTCCTTGTAATTGACTCAGCACCAAGTTTGAATCCCCAATAATTTTAATTCTTTTGACACCCATTTCCCTTGCTGTAGACATCCCTGCAATAAAAGCTTCGTACTCTACCGTATTATTTGTGCATGGGAAATTTAGCTTAAACGAGAGGGTCGTGGCTTGCCCCTCGGGATTGACAAGCACCACACCTGCCCCTCCACCCTTCGATGTAGAAGACCTATCGAAGTAGAGGGTCCATGGTTCTGCCTCTGTGACTACAGCAACCATTTCCGGCAGCTCCCCCAGAACTTCCTTAGAGATTGTTGATTCTTCAACTAAGGGAAATAGAGCCAACATGTCAATCACGGCCTGCCCTTTGATGGCTTTTGGGGTGGTGCAGGTGATATCAAACTCGGACAGTTGTAGCAGCCAACGTGCAAGGCGTCCGGATAACACCGGCCTTGTAAGCAAATATATTACGGGATCGGACTTCACCATGAGATGTAGCTTGTGAGCAAGGAAGTAATGCCGCAAGCGCTGTGCAGCATAGACAAGAGCAAGGCACAAGAGTTCAGTCTTTGGATATCTTACTTCGGCTCCCCTTAGTTGCCTACTTACGTAATAAATGAGACTTTCTTCCCCGTCATGATCATCTTGAGCAAGCAAAGCCCCCACTGCTGTGTTTGTTGCAGCCAAATAAAGCTTGAGAGGAAGCCCCGGAATAGGTGCTTTCATAGTGGGCAGCTTGGTGATTATTTGTTGCACCTTCTTGTAAGCTTCTTGGCACTTCTCACTTCATTCATACGGCTTGCCTTTCTTGAGCAATGGAGTAAAAGCACTCATGATGGTAGCAAGACCTGGGATAAAGCGTCGAATATACGATAATCTTCCCATAAAGCTTTTCAATTCTTTTGGGTTTTCTAGGCGGTGCAAGAGAATTTATGGCTTTAGTCTTTTCAGGATCCAAGTCTATGCCACGCCGGTGTACTTGAAACCCCAAGAATTTACCGGATGAAACCCCGAACGCACACTTCTTTGGATTCATCTTTAAACCGTACAGCCGACACCTTTCCAGCACTCTCCTCAAAGCTTCTTGATGGCCTTCTCTGGTTTTGGACTTCACCACAAGGTCATGCACATAATCTTCGACTTATTTTCCCATCATGTCGTGAAACACCGCTGTCATGGCTCTTTGGTAGGTGGCGCCAGCATTTTTAAGGCCGAATGGCATGACTGTATAATAAAAATTCCCATATGGTGTTCGAAAGGCTGTCTTTTCAGCATCTTTGGGTGACATCTTGATCTGATTTTAGCCACTAAACCCATCCATGAATGACAACAATCCTTGACCCGAGGTTGAATCAATCAAGATGTCCATGTTAGGCAGCGGGAATTCATCCTTTTGGGCAAGCTCGGTTGAGATCTCGATAGTCCGTGCATACTCTAATTGCCCCGGTCTTTTTCTTCACAGGCACAATATTTGCTAACCATGTTGGATGCTTGATTGGCTTAATGAATCCGGCAGCTAACAACTTTTCAATTTCCACCTTAATTTGCTTCTCAACTTCATGATGAAAATTCCTTCTTGGCTGCACGATAGGTTTTGTACCAAGCTCAATATTCAAAGTATGACTTATCAATTGTTTCCAGCTGCTCGGCTACTGCTGCCGATCCATCTTGCATATGTCTTGGGTGCTGCCATTGGTTCTTGGAAAACACAAGGCATGGGTGCTTTGTTGTCGGAACTCCCACAGCTATTTGTTTGCATTACTTTCCCTCCATACTCGGGGCTTTCCCATAAGACACGGTCAAGCCCCCAACCCCGTCATAAGCGGTACACGGTACGTCCATCGGGCAGCGTCACCTTTGAGCATTGGGGATGATCATAGGCATGGTTGTTGACTTCTGAGTGCCTCTTTCTCTCTCGATCAACAATGGTGATGAGCTCCTCATTACTTAAATCACGAATTTCAGTCCACAAAGGAAGGTAGGTCCCGAAATCCTTGGATGGATTGCTCCCAGCACCTGTGCATTCAGTGTAGAATTCCGCCTCGGAGTAGTGAGCTTCATCTTTGTTGAACGGTGCTTGGTTTCCAGGTATGCGTAGCGGCCTCAGCCCAATCCTTCCTTTTACGCATTGATGATAGGTAGAGACCACAAGCTTATGCTTGTTGAGCCATGGCCTTCCAAGCAAAGCGTGGTAAGCCACATCCACATCCACAACATAGAACTTAGTAAGTGACCGAATTGGCCCAACCTTCAAATTTACTTGTAGATGCCCGACTGTGACCTCACTCTTATTCCCGAAACCACTGATGTTTGTTTGTGATTGGACAATTTTGGACAATGGGATACCAGCTGCCGTAAGCACAGACAGAGGTAATATGTTGACAGAGGAACCCGTGTCTACCAAAGCTCTCCATATGAACACATCATTGATTTGTCCCTCCAAGTAAAGCGGCCTCCTATGGTCCGGGTATGGAACTTCCATGTCTTCGTCCGTGAAGACAATAGCATTGTCATTTCCTAAGAATGACCCTTGTGGTTGAGCTGTAAAGCAATGAGAGTTAGACTCTGCAGAGATATTCATCAGAGCTACAGCAGCTACTTCTCTTGCTTGAGGCCCGAAGCCAAGTTGGTCAAAGAGTGATTTGAACTTCGGGTTTCTTTGAAGGACTTGTGAAGCTGTGGGCCCCTGTTTCATACTTAAATAACGTTCCATCATGCTTGTTTTAGCTTCCATGAGATTATGAAGTGTCACAGCAGCTGCCTCCTGCTGCTCCGATAAAGCCCCCGAGTAGCATTCTTCCGGCATGTCCAAAACAAAAATTTCGCTGTCTGAGTTGTTACCCCATCCATCAGCGAGTGGCCATGGTGTGTTGTAACTTGAAGGCCTCGAATATTTACACTGATATGCCTTCTCCATGTTTCCGCAAGGTTCCCATATAGCTTCCGGCAGCTTTGGGTCGTTCCTCCAAGGGTGGCACAATTCATCATCATCAAGCAAATCATCAGAGCATGTAATGACAGCGGCTACCTCCTTTCCCCTTCGTTTTGGCAAGGGGTCTTCATCAATCGTTTGCTTCCTAGAGGGAAGTTCAAGGACTCCCTCATGTATTTTGGCATGTAAAATCCTCCTCAGACTCTGACAGGCAGTGGTTGGATGGCCCACAAATTGATGATAACAGCAGTACCTAGGATCATTCTTTTCCTCTCGAGTTGGAATTTTGTAGGGTCTAACAGGTTTGATTACGCCATCAGCAATCATCGTGTCAAGGATAACATGAAATTCTTCAACTTTGCATGGTAGTGGTGGATACGTCTCCCTATCCTTCCGTTTGCATGAATTGTAGTCGTTGGATGGCTTGTCATCTATTGCTAATGTCTGATGCGCTTCCTTCTTCTCATTCCTCCAAGTCCTTTGTCCTGGTAGCTTGACTGACATGCTTGTCTTCCTCACAGCTTCCAGCAGCCGAGAAAATTGACTAATGCCAATATTCTCCAAATACACTCTATAATCCACCACGATATTGCTGATGCAGATTTCAACAAGCGCCTCCTCATCTTTCTCATCATAGCAATCCAATGCCAAGTCCCGGAACCTACGTACAAAGTCCACGGGATCCTCACCATGCTTTTGGCGAGTGTTGTTGAGTTGAGTGGTGGTGACTCGTTCTTCATGCTGGAAATACTTCTTACAAAACCTGCTTGCCAAGCTTTCCCAAGAGTGAATAGAGCCTGGTGCCAACGTTGTATACCATGTGTAAGCACGATCGGTGAGACTCTTTGAAAATTCTCTAAGTCGAAGATTATGATCACCAGCATATGGTCCCAAGGCATCGATGAAGCGATTGACATGCTCCTTCGGGCTCCCCTTCCTTCCATCAAAGAGGACAAAGGTTGGTGCTTCATAGCCTTTAGGATATGGCTGCTGGAGTAAGCTTGATGGATACGGCGACTGAGGAAGATACGTCCAATCTTCCTGACTTCGACTCAGCTCCTTTTCCAGCATGGCGACAACGTCCTCCTGAGTGACAAAAGATGGTCCTTTTTGCTCAGACTCCTTTCCGGCAGCAGCAGATTCCTCTTGTGGGTGCTTTTCGTTCACTTCACTTGGCTTTGGAGCCGAATTTTTGAGTTCTTTTATCATCTATGCCATCTCCCTCTGGGTCTCACCCATAGCACGAATGGCTGCAACAAGATCTGTGAGGGTAAAAGTTCCCTCACTTGCACATTCTTCTTCCCTATAAGAGGCATGTTGCCTTGACTCTGAGTCAGCATGGCTTGGCCCATCCTGGGAAGTCATGTTGTTGCTTCTGGTCTTCTTTCTTGGAGGCATTGATGAAGATAATGGCCTAATCCCCAGTGAAGTCGCCAATTTACGTAGGGGACTTTTTCTTCCTACAGCTAATGGGCTGGGCTGCTGCAAAAGGCAAACTGAGGAGATTGCCCCTTTTTGTTTAGGTTCGAAAATTAAGCCCCAAAATACCTCGAAAGGGCAGCAAAACCTTAGGAGATATTTTGGATAATCTTCTCCAACGAGAATAATGGTGACTTGCAGATAGTTTTTGGCATGCTTACAGATGGTCTTTTTAGCTCAGCATGAGTGGCATGTGGCATGGGAGCAAAACCAACATGAGTTTAGCATTAAGAGAGGGATTAGGCTTGGTTTATGAGAAAAGAAAGTGTTTAAGTAAGGAATGAGGTGTTTTGTGAGGAATTTGACTAGGGAAAGAGGAAAAAGAAAGGCAGAGTTCTTCTGGCAGCTGCCAGAAAAAAAAACAAATTGGAGAAGAAGATGAACAGTGCACGAGTTTGTTGAGTTTTTGCAAGTTAGAGAGAAAGCTTGCTCTCTGCAGGTTGTGGGGTTGTCTCTGTTGGGTAGGGGAAGGCTCAATTTATAGCTGCTGGAAATCACCATTTTTGAAGAAACCCTAATGGCTTCTACTTATTTTGGCTAAGTTTTTTCTTCCTTTCTCCTCCTCTTCTCTGACTTCCCTTTCTTGGCAAAGATTGCTTCTGCCTATTTACATGAATTCAGGGGATTTGGGGGCTCAACATCCTCCTTTCCCGCAGCTGTGCAGTGGGAGCTTCCACTATTGGTTTGCTGTTTTTTCTTCTTTCCTTTCCTCTGTTTTAACCAAATCTGGTGAAGGAAAGGAAGTGAAGATGCATACTGGTCCAAGGGATGCTTCTAAAAAAAAAAAAAAAAAAAAAAAAAAAAAAAAAAAAAAAAAAAAAAAAAAAAAAAAAAAAAAAAAAAAAAAAAAAAAAAAAAAAAAAAAAAAAAAAAAAAAAAAAAAAAAAAAAAAAAAAAAAAAAAAAAAAAAAAAAAAAAAAAAAAAAAAAAAAAAAAAAAAAAAAAAAAAAAAAAAAAAAAAAAAAAAAAAAAAAAAAAAAAAAAAAAAAAAAAAAAAAAAAAAAAAAAAAAAAAAAAAAAAAAAAAAAAAAAAAAAAAAAAAAAAAAAAAAAAAAAAAAAAAAAAAAAAAAAAAAAAAAAAAAAAAAAAAAAAAAAAAAAAAAAAAAAAAAAAAAAAAAAAAAAAAAAAAAAAAAAAAAAAAAAAAAAAAAAAAAAAAAAAAAAAACATTTTGGCACTGAGCAATCCAGTTCCGCAACCCATCCATAGTCACAACCCCGATGTCCAAAACTTTCGAACCCTAGTTTGACCGTATCGAAGCCGGCGGAACGCACGCCTCCATTGTTTGACCTCCCGATCGAAGTGCCTGTTGCGACGCCACGGAGAAGCGAAAGTGGCGACTTCCGGCGTCGTTGTGAACGAGGTGAGTTCAGATATTGGTTGGGTAGTGTAGTGTATTATAAAATCGTGCATCCCTTTCACTTTCACCACAAAGGGCAGAAGAGCTAATTTTCAGTTTCAGGCTTATATATGTTGAAATTCATAGTTGTGTTATTATCTGCAGTTGGATGTAGTGGTACTTGAATTTTGGTTTAAAATTGGAACGCTTGTATAATGGAGTGCAATGTTGTTGATATGGCAAAATACAGCACCAGAAAACATCATATGTTAACTTGTCTGCCTAAAGAGTTTGTTATGTAGTTTTAGGCTGAATGTCAGATGCTAATGGGGATTTATTGCATTCTGGTTGTTGGTATAAAGTTGTGTGTTTTGGTTTCCAATTTGGGAATGGAAGATTTGACCACTAATTGTTCCTTGTACCACAACTGGCCTTTGGTTGAAGTTTTGTTACATTTTTGAAAACCCTTAGAGGTGAGAAGGTTCATATTCTGCCCGATGGTGTTTGTTAAGTTTGGGAATAACTGAACCCACAGCTAGTACAAATCAGAAAGACCATAAATGAATAAAATTCCTGTTTGAAGGGCAGCTAAATTTGAGTTTGGAAAATCTATAAAATATACGTGTAGTGGGTATGTTTTATTTGTTTGAATGTATCTTTTTTTAGTTTATTCATTCGGTAGTAATTTCTATGTTATGTGCGACATGGATACTTTGAATATGTACTAAATGGAAGTGGTTAATAGTAAACATTGAGAGTACGAAGGTGGGGAGGCTAAGGCATAATAGTGTCACGGAATGTACTTTTTCCGACCTTGTTTCCTCGCATTTAGTAAACCATGGTATCCGATCCCACGAAGATATATTGTCACAACACCTGAACTCTGTTAGTTTCCGTACCATCCTCTCTGCGTAAGCATAAGGTTTGAAAGACCAATGAGCGTTAAATATGTTTAAAGTACAACACAGATGTTAGGCCTTCTAAAGTACCCCTTTAGTACAATCTTGAAAAAAATCTTGAAGGTCATGATTGAAGGTTGGCATTGTAAGCTTGAGAGTAGCAATGCCCTGCACGTTGTTTGGGAACAAGAAATGTGGTCTTTCGGGACAATAAACTGACAATGTGGGACTGTTTTTAATTGAGTGATTGGGTTGAAGATGGGAATTTTGAAAAGTGGTGAAAAACATGTTTCGGTATTGCAGAGAACTAGCAACGAAGCGTAACCGCACGCTGCTCCGATCTGCCTCCTCATGAGGATCGCAATGTCGAACCCGTCCACTGTGCAGGGTAGAACAGGTGCCATCCGAACCTCCCCGACAATCAGTTCGACTGAAAGCAATACAAGTCGGGTGTTTGCAGCATGGTCAGAGTTTGGAATATATTCAGTATGTGGAGGCGTTTCGTGCATAAATGGGAAGCAAATTTGAAGGTTGGCCGAGTTTTCCAAATAAGATGGCCCTTTTAAAAACCATCAGTTTTGCAGCTATTACAGGCAACTTCGATTGAGAACTGTCCAATCTTGAAGCATGGTGTGTGTTCGCGTTGGCAGCTTCCTTGCCCTTAGAAGTTCGGCATATAAAGTTGGTTACATAGTTTAAGGTTGTTAAATACGAATCCACTTATGATGTGTTATTGTATATAAGTAGTCTCTCCCTCACTAACACTTGAACTTTGTCTGACTATGTTAAGTGGAGATTTTAGGATCCGCGCAGCAATTTATTACAGCCGCTGATTCAAGAAAGATTGAAAAAAATTTCGGTGGGGAGCATAAGCTATCCACGTTAGAACCGAGAGTAGCTTTTCCAAAAATTGAGGTCTCAAAGATTCGTATTCCCTTCTCCTCCCTCTTGTTTATGACTTGAGCTACCCATCCGGACTTTTGACATACACAGAGACTGATGCGCTGATCACTTCTAATTGTTTTTATGCATTGGTGCATGCAGACGAGATTTAAGTCGTAAATGCGCCCGTGATTGCTGTTGTTCTATCATTTGAAGTGTCAATTATATAGTTTGTTTTGTTTGTTGCGCCGCATTTGATGGAATCGGAACTATTATCCTGTTCCTTTGGGATTGGAGATTTTTGAGACAGATGCGCTTGGGAGTGGTTTTGTGAAAAACTACATTTGCAATTGGTGATTGCTCACTCGTTGTCATTCAGTCGGCAAGGTTATCATACAAATGGGTTTCGTAGAGGTTTTTTTCCTTGGCAAGCCTGGGTATTTCGTTTATCACTGGTGGGGAGTCGGGCAATATCAAGAGCCTCTTTAAGTTAAGCCGGATCCATATTGGGGTATTTGTCAGGGCAGCTAAGTCTTATCGTCTATCGGCGGTCATCTCACTTTTCCCAGGATAACAATGACCGAGGGCGAACTTATTTTACTACGTGGCATCCAGAAGTGGTCGGCGGCCCAGGGTGAGGGATGAGATAATGGATGACAACGAAATTGGTGGATTCCATTAATTCAGGGGGTCTTTCGGTTTGCAATGATTGTGCCGTGCGACCACTTGAGGGACGAAAGATTACAAATCTACTTGTCGGGGGGTGTAGGCACCAGCGGAGTGAGCAATGGAACTCCATTGCGAAAACGTGGTGCCCTGATTTAGGGGAAATTAAGTTAGGAAGAGTTAACCTGCGTCAAGGATGAATTTGTCAAAATCATGAGGTCGGTAAATGTTCTGGATGTGCTTTGAACTGGTCCCTGGGCACTTGGCAAACCGGAGTTGTACAGTCAGGGAATTTTAATTGGAGCAACTCCCTGCCCCCGCTATTGCGGTATGCCGGCCTTAAATTGAACCCCTACTCCTTTGCCTCTTATCTTATTACACGAGCACATGGGCACTGCAGATGTGAAATCTTTTCTCTGTTACCACCGGAAGCACATGGGTTATTCCCGAAATTTAAGAAGGTTCAAAATCCCCCTCCTCTTTTTGTAAGGTTTATGCCAGCCGTCGCAAAACGCAAAGAGCTCGAGAGGAGAGGAGTCCCTCAAAAAAGTGCTCAAGGTGTGGTGTGAAGGGCCTACTAACCGAAGTAACATGCAAACAAGCTGTCCCTCTCCCAAAAGCAGCACGTTGCGTAGATGGTTACACATGTTTTATTCTACCTCTGTTTTGGTTCAACTGCGAAGTTTGATGAATACTCGAGCATGCTGTATGGAGGAAGTCGTCACTCAAACGGTCATGTGAAGCATATAACAAGGTACAAGTCCTTTTGCAATGAAGCCTCGTATTAGTAGAAATTGGTGGAACATACGTGCCACCACCACAGGAAACCGCTTTAAATTAACATTTTCCACCATGGTCCATGTGGGTTTCATATTAGCATTTCGGTTCGTTTGTTATGTACCTTTTCATTTGAAATTTGAATTGATTTGATTTGGTTGTTCTCCTATTGTGAGTGTTCAAACTTCGCATAAATGGCTTTCTTGCCTAGACAACTCATGTATTCCTTTGATATTCAACACTATCGTCATGCGGCTGTCCTTTTTTTGTTCGCCAAAAATGACAGGGCCGGTGAGGAGGATGGTCGTGGAGTCTGACACGGGGCGATCTCGTCCATGGGCGCACGACCTGAAAACTCCTTCAATGCCAAGCTGACGCAGGTTACTGTGGATGACGTGGGTTAGGTGACTGGTCCTGATTTCCCTGCGGGGGGGGGGTCGTCCATCGGGCACAGAACCAGATATAGAGAAAATTGTTTGGGAAAGAGTAGCAGGGCACTACGAGCGATGTGGGTGTTCAACCTATCGTATATGATCTATAAGATCGCGATCGATTAGGAACTTAATAAAACGCATTATTCACGGAGTCCACACCGACACAAGAGAAAACCCTTCCCCCTTCGAGTTGAGGCTCTTACCCAACGGCATCTCGCTTTGTTGATTACTAACTATGACTCTGGTTTTAATAATTTCGCACCTGTGTTGCAAAATGAAAATTAATTTACCTTAGTGTCCATATTGTTGCGCAATGATTTTTATTTTTTTTTTTTTTTTTTTTTTTTTTTTTTTTTTTTTTCATTACTTGAGGTCCTTCATTACAAACCCTTTTAATCCATTCATGTTATGTCTTCTTTATATCCGAAGGTGCATTTAAGTACGAAATTACTCTCCCTTCAACATTTGCTTGTTTACGTCCATGACCACCCTCCTTTTTTTTATTTCGTATTTAATTCTTCCTTTCATAACTGTATTGTTGTTCCACGTAAAAATTTGCTGTAATGTTATACTGTCCGTGGTTTTGATGAATCGATATCTTTCCGATCTTCCATGGAGTTTTCGTGCTTCAGAACCCCCAAACTTTCTAACCCTCCCTCGTTCCGACCTTTGCTACATCCTCTTTAACCATTTCCTCCAATTGAAAAACTATATGTTATGGTGCCAATCAATAAGCAGCAATAAAGCCATCTACCCTCCCTACGATCACAATATGACACAAGACAATAGCACTAACAAAAACAACAAACAACAATATAGTACTCTACGATTCCATATGAGCAATAATATACCAATACCAAACAATATAAGTACTTGATGCGTCCAATATGAGGTCAATAAACTACCATAAGCCACATACAGTACACACACTTTCATTTATACAAACTTACTAATTTGCCAACAACCTGACATAATAACCGGAACAGCAACCGGGGGCAGTCATACAAATATTTTCGGGTCACAAAATGCTTTGACCCCTACTTACCCTTACCATCTACACAGATCCTCCCAAAATCCCAAAACGTACGTTCCATCCTTAGATCCTGTCCTTGTTCTTACTTCCTCGCTGCTTCCCAAGGCTATGATCAGCCATTCCTTGGCACAGCTCTCACACCTGCCGACACCAGCAAACTATTTGGCTCATTGTAGTTGCGGGGGAAGGGACAGAAGCATAATTCGAAAAATCTCGAACCCATTTTCTTCCCAAGATTCAACCTTTCCTGTAACTCGTCAGATTCAGTTGAATTTTGCACAGCATCTTCTTTTTTGCTCCATTTGACCTTCAACCCCTCTAACTTGCCCTCCGACTTTTGGCTTTCATTGTTTGCTTCACTTCTCTAGCATATTTGCTTTTCGAGCTGTTCGTCAAGTGTGTCCCATCACCTGGCCATGAATATCACCATGTTTCCTTCCCCCCCACCCCCCGTACCGCACACACTATTGGAGGTCCTGCTTCACTCAGCAATTGTCTAGTGATCATTGTGTGTCAGCCTTCCTTCCAGATGACGGGATGTTATTTGGAGTCCCCAGGTTGAGTGGAGGGACATGCCATGCTGGTCTCCACGGGTAACTGCCATGGTCGTTCGGCAGGAATTACATTTGACATCTTCAACTATGGATGGGAAATTGCACACATGCACCGTGCAAAACACTTACATTGGGAAACACGACGCAGTTTTTGTTTCTTCGGAACCACATGGTGAGCTTTAGTATAGCTCGCGCTCTGCGCTATATAGGGAGTACTATGGTTGATATGGATTCAGAGTAACGTTAACCCTTATATCGATGAAGACAATTGTTTTATATATTAGTTCAATTGGTCTTCACAACAAAGCTCTGATCGCCCCTGTCCCTCGTGTGTAATTTATGAGACCATTGGAAATGCCCGTACAGCCTACCAAAAATAACTATAAAGGATGTCCCGTGGATATCGCCCGTACCACAGTACACAGCGGCTAGAACAACTGTGAATACAATAAACACAACCTTATAACTAACAACTGTATACTATCCTGAATTGCAAAGGTCTTCACATGGAATACTACAGGCCAGCCAAGGTCCCTAATTAGCCAAATAAGAAAATACTATGTATAACTAGTGTAGGCCCTACAAATACGCTACATATGTTGACCACTTAAAAATTAAATAACCTAAAACAGTCGAACACCCGCCCCCCCCACGTGCAAGGGGTTAACGTCAGTGGGCGAATACACAGGGCTATATGGCAATATCAAATTCCATTCCGATTTTAACCGATATTGAAGTGCACTCATCTACATCCTGATTTGGGAATACAATAATAAATTCGAAAACACATATACTGTCATGTCCGTTTTTGGAACACATCTGCCTTAGTCCTTTTGCGAATTGACCGTACTTATAACTTTGGGACGTTTTTAATGTGGACCTGTGACATCATACAGGAGGGGAAAGGTCAGATACACAGGACTAATTTGCAAAATACAACAAGGCCCATACAACAAACACCAACCATCCCTACGTACACAAACCGCCATGTAACGTGTTGACACAACAATGGAGCCAACACTCCCGCCAAAAATTGGACAACACCTCCCGCCAATAACTCCCGCCTTGCTGACGGTCTTCTGCTGCTCATTATACCTCCCACTATTTAATTGTAACCCGCTGCATCCACCCAACATTTCCATCCATTTACTCCGTCAAACTCCTGCTTGCGCAACAAATTCACCATATCACAATTACTTCCAGATTGGGGCAAACTAATGCCCCACACCAACCACGCAGTAAATACCCAAACACCCATGGACCGAAACCACACCCAAACCCAACCCTTGCCATTACTGAAGGAGGGGGCAATGACACACCTGCCAAATCCGACACAAAGACACTGAAGACTGGTCCAAGGACTGCGCATGTCGAGCCAATCCATGTTCTGAAAAATCTCCATGCAGACATAGTGTTAAAAATTAAAGAGGCCAAGCTAGGTGGGGTATCATAAAAACTGCACAATTCGGGCGCGTTATGAAGGCCCGGATGCTCTCCTACATATAAGGCTGTCAGAGCTAAAATTGAAAATGCCCTGCCACTGCAGTTCTTGTATTCAAGGAATCTGACGAAATGGCTCAGCTAAGCACAAACAACTGCAATCTGGTTTCGAACTATTTAGGAAGTTTGCAAAAATTGTGGAGGCAGAAGGAAAGTGACATCACGGGAGGGGTCATGAATTAATTGGGTCGCGGTCGCCGCAGGTGAAGGGTATGCAACATCGAAAATGTTCCAACAGACAGAGGTAGACTTGTAGTATGACCATGTCCACGGTTAGGACAAACTTTGTAAAGTGAATGGAGTATACTTGGCCTCTTTTTATTATTGTCGGATGAGGTGCCCTGTTTATGTATTTTTGTATTCGGTTACCGTTTTCGGGGCCTCTTGTTGTTCATATTAATTTTAATCTTTAGGTGCCATCTTGGTTAACATTGTATTTAGTAGTTTGTGGCACTTTTGTGTTGTTGTTTTTGTTTATATGTTGTGTTTATGTAAGTTCACCTGGGATGTTTTTTATTTGTAGTCTGCCAGTTTGAAGGAGGCCTTCGTCTTCTGATTGTTCCCTGTGGCCTTCTTTTAGTATCTAAAGTCTTAAAAACAGCAGTGATTAATGTGGATGCTTCTTTCAGATCGAATGTTATAACGTAAGTTACCTTCCACATAGTTCAACTTTGTACACTTGTCAAATGACATTGCAAAACCAATACTGAAAGACAGTAACAAATAACAACCAATTTTGAATAGCAGTACCAACGAAACAATACGCCAGGTTACATTGCATGCCAATATACGTGCAATCTCATGCATTAAAAACCATAAAGAGCATTAGACACACTCAATAAAGAGCATAGCAACCAATAATTGCACAATAACACCAATACGTCAGTAAAAACCAATATACACGCAACGAAGATTAACATGTACTGTATTCCAAGTGTATACCCTGCCGTATGTGGGATTCCCAAAAAGAAGGGTCCGAATAACATTCCAATTGGATTAGGCCCTCAGTCAGGGCCGTCCTGAGATGTTGAGGCCCTGTGCGAAACTTAAATTGGGGCCTCACATAATTTAATACAAATACTATAATACAATTGGCCATAACTTAATGTCATAAACAATTTTTTTATAACTAAAAGTCACCATCATTAATGTAATGACAATAAATCAAATTCATTAAAAATTTTAAATGTTTTGTCCAGTTGTTGATAAGTTAAATTGTATGTTGGTACAAACTAATAAGCTCCTTGTGCCCTATAAGTCCCTTTCTACCTCCTCTAAGCAATCTGTGCTTAATAGTAAAAACAATGGCAATCTATGTACATGTGATTCTTTAAACAATGAATCTATCAAGATTCAAAAGCTCCTCTTTGAGATGAGTCAATTCCTCGATTATTTTTTTTTTTTTGTAAAGGCTTTTGTATATCCAAAAATGTATGATTCTAGTAGGTGCATGTTTAGATTACAAATAAAAATTTCCAAAACCTTGTAACCTGGAAGACCCCCAGCAAGAAATAGATAATATTTCTAAAAACCCATATTCATATACCAATCATCATCATGAAATAATTTAATAAAATAATCAGTAATATATAGATTGAAATTTAAATATATCCCAATTTGAAATGAGCTGTTGAATCGACTATTTGATTTTGAGTGGTCTTTATGAATTTAGGAATTATGATGTTCTGTTTTGGGGTTGAAATCTGAAATTGAAAGAATTACAAAAATTGTCACAAGATTGAAAAAAGAACCAAAGAGACATTGATGAATGATGATGAATCGTCTAAAACAAGTTGGAGAGAAGCAGAAGCCATGAATATTTTTTGTTTTTGAATCAAGAAATACTTCTTGGAGGAGAATATATATATATATAATAATATTTTAAAGGTGTGCTTTTGTTTTCGTTTTTTTGTGTGGAAATTTTATAATTATGTAAAATTTGTTGTTAACCTTGTTATATATAAAATAATATAAAAAGCGGCGAATAGATTGGCAGTAATTAGATTCGAACTCGTGCGCCCACTGTTAAGGTAGTTTCGCGGGGAAGCCAACTCCACCACGAACACTTCTGTGCAAATATTTAGCACGCTATAGTATATATACACTTCCTATAATATCAATATATAATTTAAAGAAATTTTTTCCGGGGCCCTCAAGAATCGGGGGCCCTGTGCGGGGCGCCACTTGCACCACCCCAGGGCCGCCCCTGCCCTCAGTGTTGCCTATGGTAAAGTTTGATATGTTGTATAAAAACCACCCCATAAACTCCAAGTTTCATGTTGGTGCGCTCACACGGTTTTATTATCCAAATTTCGCACATGCAAGTGAAACCCATTGACTACAAGATGAGCCTCTTGACCTCTCCAAATAGCGCACAAGTTGAACAACAATTCATACAGAGAAAACAAGGAGATGAGTAGGAGGAGCCTCCGTAGCGGTGCGGCTGAGTCAGGGAGGTCTCCATGCCACTCTCAAGAGTGGCCTTCAAGGTGTCGGTGGGAAATGGAAGACGCGAGTTCAGGATGTTCACGGCTGCTACTGTGGGAACGTTGTCAAAACGCATACATCCTGGACAGTTTCTCATCCGGGAAGGAGGTTTCAAGTATGTGCAAGGGTAAGTTTATTTCTCTGTAAGTTTGACCCGAAATTTGGCATTTTCGTGGATTCCATTTGTGATGCTGCGCCTCTTGTAACGGAAATATTGTTTCCGTTTATGCAGAGGAATGGATGTACATTTTGGGAATGGGCTGACCCAGAGATGTGTGACAGATCGAAGCACATAATTCCAGGCTTAATTCCAGGCTTACTTAGGAAAATAAACCGCTTGGAAGAAGAAAGAAACGCTGGAAAAGGGAAGATGAAAAACCCCTGGTTTTGGGGTCTCTGTTTTCATGTTTGGAATGGTCATTTATTTGTTGTGTTCCAAATGTAATAGGAGGTTTGTTCATCTACAGTTGGCAGGTTAAAGGTGGTTAGGTTATGGATGTAAGGAAGAGGTTTGATGAATATGGTGTTAATACTTTGTTCTATACTATAAGTCAGCATTTTATTGGAACCCATACTCATACTAATGCTAGAATACTTGATCAACTGAGTAATCTGAGATGTTCTAATCTGTCTTATTTTAGATGGTATACACATATTTTAAGTTGTAGAGTCATGATTCGTGAAGCTAGTAATCAACCGTTTTGGAAAGAAAAATTCATTACCGCTCTTCCAAACTTATTCGGCCATAAAAGAAACTGAGTTCAGCAATGAGCAAGGTCAAATTGATTGGAATAATTTAACCTATGGAAATACAATTAGTACAATTAACGAAGTTGGTATGAAAATGTGGGTACCTATGAAAATTGGTTGACAAATACAATCTGAGCACAAATGTGCTAAATATGAGTTAGGACTCTTCTGTCAACAATATGGTCTTATGTCAGTACCTCTATCTAGGGAAAATAAGTCCAATTACCCGAGTGACATTAGGAAAAGTCGTCATTACTCCCGAAGAAAACAAGCCTTTGAACGGAATAAAGATAATCATGAGTTGTATAGGAAAAACAAAGTTTACCGTAAGAAAAATAGGTCCAAACCACCGAAACATAGTCGCTTTATGACAAGTGAAGACAATAGCAAAGTTAAATGTTAAAAATGTAAAAAGTTCGGACATTATGGCTCAGAGTGCATAAGCCAAGGATACTACACAACAGTTGAAAATCACGGATGAGGAAAAAGACAATTTAATTATAGGTTTAGAGATGTGAGACTCTGAAACAAGTGAGATAGAAACAGTAGTCAACAATTCTGAGTCAGAACCCTACCAGTCCTCTGATTCCCAGTCTAGTTCAGCTGGAGTCCAATTTTGTTGCCAAGATAAACTGTTGTAATTCAAAATCACTTAGAGTCCTTACTAAGCAAGAAGAGCAAGAAGAGTTATTCATAGAATTAATAAGTAAAGTATCAAATCCTGAGCTCAAATCGGAGTACCTAAAGAAAACCAAGAAAACTCATTAGCCAAGAAAGTCCTAGTCCATCAACTATCCCTAATGAAATAAGTCTAAATACAACAATAGAAAAGGTTAGCAAGAGAAAAGAAGTCACCCTTCAACACCTACAATCTGAGATAAAATTAGTCAACAAGGAAATCATTGAGTTAAAGCAAATGAGTCATAAAGTTGAAACTAAGAATTATGAAATAAAACAGAATTTCATAACTCGTCTAGCAAAGGATGATTCTGCGTCTAATAGTCAATATGAAAGTCCAACCAATTTTGAAGATGAGCCATGTAATTAATAAGAGCAAGCCCTTCAAATTAGTAAAACAAGTGAAGTTTAGAAAGTGGTATGTACAGTGAAAAGAGTTGTCCACATTTATACGTTTCACACAGTCGCACTTTTTGATTCAGGAGGCGACCTTAACTGTATTGAAGAAGGCCTTTTCCCGACAAAGTATTATAAGAAATCCACAGTCTTTAAGGACTGCGTCGGGAAAAGCCTTACAGTTGAATTATGAGATTCCAAAAGCTAAAATTGAAAATAAATCTGTTTAAAACTGCCTTTGTTTTAGTAAAAAACATCACCGATGAAGTAATATTAGGATTACCCTTTATAGGTTTAGTATATCCGCTCTAGGTTGAACATGATGGTGTTAGTTCTATTTATGTAGGAGAAAGACTCAAATTTGATTTTTTGAACTAAGCTTGAGTTACCTAACTGCAGAATCCTTGGAAATAATATTGTTGCAAAAACAGTTAGTATAATTCAAAACAAAGCTCGATAGTTGAAATCTCTTCAAGAATAAGTTAAGTTTAAAATAAAATAAATTCGAACATTTGAAGAACAAATGAAGTTTGATAGTTGAAACATGACCTTTCTAATGCTTTTGGCATAGTCATTTCTCTATAGTCTACATTGATGCTGTTGTTATCTTCTCTGAGTCCACAGAACATGAATGGAAACATATGCATAAGTTGCTTCAGAAAGTTAGCCAAAATGGTGTAGTTGTCTCTGCCAAGAAAATGAAGTTGTTTGAAACCAATGTTAGATTTCTTGGTTTTAACAAAAGCCACTCCCAAATTCATCAAATTGACAGAGTCATCTAATTTGCTGACAAATTCCCTGATCAAATCATTGATCAAATGTCCTGATCAAATCGTATAATGCTTTGTAAATGCCCTAGCAGAGGGTTAGGGATATTGTTTCGGCTAACAACCCCAAACATTTCTGTCCAGATTGGATGAAAATAATTAATATACGAAAGTAAGTATTACACCGAACCACACAAAACAAAACGGCTACAATGTGGGTGGGCCAAAAAAATTTGTATGGCTGCAACTTCGGCCAAATGAAGGATATTTTGTTGTATGCCTGTACAAACATGTCAAGTACAGAAGGTCAATAATCGCATTGTCAGAAAGGAAACGTGAGTACAGCCCTTCTACTATGGAATACAAGTACTGGCGAATTACGTTACAGAAATTAACACCCTGCAACATAGTACAAAATCAGCACCCTTTATTGCCATCTGTACACAAAGTCAAAAATGGTGCCATGTAAGGCAAAACATCGCATTCATTTTCAGGATTGACAAAACGACGAAACAGCCTGCAACTTCTGTGACATACATGTATAGAATCTGTGATGTCAATATGGGTATGAACCTGAAAGGACCACCTGCATAAGAAGGCCAAATGTGCCGAGAGTTAGCATTCATAGAAAGGGAAACTTGAACGTCTTAATAATTGGAGCAATTTTAAGAAGTAATTCTATTCACCTTTCATAAACAACATGATACAAGTTTTGGATGATACACAGTCAGAGTTCAGAACATATGCCATACTTAAATCAGATGCCAGTTGCAAAACATGTACATTACCATCTACGGTGTTGAAATCCCCAATACCCTAAACTTTGATTAACAATAGTCACCATTCGCATTCATAAAACTTGGAAAAGATGCCAACATACTGTAAGTTGTCTGAAATGAAGACTGAAAGCACAACTCTGTACATACGACATAATTCAAAGTAGGTAAATAACTAGGCAATTCTGAAGGCAGTCCTTAACAGTGAATTCATATGAGGTCAGATATGGACTTTTACCTCATACATAGGCCTCTCCCCTGAGAGCCTTGATTGCAAGCTTCAATCGGTAGTAGCCAAACTTGGCTGGGTCAATGGTATTAAAAGGAATGCCAGCACTGAGATACTCAATAAATTTGACGGTCATAATGCCACATGAGGTACTGTCCACCCGAGAAGTACAGAAGTTAGAAGTGCACATACTGACAACATGCACAAAGTGCTTTAAATGAACACAGCTTACCCATCACTTTGCTGAGGAACATCGGAAATTCTGCAAATTGTGAATGGGTTAAACGTTGGCATGTCAATCCCCTTTTTCTTCACCGCTTCAACCTCCGATTTCTCATAAAACCTCATGTCATACAACACCTTTGCAAGCGTCTGGGTAATAGGCTCCATCTGTCGGACAAACATTGTGTTGGAGGTAAAAACAGTATACGAGTCGTAGACAGTGGCAGTATGTCTGACAAAGTCAATTTCTACAGCCACCCAATGGGACTGTCGAACATTATACGGGAGATGGACCTTGCGGACTTTCGTCCATGCTTGTGCATAACCATGTTGCCATGAACCCCAGACAAAGTGGTGTATATTTCTGAGGTAGTTAGGGGGAGGGTCAACAATCATTGAAGCAATTTGTTTCCTCGTAACTCGTTTCGCACTTGGCGGTGTAAATGGCTGTAAAAATTGCTGCAAACAAGTGTGAAAGACACGTTACATGAACAGGATCCAATGCACCAAACACAGCCAACAACATTACTCCTACCAATGCAACAAATTGAATGACACATAATATGAATACAATAATACCTGCAGACAAAAACTCGGTAGTTGTCCACTCCGTTCCAAATACTTAAGGATGAGAGAGTTGTCTTTTGCGTATTAGAAACATGGCCATGTCAAGGTGCTAACATTTCACAACACAACAACGACCTCAATATTAAAAAAAAATGGCCACATACTCAAAGTGATCAATTCAGAAATTTTTCGAAATAAAGCACGGTTCAAAAGTATTACCCTTGAGCTCATCCATGCAGTTTCATCTACAAGTTTGTAAAAAAATCTGCCCCAACTACAAATGGTTCGAGCTCCAGCTCCGCACTACAAAAAAATAAACTTGCAAAGGTAAATTCAACCATAAAAAAAACTAATGGACACCTTGCATAATATGACAATGACACACACACGAACAATTAGCTACGTAGATATTGTTATTGTACATGACTGCATACATCAAAAAACATGTATATTGGTTTTGCCAAGTTACAATTCCTAACCTGATGTCACTTTTCCAAGCCTTGCAAACTTGTATCATAGCCTTCACATCGTCCATGGCCACGGGTTGTGTTGGATCAAAACGGGCCTCAGGTGTCTGTGCATGAAAACCAGTAGTCGGCCTCTTTTTCCTGGAGGGATCAGTGAATGGACTCAACAATGTTTTCGCGGGCCGCTTCAGTCTGCATCCTTTGCCTTCCGCATCTGGTTTCTGAACCGTGGCATTAGCCTCCTTGTCCCCTTCATCACCAACCAGATTTATACTAGTTTCCATGGGAGGCCTCGCCTTCCGTCCCACCCCCTGAATTTCTTTCTTATTCCAATCCTCTAACAATTTAACATTGTTTTACAAATAACTCTGTACCCTTCCCTATCTTCCGGACTAGGAATGAGGGGATCTTCAAGACTAGGAACCTTCACATCTTCCGAAGTAGGAACCTTGTGAGGTTGTTGGTGCACTTGTTTGTTACAAACTGAAGTGTCAATTTCAGCGGCTTCGACTTCCATGGCTGGGAAGCCTTCCACAATATCAGCAGGGACTTTGGCTTCCCTTTTAGCCCCTTGTATTTGCATGGCTAGAAAAGCTTCCACTCCATCAGCAGGGACTTCTGCTTCCCTTTCAGCCCCTTCCACTCCACCATAGACTGTTGCTTCCATTTCAGCCCGTTCTGTATGCATGCCTGGGAAGGCTTCCACTCCATCACCTGCAACCTGTGCGTCCATTTTAGGCCCTGCTGTAGTCGAAGTAGTAAGTTCATTCAAGAGTGACATTTCATTCTGCCCTCCTTCATTCATCTGAGCAGTCCACACTTCCTCATGCCCTTCTCCACCATATAATTTTTTTAACTCCTCCATCTCCAATTTAAAATAATGTTCCACTGAAGCAATTGTTAGGGTCAAATCCCCAATAGCCTTTTTATTTCTGTCACACTCCTTCTCATGCTTCAAACAGTTCTTGTCTACAATAGCTTCCAAGTCACGAACTCTGTTCCTAAGGCCCCGATTTGAACTACGTAGCTTTGCTAACTCATCCTTAGTGCTTTCTAATTGATGCTTCAACCTGCCAAAGTCATTAAAAGACCCTTTGCCCTGCATAAAGTTATAATGCAACAGTTAGAAATCTTACAAAAGATAAGAAAACTATTTCCACTTCTTTCGTATCGTATTCTCTACATTTTCACAACATTGGAAAAAGGTCATGCTCACCTTAGAAGAGGAGGGAAGGGTAGTTGTTTCCTCAACATCCGCCTCTTTTTCTTCACTAGAAGTGCTGGTTTTGTCTTCGCCCTCATCCCCAAACAATTGAACAATTTCTTCATTGTTCTCATCATCACCCCAACTCCAGTAAGGTTGTTGCTTCTCAATATCAGTCGGCCGGAGAAGTTGCACATCAACCTCCATTTGAAACACATCTAATAAATCAGTGAACTTTTTACTTGTTCCTAATCATAACCTGAGTAATACAAACTGAACTAACCTCAAAGTTTTCATAAACCTGACTCATAACCTCCCAAAAACGGGCCACCGTGTTGCTCCTCCAATGTAATATTCGAGGGATGTGCCTATTGTCTTCATGGACCGTGAAATGCAATGCTTCCAATGCTGGGAAGACTTCAAAAGCCCAAATCTGTTGACAACAATCAAACATCAAAATCTGTACATGTATTTAAATGAACTAAAACATTGTTGGATATGTGTTCACCTGAAGAGCGAAGCCAAACCCCCTTATGATGTACTCTCTGGCTCTACTGCATTCCATTCTTGTCTGCGCTCTCTTCTTCCCACGTTTGTTGGGCTTTTTTCTGTTTTGGGGCACCTTCACTCGTTGGTAATCAGGAGAAACTGCCCTCAAAAGTGAAGCATTTGTCATCGCATATGACACGGCACCCCATGGATACTTGTCAAACTCTTCTAAGTCTTCGGCCAACTTCAAATAGCGCATGTCAATAAGCACATGCTTTTCAGTACCCAATAGCACAAAAATGGCAAAATAGACCATTCCAAGCTTTAACGCATCGTCATCATCTGTGCACTCGATGAAGGCAGTGTGTAGGTCCAAAAGGGTGGGAGGTTTATTGCTACTGAAGTATTTTCGCTTCAAGGAGCAGTTTTCATTTGTCGCCTTCGGAATGAAAGGGAGCTTTCCGAACCTTAGGCCCGTGATGAGGCAAAAGTGTTGGGCTGTGAATTGTATCAACTTGTTACCCACAATGAATTTTATCCCGTTCACCTGTGTAACTGTCTTAGGATCAGCCTTCCTCATCAACAGCCCGTGGACAACTTGTGAATTCCACTTCAGGTCCTCTATCAGTAATAGATGACCAAAACAACTCCCCTCGAACCTCTGTAACTGCTGCGTATTGAACTTCGCCTTTATTGTTGTAATGGCGGTCCTTGCGTGTGAAAGGGCAAATGGCTTTCCTTCGTACTTCTCATCCTCAGGAATCATAAGCTTTGCTTTACAAGCCATTCTAGAGTTCCCTGCACAACAACATCATACATATGGATCATTGGTTACCCATATTTCATACGTACATTACTCAAAACTAATACTTTCAAGTCATTTAATATATGTATATACATATGACAAAACCAGAATTGTTTTGAAGCCTCTTTTCTACTCTCCAACTCTCTCCACACTCTGCTGTTATCTACATTCCCTTCTACAAAATCTATATTCGATTCCATCCAAAAACCAAATACCACCCAAGTGTGAAAACAAGTTCATGAACCACGGATCCACTTCATACAGGGTTTTGGCGAAATGGCTACAACAATTACTCCAAATGCATCAATGCGTACTAAAATCTACTCATTACCATAGTCATATACATGTCTACTCATGGAACATCAGTATTGGCAGTTATGGACTCTGTGTACAAACTAGACACGTCAAAATGTTACTGCAGCTGCAACTGCTAAACATAGCTGGATGAACATGAAATTTCTAAAACAGATACTAAAGCCCAAGAAAATACCATTTTCAGACATATATGACAAGCTGCAAGCAAGGACTAACAACAAAATTTAGCAGGTTTTATAGCACAGGGAAAAGAAACATCCCACGCCAACTTACATTAGTATTTCAAATTCACATAATTAACCATTAAGACTGGAAGGGTGCAAAACTATGCTACTAGGTGCTGAAACAGCAATGATACCAACAAATTTACTTATGCATTATTACTCAACAGCTAATTTAGGGCCTAGTGAGGTAAACCTGTGTTATAATGGAATAGCCATTGCCACCAGAATAAATTCCCACACTAATTATGCATCATCAAATGGAAGTGAAAACACGCATCACAAACGAACCAATCCCAGATGACAAATACCAACTTAAGGCACTTCATCGTCCACAGAGCAAAATCAATACACCAATACAAGTTTCATCCAAGCATGAAATAATTCACAGTTAAAATACATTATTATTGCAATCTCTGTAATTACTAAACTTCACAACATCAGTCACAGGTTACTGAAATTATCCTTCTCAAATGAAAACCATACAAATGCACAAACTAGTCAATAACAAATACAAAACCAACCTTAGAATCACTCGTTTTGTGCACAGAACCGAATTGGAAATCCGAGCAACACCTACAGAAAATCGCGATTTTTGTCTCTGACAGGATTGAGCAGGAGGAGGAAGTATGTGAACTAAGTCTGAACCGAAACCAGGATTTAGGGTTTTTTGAGGCCCTGAAGGAGCAGAGGAGAAGAGAAAGACTTCGATTCAAGACATGAAAAGAGAGGGAACTGAGAAATCGTTTAAGGGAGATAACATTTAACGAAGAAACCCTAAACGTCAATAACCGCCTCCCCAAACCCTAACATTGACGGCAGAGAGAGAACGAGAGAGTGCTGCTTAGGTTTTGGGGACAGAGGGAGACATAGAGTGGTGGTGGCCGCTGGAGAGAGAAAGCGCCGACAGAGAGGAAGAGACGACCGTCACACAAAGCTGAGAAAGACAGAAGTGTTAGGTCGCCAATCCATGGCCAATAACTCCCCAATAGATATGTTTTTATATGGAGGGCACTTCGGTCATTTCACGTCCCCAAGTGATTATATTAGAATACAATTTGTAGCCTGATTATTTCAGCACACTATTTCTGATTTGTGATTACACCAGCTTATTTTCCTAGAGTATGGTATGATAGCGGTATCAAGATTTTGGTACCAGTCAATACTGTACCGTACCGAATAGTACTGAAATATAATTTTTTTTCATTCTCTCGTTGTCTCTCTCTTGCCTCTCAAAAGCCAAAGCCAAACCCTCACTCTCCTCAGACAAAAATGCTCTCGCTCTCTCAGACTCTCAAACTCAGCCCATTTGAACTCTCCTCCATACCCAGAACCAGCTCTTTGTCTTTCTCTTAATCTCACTTGATTCAAGCTCTCTCTAAGCCAAATCCTTCTCATCTCATCTCGATCTCTCACTCGATTCAAGCTCTCTCTGTCTCTCACTCTCTCAAACTCGATCTGTCTCACTGTCAATCTTTGGATTTCTTGATCTATCTCTGTCTCACTCTCTTAATCTCTCAATTTCTCCATCTTTCTAATCTCTCTCAAGCTCTTAGCCCTTTCTCAGCTCTCTGGAATAAGAAGCAGCCCCAAATCAATGAAGGGGCAAATGGTAAGTTTGTTGTGATTTTTGTTAATTTATTTCGGGTTAATTAAATACGAATGAAGTTGAGGGAATTCCTTGTCCAGAATGTTGATTGTATGCTAGGAATATTGTGGGTCTAAGTCTAATAGCTTTTTTTCCAATGTTGATGAAAACAACACAGAAGAGAAGGTCATGTATTTCTAGATTATGACATTTGTGTTGTGTTGTTGATTATGGATTATGCCATTTGTGTTGTGTTGTCGATTTCTTGCTTTTTCTATATTTTGATAGCCTTGATGTGTATGTTTATAGAGCCTTTTTCTTTGATTCATTTGATAATTAAAAGCTGTTTCATGTATATGGTTTCTTACATTGACTGTATTAGCATAAATTTCCATGTATGCATCATAAAAATTGACTGAGCTTTGTTATTAGGTATGGAGCTGCATAAGACTCGAAAATTCTCCTTCACATACAAAATCTGCATTTGTTTTTGTTAATTACATCATTAATTGGTGCCTGATGTTTTATTGGTTGTTGCTGCTCTGTTTTTATCTGTCCCAATGGCCACCTGAGCTAAATTGGTTGTTGCTCTGTTTTTTATTTGTATAAATTGGTGCCTATTGTGTTATAAATTATATGCATTGCATGTGAAGCAGAAACTTTATCTAAGGGTTTATTATGATTTTTGTTAATTCTTGTCATGCAATCTCGATTAGGGGTGGGCGCGGTCCGGTTCGGTCCGGTTTGTAGCTCACACCGGAACCAAAACTGGTACTATTCATCCGATCCGGTTCGGTCCAATTTTTGAAAAAATAAAGGAAAAAATCAGGTCAAGCCGAACTGGCTATTTTCGGTCCGGTTTTCTGGTTTTCCGGTTTGAACCGGTTCTCTGACAAGTTATAGACTAAGGGAAAAAAAAACTTAAATTTAGTTAAAACAATTTTTACTTCTCTAATAAAAAATATTTGATTTTTCCTTTCATTATCAGATCCCTTGGCAGAAAAATAACCCTAAACAATCCAATGCTAGGTAAACTAGAAATCATAAACAAAACCCAAAAAAAAAATTACAACATACCAGATCTAATGAAACCCACCAAAAAAAAATTGAATACAACACCAGATTTCTCCTTGCATGAGACTCTGATACTTGTATCTAGTCCTAGGATCTTCGTTACCAGCATATGAAGAAGGCTCCATAGCAAGAACCCCTTTCATCCTCTTCATCAGATCACACAAAGAGAGAGAGAGAGAGAGAGAGAGTAAGTGAGTGAGTGAGTGAGTAAAGCTGCAGAGAAGAAGAAGAAAAAAAGGATAGAGAGAAAGAGGGAAGTTGCAGAGAAGAAGAAGAAAAAAGAAAAAAAGAAAAGGAAAAAGGGAGGGGGAGAGAGAGAGAAGTCGCAAAGAAGAAGTAATAAGAAAAGAAAGGGGAGAGGAAGAAAAGAAACGAAACAGGAAAGGGGAGACAAGACAGAGAGAGAGAAGAAAGAATAAAGAAAAGAAACAGGAAAGGGGAAGAGACAAGACAGAGAAAGAGAGAGAAGAAAGAATAAAGAAAAGAAAAGAAGAGGTGTAAGGGGGGGAGAGAGAGAGAGAGAGATCAAAAAGAGGGTGGCTTCGGGAAGACAAAAGAAAGATAAAAAAAGGGAGAGTTGAAGTAGGGTTATGGAATGGGCTTTGAAAATAAAAGGTATATGGGCATGAAAGTTTGGTTTTTTATTTGGGTTAAGGAGAATTGGGCTTAAATATGGGATATTTTAAAATAAATAATTAATTAATTAATACAACCGGTTCGGTCCGGTCCAATTCGATCCGGTCCTGAAATATGTAAAATTGGAATCGGAATCGGTTCAAACCGGTTCGGTTCTGTTCGATGTCAGTTTTTTGACTTTTTTAGTCAACCAGTTTTTTTTCCTGTTTTTTCTATTCGATTCGATTTGGTTTGCCGGTTTTCCGGTCCTGATGCCCACCCCTAGTCTCGATCAAGTAAGCATCAGGAGTACAGTGGGCTTGCTGTTTCTTCAACGGCAACATCACCAGCCCCACCACAGTTTGCTGTGCAGCCAGAAGTGCAACCTTTTGAAGCTCATGTGCCTGAGCCAATAGACGCCCTTAAGAGTGAAGATACAAAAATGGTTAGTGAACTGAACTCATATAGCAAAAGTAGAGGTAATAAGAGAAGTTGGGTTTGGGATCATTTTACACCTTATGATGATAAAAAAAACTGTCAAAAGAAAGGATGAGGCCATAGGGAAGATGGTAGATGTAGAAGTTGTGAATAAAAGAGCTAAATGCAGATATTGTCCTAAATCTAAACTTCGTCTTGGAGATTATGCATGTGATAGTGGAAAAAATGGCACTTTGGGAATGATAAGTCATATTAGAAAATATCGCAAATACTACCCACCTAACCAAGATAAAACGCAAAAGATCGTTACTGGTGATAGGAGTCAGAGTAACAAAATGGTTGCTAGGGGTTTTTTGCAAAGTGATATTATGGATGCATGTGTTGAAATGATTGTGATTGATGAGATGCCATTTTCTTTTGTAGAAAAGAACGGTTTTAGGAGGTTTTGTAGTGTTATTTGTCCAATGTTTGAAGTGCCTAGTAGGAGAAAAACAGTGAGGCAGTTTCTTAAAATGTATGATGCACAAAAAGAGCAGCTGAAGAATGATTTAAGTGCACATAGGATCAACCTCATGACTGACACTTGGACAAGTGTCGAAAACACCATTACATGGTGCTCAATGAACACTTCATAGATTGTGATTGGAAGATGCACAAAAGGGTTTTAAACTTTTGTGTTATTCCTAATCACCAAGGCAACACCATAGGAGACCTCATTGAGAGTTGTTTATTACAATGGGGTATAGAGAAGGTTTTGACCATTACTGTGGACAATGCCTATGCAAATAAAGTGGCAATTGATTGGGTGAGATATAAAATAAACAAATGGAACAATTCACAAGCTGTTTTGAGTGGGAAGTACTTACATATGAGATGTTGTGCTCACATCACTAATTTAATTGTGTCTTGTGGGTTGAGGAAGCTGCAAAAATCTATTTTGGCAATTAGGAATGCTGTGAGGTATGTTCGGTCATCTCCATAGAGATTGGATTATTTTAAAACCTCTATTGAGAGGGAGAAATTGACCTGTGAAGGTCTTGTATGCATGGATGTCCTCACAAGATGGAATTCAACATACATAATGTTGGATGTAGCCTTTTAATTTAAGAAGGCTATTACTAGAATGACAAAGGATTTGAACAACCCATTCATGGCTTATTTCAAAGAGCTAGATGAGGTAGTTGATGAGGATGGTGTAGTTCAGACTAATAGTAGGCAGTGTCGGGTTGGACCAACAACTGATGTAGATTGGAACAATGCAACAGTGTTTGTGAGGTTTTTGAAGGTGTTTTATGAGGTGACCTTAAAGGTGAGTGCATCTTTGCACCCCCACAGTTCATAAAACATTTCACGCAGTTATTTCCATGGAAAAGGAGATTGACAAGTTGTTTGTGGCACCTGAATTTGCCACTGGTTCAGATGTAGAGAAAGTGTTGATTGACATGGCTGGAGCTATGAGAACAAAAGACAATAAGTATTTTGTCAAATATCAAGATTTGAACATGTTGGTGTTGATTGCACTTGTTTTAGATCCAAGGTTCAAGTTGAGGCATATCACCCATCTCTTTAAAAAGGAAAATTTTGATGAGGATGATGTGCAAATAAAGACAAGAGAAGTGAAAAGTGTGTTAATGGCCCTCTATGATGAGTATGTACCAAAGGTAGATGGTGGCATTCACATGAGACAGAATTCTACCATAGAAAATGTAGGATCTGCAAGTGGTAGTAATAATATGGTTGGAGAAAGTGTTGGAGATGATTGGATTAGGGAGGTGGAAGAGAGTGATTCTTACTTGGCAGATCCTTTGGCATTTGTTTCCAAAGATGCATTTTTTGACATATTGATGTGGTGGAAACTCAATGGGCCCAAGTATCCTGTCTTAGCAGCAATTGCGAAGGATGTCCTTTCAATTCAAACTTCCACAGTGGCATATAAGAGTTGTTTTAGCAATGGTGGCAAAGTCATAGATGCATTTAGGAGTAAATTAACTCCTAGATCAATGGAGGCTTTCATATGCATGCAAAATTGGTTGAGAGGGGATGAAATTTCAAGCTTGGAAGATACACCTTCGATTGTAGAATTTGAATTTTATGAAACCATTGAAGGTAAATTATTTTAAATATTGTTTGTTATTTATATTAGTTTGTATTGAATTCTTTCTAATAGTTGTTTGGGTAATTTGCAGAATATGCAAATGATGGAGATACTTGAATTCAAATCGTGGGCTGCAAATGAAGCTTGGATTGCATAACTTTTTGTTTTTGTCATTTATGTTTGGATTGTGTTTGTATTTTTGTAAGCCATAAGGCATAATTTTAACTATTTTGGTTTGTAAGCCATAAGGCATGATTTTTAACCATTTGGATTTGATGAATTTGTTGATGGATAAATATTGATTTGGTGGATTTGGATATTGAATATGTTGATTAGGATTTGGATATTGAATATGTTGAATCTTTGAATTTGTAGCTTAGGCATCACTTATTTTGGTGAATGAATATGTTGAATATTGAAATGGTTCATTTTTTAGTTGTGTCATTTTGGTACCAAAATGGTACCGATACCATACCGATACCGATTTGGCATGGTACGTTACAATACCAATTTTGGCAAACCATAATCCCATACCGTACCATACCAATTTAAATTTCCGATATCAGTAGCGGTATGGGCTCCATACCGTACCATATTGTACCGTGCCCACCCCTAAATCGAAGTCCAATAATCCATGTATACATTTTGATTGAGTACCCATACACTGGAGAGTCACTTGCAACTCCTATCTTTGATGAATTGTTATCTTGGCGCATTCACAACAAAATATTTACTCTATCATTAAATGCATCAAATAATGAGTCAACTGCAAATATACTTCCATAAACTCTTTTGCGGGATTCTGTGTAAGAAAAGTTATTTCATGTATGTTGTTGTTGTCATATATTGAATTTGATTGTGCAAGATGGTCTTAAAGTTTTATCTCTGTCTATTAATAAAACTACTGATATTGTACGTAGCATGAATTCATCTAACAAGAGACATGAAATTTTGGTAAAATATTGTAGTGTTTTCAATATAGGAAAGAAGAATATACATATTGATGTGCCTCATAGGTGGAATTCCACGTATGAGCTTTTACAAGTTGCTATAAAATATAAAGCCCCTCTGCATAGGTATATGTTCAAAAGATAAATGAATCAAGTTCTTGTAATTTACAAGTACCTAATGAATAAGATTGGACAATAGCACAACTTGTTAGTGGGTTTTTACAAATTTTTTATTCTTCAACTAAGTTATTTCTTGTGTGTATTATCCTACTTAAAGTCGTATTATAAATTGTTTAATAGATACTCATGGATCATTTGCTGCATATTCTGAATTTTATGTTTTTAAGGATGCTTTGACTGAAATGAAAATGAAAATTGATAAATATTGGAAGGAGTTTCCTACTATTTTTTGCTTTGCTACTATTATGGACCCTAGGTTTAAATTATTTGCAATTGCTGAATGGATTGACATGATAGGTATTGATCAATTAATCATTGACTCAAAAAAATTAGCTTTAAAGACTTTATTATTTCAGTTATTTGATTGTTAGATTTCTTTAATATGCGTGTTGATGATCTTTCACACAATCTGAAATACGTAACGACATACCTGGCACCATCTTTCTTGAGTACATGACCTCTGAACTCATTCAACTGTTGCATCAACAATCCTAGGAAAAATAGAAACAGCTCAAGACTTCTACTCTCTCTCAGAATCTGTTTAAGCTCTCTCATTATGATGAGATTAGAGTTAGTGAACGTGTCTGATGAAAGTAGGGCCTTAAGCTTATATAGAGCTAAGTCAAGTTGTCTCTACTCATCACCAAGGGCTGACTTGACTAATCTTTCAAGCCCACCAAGCAACGGTTCACGCAAAAAGGAATAAATAGGACCCCTTAATGGGCTTCAAAACCTTTCCTTATTCCACAAGGTTTTGGGCCTCAAGGTATAACCTAATTTAAACTCTTATCAAATCCTAGTATAACTTAGTATCTAGTGCACCGATCTAAGTAGGGAAACATAACATTCTCCCACTAGATCAAGCACTAGAGCACTAACCTTCTGTATTCCAAAAGGCTTGATAATCTGTATTGGCTATGAGTTAAAACAGTTAAGTCATTCCCTAAGTCATTCCCTTCAAGCTACAGTGAAAAGAGATTAGACAAAATGAACTATAGACAAGCATTGCTCTCTTTATTAAAAACAGGCCATCTACAATCACATAATGCAATGTCAAAACATATGAAGCACCTACCAAAGCGAACCTTAATATGTACTGATCCGTAATGTGAATCTTTATGCTTTTCAGTATACCTCTTTACGACTTAGCAAGAGTCAATCCGCAATGTTATTAAAACAATAGTATCGCAAAAGAGACCATAAACTCACATGCATAAACAAAATTGCATAATAAGTTTAAATAGATAAATAGTCAAAATGATAGAATTTATTTAATAATAAATAAAATTGTCAACCAAATTAACGTCCTTAAATGCAAATCCCTCAATCCAGAAAACAGCAAAATAAATATTAGAATGGGAACAAAACTCCCACTAGATTGCAACATCAAAGTTAGGAAATAATCCCATGCTCTCAACATGTCTTAGAAAATCTTCTGAAGACAAAAACTTTATGGACGGATCTGCAATCATATCTTGAGTTATGATATGATCAAACCTGACTAGTTTGTCCGCTACCTTCTTTCTCACTATTAAATATTTTCTGTCAATATGCTGAAGTCTAGACGACATCTTGTTGTTCATGCAGTGAAAAACAACCGCAGTGTTTTCATTATATATCTGTATTGGTCTAGAAATCGAGTCCACCACCTTAATGTTTTAAAAAAATCCCTTAGCCATACTATATGAGAAGTGGCTTCATAGGAAGCTATGTATTTTGAAAACATGGTTGAATTTGAAACACCAAATTTTCTAGCACTCTTGAAAAGAAAACTTGAAGTAGAGATGTAATCACCCTCTACTTTTCGAAGATTCGCATCAGTATAACCAACAGGCTCTAAATTCTCTGTGCGTCTGTAAATCAACATATAAGTCTTTCCAGCTATTTAATGTTGCATTCCTGAATTTGACTGAAATCTCCCCATCTTGTACACACTTATGCGTACATAACGCTTCCAACTGGAGAAGCATATGGCTTGTTCCTCATCTCATATTTTTCTTCTTTATTCTTGGGGCAATTCTCCTTTAGCTAACACAACGTTCTGTCCAGAAAATGTACTCCTGTCAAAATGCATGAGTATCCTTTCAATTTATGTTTTCTGCGACAGGCCTAGGAGGCCTTGAACTCGGTCTCTCTAAATTTCAATGCCTAACACAAAAGCGGTTTCTCCTAAATTGGCTTCATGAGTAGCCTTGCAGAACTCGGAGGCCTTGAAAGAGGGCTTAAGGTCTTCACAACGATGGTGGGGATTGAGCACGTCCCTTGCCAGGCCTAGGTTGAGCTCAAGGATAGGTCTGGGAGCCATGTTCTCACTGTGCAACAGGTCCACAGCCTCGTGGTCAACAACTTCACTATTCTCATCCAAGTCCAACTCATTTGACTGCCAGATTTTCACTCTGTCCACTGCCTCGTGTACTACTTTGGATGTGGCTCTACCAGGAGTAGAACTAATTTTCTCAAGCTTATCCAGTTGAGCATCCAGATCCATGGCTTCAAACTCTTCCAATTCTGGATCTGCAAATGAGGTCGTGGCTGATGAACCAGGACTGGAATGGATGGGCATCTGCAAAAAGAACTCAAATTAGTCTCATGCATAATTAAAATAAAAGAAAAGCTCAAGAACAAGTAATACTTACAGCTACAATAGGGGGCTGAAAGGGCTGGTCACTACAGCCAAGGTCCCAACCGCTCTATCCTCTTCTACCTAGAAAAAACAGGAACATCAATAAAAAGGATAGAATTGCATAAACTAAACGGAATGAAGAAAAGACAGAAGTTATCGTAGGAATGGGGACAATAACAGAGTGTTTTGCCCCCACTTCAGGTTCTGTAGCAGCAGTAGAATGTTCTACCTCCACCTCATCAAAAAGAGCCAGTTTTGAACTGGTGGGCTCTGTCCTTTGAACCTCTTGCTATTTTTTAGCCAGCTCAATGTTCTCTCCTATTACTTTAGCAAGAATTTCCTCCTGCAAAAAGATAGAACTCAAATCAGAAGGAATGCAATACAAAAACTACGCCAAGGGAGGAAGGGAATCCTTGCTATAAACTCACTTCTTCTTCTTCTCCTTCTTTTTGTCCACTTTGGAGACCTCCTTCTCCTGTTCTATGGCTTCAAAGGCCTTTCGCAACTCTTCATTAGTCTCTGTGGTTTTAGTGGGAACTACTGCAGGCTCTTCTGCCCATTCAGATTCACTAACAACCCTCTTTCTCAGTCTCTTTACCTTAGAGGGAGGGGAAGCGCTTTCAACTGTACAAAGGAAGAAAGTCAGAAATAAGGACATAATTTATCAAAAAGGGAATTGACAGAATTAAAGATACCAAGATTTTACCTGGAGGTTCGGGCTAGGCAACACTGTCCTGAGCCTGAGTAGTCTTTTTTCTTTTGTTCTTTCTGGTAGGGGTTGCCTCAACAATTGGTTCTACTAGAGTCTCATAATAATCCTCCTCATCACCAAAGGGGAGATCCAGGTCTCCAGCAGTAATAACAGAAGTAGCTACACAGAAGAAGGAAGAATTAGAAGGCAATCTAGCAGGAAAAAGGCAGAAGGACAGAATTCAGAGGACTTACCAAACACTTCTCCAGCCTGAACAGCTTGGCCCCCAAGGTTCCTTGTCATAGAAGGATCTGATGCAAACAGACATAATAGATTAAAAAACATTAGCACCAGAACATAATGCAATAATCATTGAGAAAATGGAAAAACATGGACAAAATTAGAAGTTTACCTTCAATTACTTGGGCGTTGATGTCTTTTATCATCTGCACCATAAATTTCTTAGCCTCTGCCCCTGCATAGACAGCCCAGGAATCGCAGCCATCAAAAAGCACCTTCATGGCAGAACTGGAATATGGTAGACCAGTGAACCTAGCCTTCCACCAAGCGTCAAACTCAGCATAACTGCAAGAATTAGGCTCTCAGGATGGATAGAGAGCATTTGCACTATTTTTTATCTTATTTACTGCACACCTGCAAACCTTGTACAGGTCCAGATAATTTGCATCTCTCCAAGAAGTGCCTCGATTACAGCTTCTATAGGACTTCAACGGAATGAGCTGGGGATAGCCAAATTGTCTGGTGCAGAAGTTGGGGTCATAGACCTCTCCGCCTAGATGATAGTTAGGGGGCTTACAACCTCTAAAAGGCAGGTCCCTGAGCAGCTTACCACCTCTAAAAGGCTGGAACCAAGGATACGTTCTTCTAAGTACCACCTGCCATTGAGCAGCAGACCTCTTAGTACAATGCCTAAAAAACATCATGTACTCTTCAATGGAGCGTTGGGGCACTTCTGCAGACATCAAGGGAAGCGCCATGACCTGGTCTTCAGGCAGAATGATGTCTGGGAACCTCAATTCTAGGAAGTAAACCTATAGCCAGATCTGGATCATCCAAAATGCACCAGGAGCAGAAAGGTTTAGAGGATTTTACAGAGTAGCGGTGTGCAGATTCTAGTATAAGTGGGCCAGAACTGTTGGGCCAAGCCTCACATCAGTGTGACTGTGCAAAGCTTCTGCCAGATGCCTGTACTCAAGCAGAACTGTTGAGGAAGGATTAGGGAAGACAAATCTATTCAGCCAATACAGAAGGAACAACATGTGTTGTTGATCTCTATCTCTCTGTGTGCTGAACTTCTTCAGATAATTGGAGAACGAGCAGTTCTAGATGATTGTGGCAGGCGAGATAGTGAAAGGCTTTGCCATTTTTTCTTGATTCTTCTTTCTGTGATAGTCCCCAACAGCATCAACAGGCCTTCCATGAGGCCTAAACCCAAAGATCTGAACCATGTCCAACAGGGTTGGAGTCATAGGGCCCACACAAAAATTGAACGTGTTGCTGGCAAAATTCCTCGGAAGGAGTCTATCAATCCAATCCGACCACTTCACTGCACTATTCCTCACTTCACTAGAGGGATAGGAGCGACTCAAGTTCTTACTAACCCAGGTGTAAGAAGACAAGGCAGAAGAGCTTTGGAGGTAAAGGGGAGCCTCAGCATCCTCCTTAAAAAGATTGACCATTTCCTTTGGCATCGCGCCGAACTAGTGAGGACCCAGAACGAGTGTGTTCTCAAAAAAGGTAGAGAACGTTTTCATCCAAATTCTTCTGGGAAAAGGATGGAGTTGTTGCGAACTTCAATTGCATGCTGATCGACACCATCTCCAGTAAGATAAGCAGGAGAACGAGCCGAAGAACAGAGGATTTTAGGAGGAAACAAAAAGCTAAGATAGAATTAGGTCACAAGTGAATAGTGACGGAACTTAGAACTTTTATAAACTGAAGAAATAAGATCGTGGGAAGAGTGGGGAGAAAGGAGTTTTCGTTCGGATTTAATTAGCCGTTAGAACCCATTTCCCCACGAAATGGCAGTCGTGTGTAAGTGCAACAGTAGGAAATGGCGCGCATTATTGATTGGCTAATCATTAAGTCTGAAATTGTTTTAAAAATGATTCAAAGTTAAGGGGGCATTGTTTGGGCCAAGAATTCCACACGCCAGCCCATTTTTACAAAGAAGCCCAGGATCAGAAAAACAGAAGATTGGGCCTTGACTCAAAAAGCAGCCCAGTCAAACATTAAGAGGCCCATGTCTTTTTGCAGAGGTTAAAAGAACACAGAACAAATAAAATTCATCACCAAGCAGGTTTATAAAATTCTAAAAAAGAATTAGATCGGGCCCAGCTTCTAAATCTCTCACCATTGATCTATTCACAAAGAAACCCATGTGACTACCTGACTTTGAAAAGTCAACAATTTCAACTATCACAAGGGACTTGATGGGAAACTAATGAAGGCAGGTTCTACAGGAAGACTTCTCCAGTCTTTATAGTCAAGGAAGAAGATCAAAATCCCTTTCTATAAATAGGAAAAATGATGCATCAAAGCAAGCATCATTTCCAAGGGATAAGTATACTACATTTTCTAAAGAGATAAGTAGGGACCAAGGAGTTGTTCATTAGGAAAAGCAAACTAACCATCACGGCAGATTGAATTCTTACAAAAAAGTAGTTAAAGGTTAAAAAAGGGATTAGGTTGTTTTTCAGGAAAAGCAAGGAAGTGACTACCATAAAGAACTAACTGTTGATGTCTTTTTGCCAGAATACATAAAATTCCCTTTTTCTTGGCATTTAAAATAAAAAGATCTTGCTTTTAAAATCTGCCACCCAATATTAAAAGATTAGAAATCCCACTCCAGCATTTTCTATAAAAATGAGAGGAGGTGAACAGATCAAAGGACAACCAAAAAACCAATCAAAAACAAAAAACTCAAAATGATCACTTGATCTCAAAAGCCTTCAATCACACTGAAGCAACCAAAGCTCATGGAGCCACATAAAACAAGTCAGCTATAAATTCAGAATCTCCAACTTTAGTTCAGTTTAGAAAAATAGTCATACAAAGCAAGATTTCTCTCGTTACAAATTGGTTCAGCATAAGCCAAGTCAAGCAGAGCCCTGATCAAGCAGAATAGGTACTACAATGTGGTTCCAGCTCAGTAATCATCAAATCCAGCCACTTCCGCCCCTTCCAGACTGAAGAGGTTCCAATTCTGCATGTTCAAAAAGCCTTCCAAGGCTTGAAATAAATTGAAGCTCTGCCAAACTCAAACGTTGGTATCGATTTACAGCTAAAACTTGATAGTTGAAGGTGTTGATAGTCCAATCCAGCACAGACACACCCAGTCCAGCCTGGATCAGAGGCATCTATCCAGGCAGAAATTGAAGTCCAATGCACTTATTTTCCTAAAAACAGTTCACTTTCTTATCATTCATTCTGGCCAGAATTACCAGTCTTGTACTGTGAAAAATTGTGAAGTCCTCACCAGTTTGGGGCAAGAAAAGAACTTACTTGGGAGATATTCCTCACCCAAATTCACAATCGCTTGTTTAGAAACTAGTAACTTCGGGCTCAAGTTATCCATTTTAAAAAAGTCTGCTAGGGTTTTTATTTCTAGCAGTGGCATGCTCATACACAAAAGAAAGTTGACTTGTTGACCTCAAATGGTTTTCAAGACAATGGGGAACTTTACCCTACCATCGTAGGAACAAATCTAAAATAAGTGAACACCAGGATAGCCAATAAAATAACAGCAAATTATTTTAGGATCAAACTTCTTCTCTTGAGGGTTGTAGATTCTAACTTCAGCTTTGCAGCCCTATACATAAAGGTGCCGCAAGCTTGGCTTTCTGGTAGTCCAAATTTCAAAAAAAGTGTCTTAGGTATAGAGTTTCTAGGCACTCTATAGTTTGTTGTTTTGATCACCTCTCTGAAAAAATGTAGGCAAGTCAGTTTTGGAAATCTTGCTAAGAACTATGTCCTTCAAAGTTTGATTTCATCTCTCAGCCGCACCATCTGTTGCAGAATTCCTAGCGTTGTGTACTGAGTAGCTATTCAATTTTCTTGTAGATACTTAGTAAAAGGTCTAGCACGTCTGACCTCACAATTTTGATCTTTTTCTCAAGTTGCCTTTCTACTTTAATTTGAAAATTTTAGAACATTTCAAAAGCTTGACACTTTTCTGCTATGAGATATAGATAACCAAAACGAGAATGGTCATCTATAAAGGTGATGAAATAGCGATTTCCATTAATTGTTTGATGAGGGAATTGTCCACAAATATATGTCTGGATGATTTCTAAAAGATCACTACTACGAGTTGCACTTCTCTTTTAAGTCTTAGTGAGTCTTCCTTACACATTCAATACAAATTTCATCGTCACCGAAAAGTAGTGGTGGCAAGACTTGTTCTTTAACAAGAATTTTCATTCTGTCCTTTCAAATGTGTTCCTTCACTTCTAATCTTTTCTCACTCGATTCAGCTGCTAAAACTTCACCATCTTTATTGTAATTAAGACAATATAATCCATCTTTATTGTCTTTGAATTCTGCGATACAAAAACATCTTTATTGAATCCAAAATAAAACCAAGTCTTAATAATCTTGAAACAAAAATTAAATTTCTCTTTATTTAGGGTACTAAAACTACATCATCCAACTCTAAAATAAATCCTAAATCCAACTTAAAGTAAACTACTCCAATAATATTTAATGAAAACAACAATTAGCTATCTAATCCTCCTTGTCACAACGTGCTACGATAAAGTGTTGTTCTCCCTAGCAGGGAACAAGTCAAGTACCAATGTGTCCCTATTAGTGGTGGTATCGAAAATCTCAACAGTGATTCAGGTTGGGGCATACGTTTCACAGACTGCACTAGTAGATTCTTGTATCAAAGTAGCGTATTGAAGTTTCATCCTATCCCATAAGCGCATACACTGAGCTTTGCAGCGATGCTAAGACTTCTGAGACTGTCCTTTGTAGCTGTGTATATCCTTATGGGTCCTCCATAAGGTCGACGACATGGTTGCGCTTTAACCTTTTTTTGCTTATGTATCTTGTAGAGATTAGGGAAAAGGAAAAGCATTTGGCGGTTAATAAGAGCCACTCGTGTCAACTAATCACGATTGGAATTCTAGTAAAAAATATAATGGGTTCAAATCCCATTCTTGACACCAGAGCTAGAAGGATTTGCAAAAGACAATATAAACACTTCCAAGGAACCGATTCTCAATTTGTTTAGAGAAAAAAGTTTTTCCGTTTATCCTTATTCACAAAACTAACAAATGACATATGCAAGCTTCCTTAAGTATCACACCTTTGTGGCAAGAGATTACTTATAGCTTACACAAATTACGTGCTATCTTGTGCCATCATAAATAAATTATAGGATAGATTCTATTTGTTGAAGAAACTTATCAAGAAATTTAGGTACGATGCAATTTTTGGTTATTTCTTTAGGGTTTGAGTGTTTAGATTTGGTTTTGTTATGAAAAAACCTAATTTGCAGTGAATAGTATTTCTACTGTGAATAGTGTTGTAGGGGTTTTGGGGTCCGTTTTTGACACAAATACCTTTTTGAATAGGGAATGACCTAATAAACACAACTCACAGCCTTTCTATGAAATATGGACATTTTTAGGGTTTTAAGGTCATCTAGTAGGTCAAAAATATGTTTAAAGTTTTGAAGATATGAAAAATCGAATTAAAACATGCTTTTCCAGATTCTTTAATATTCTTGATATTTTAAAAAAAACATGTTTAATCCATCTTCAAATTTTAAACATAACCAAAAATTCATCATGGCATAAACATATAAGAAATCATAATAGGCATGCTTGAAAAACGATTTCAGTGTGTGCAAATAAGCATGTGCTCTGATACCAACTATTAGATTTCTTTAATATGCGTGTTCGTGATCTTTCACACAATCTGAAATACATAAAGACATACCTGGTGCCATCTTTCTTGAGTACACGACCTCTAAACCCATTCAACCGCAGCAGCAACAATCCTAGCAAAAACATGAACGGCTCAAGACTTCTGCTCTCTCTCATAATCTATTTCAGCTCTCTCTATATGATGAGATTAGGGTTAGAGAATGTGTCCAATGAGAGCACAGTCTTAAGCTTATATAGGGCTAGGTCAAGTCATCTCTACTCATCACCAAGGGCCGACTTGACTAATCTTTCAAGCCCACCAAGTAATGGTTCATGCAAAAGGAAATAAATGGGACCCCTTAATAGGCTTCAAAACCTTTCCTTATTCCTCAAGGTTTTGGGCCTCAAGGTATAACCTAATTTAAACTCTTATCAAAACCTAGTATAACTTAGTATCTAGTGCACCGATCTAAATAAGAAACATAACATTGATATCTACAAGAGGAATGTAATTCCTGATGTGGTTCAAAATGTGCAAAATGTTGTTGCAACTTCTAGCACCTTGAGCCAAGCTCCTTGAAAATAAAAAAGCTATCTTCTTCTTCTTCTTCTTCCTCCACCAACACTTCTAAGTTACAATTATATCTTGATTTACCAATAGTAGAGATTGATGATGACAATCAATTTAGTCTTTTAGGTTGGTGGAAAAGCAATCAATCACTATATCCTATTGTTTCCCTTATGGCTCATGATTTGCTAACTATTCCAACTTCTACTATAGCATCGAAATCATGTTTTAGTGCAGGTGGTAGAGTTGT